TGTCGAAGAAACAGTATGGCATCATTTGGGATTTCCGAAATCACGGTCTCGCTTTAACCACATCTCTTGCACAAGAATAATCACTTAAGTATATGACTCTGAAAAACCAAACCAGATAGATGTGATCTATCAGTTTGGCTCCTGAGATTCCCATCAACCGAAGCCAGAGACGATGCCGAGAGTGGTAACAAGCATTTTGATGGACATTTTGGGGGAAAAAAGGGTGATAACACCCAAAAAGCTGCTATACCGCTGCAATGCTATCACATATTTTCCAACTCTGGAGGTGTATACCTTGCCAAAATCGCTATGACGATTATTCCCCTCATTTGATACCGGTGGCCAACATTTTGGACCGAGGCTGATGGCCTAATTGTATTTACGATGAGTGTAGAACTAATTCTACAGCGCCGATATACTACTTGGCTTTGTGGTGTGCCTGTCCATCTACATGTAATACATAAAAAAAAACACGCAGATTCAAATCCTTTTAAAACCGAAGGATATAAATAGACATAACTGCTTTTTATGACGGCAATTCAAAGCAAAGTCCAAACTCATCAAAATGGTTGCAGGTTGACGTACAACGATCACCTACCCCTTATCATAATGTAGCCCCACTCACACAGACTCACCCCACTGTTCTTATTCCTCCCCAAGCTACCGAATCCCACCGTCCGTTTGTGCTACTTCCTCGAATCCACCTAATTGTCCTCACGTTCCCGGCTTCATTTACAAGTTCTCTCGTGCGCGTGAATGTGACTTCCTGTCTGTCGTTACCATGACGACGCATCTCCCTCCCGTAATTCAAACGAAGCCCCGGATTCTTTGTGAAATAGATCTGGCACATGTAACTGGAGGCTAAGCACCCACATACATTTGCAAGCACAAAGTGTGGGCTAACGTGTACAGTGTCGTGCACGGTGTTACTTTGTAAATGTCACTGCTGTTTCATCAAGATAATGCGCAGGTGGAATGTGAGAAATCAGTTGCATTGTAGTAGACAAGTTTGAGTGATTTAAAGGCATCGACCCACTTTTTTTCTCTCAATAATGCCGAAGCACATTGATAAGGTATGGAGGGTTATGGATATGATTGAGTAAAATCAAGGGGCGTGGCTTGAAAATATTTATGTGGGGCTTGATTATTGTGGGTTAAAGAACACAAGAGAAATCAGGAAGATTTTGAGCTTCGATCTACATGCCGTGAACGCGAGGATTCACAATCTGATGACGGTGAAATAGTGGAAAGAATGGTTTTGGTCAATCCTGGAAAAATGCATAAAGTCTTCATGAATCGTACTATTCAACGAATCAATTACGTGAAAAGAAAATCAAACCAACTTGTATTAATTGATAATTGTTTCGAAAACGAATTCTGTATCTTTGTAGGTACGGTAGAAGGCTTGGACTCCGTTCAGGTAAGACACCTAATGAGATTTGTGCAAAAACCATGAAGTGAGATTCGTTTTAAATTGATTCCTGTTTGCCTACAGGAAAGAGTCGTCAGTTGTCAGAATTTTAATTTCCGGTTCTATCAGAATACCCTGAATGTTTTTCTCTCAGAAATGATGCGTGCCTATAACTCTAATGGTATGTTTCATGAACACGACTTCATGTACTTCGACGAGATAATTTTTTTTTACCGGTATACTTGGAAAAACTTGATCATTTTATCACATGACTGGAACCTTGAATTGACAATATAGTTATTTTAGCCTTCCGAGTTGGCAACTTTACGGAACTGGAAATGTTGAATGCTATTTTAACATCTCCGATGTGGTTTTCAGATCAATCGTCATGTGGTGTTCGCTAGGGCCATCCACCTGCAAGGTATACCGTCTGATCAGGTGTCAGGGGTGCGCCGGCTTGGTAAGTACTTCATCAATTATCAGAGGTAGGTCTATGGTGTGTGTGTATGGGGCGTGGCAACATACCCTATAGGGCTAGTGGGTTGTCATCTTCCCCTTTACACAGACTCAATATCTGCCACTGACTTACATATACAGTCTGTGAACGGCAAGTGCGTTGCTGTCCTTACGACCTTTGAACTTGGTCAATATACATTCCCACATGCGCACGATATCGGCACTCCATGCATTCCGCGAGTTCACATACTTACCCCAGTCCGAATTCTGGGAAGGTTGCATCGTCAAGCCGAAAAGTAAGCTCCAAATTCCAAAGCTCTTGAGGGTCTCGTCTGCATATCATGATGACAGGTCTCCAGTCTACCTTTCTCTGTCGTCTAATTATAGGGCATATATACATGGTCTGTTGGCCTTTTTGTAAAATTCATGTCACATGTGCGCTAAACACGCTCTCCGCAGATAGGTAAAAATAATGAATAAACCAAGGGTCAAGTTCAGAACAACTTACATTTTAGCCAAGTCGCATCACTTCACTGTAATTTAAGCACCCACAGCAACGCCCCCGCCCCCCCCCCCCGGGTGGGGGGGGGGGTAGGAAAGGAAAGCACTAATGTACAAGTTCAGGTTTTATTTTCAACCCTGGGTACATCAATACTTTCTCGCCTCAAAAAAGGGACTGATTGCTTTTGACACCGTCCCAATGGCACGAGCAGGGTGAAAGCACACCTGCGATCGGGAGAAATGGTGCCTATCTGCCCCGGCGAGTGCTCGCTGTCTGTAATGACGACCGGCTCCCTTTGGAAGAAACCGGACCGTTATGGTTTGGCTCTTTCCAGGGCCAATTAATAAATATTCTCTAGGTGCCCTGTAAGTGGATGCCTAAGTGGAAGCCCATGTTATATTGTCTGGAATATTTTTGGCTGTTTTGACACATCCCATCAGTTCAGTATTACGGGTATAAGGATGATGCCTACCACTAAAAGTCCTACCAGTATAAAGGTCAAGCCATATAGAATGTTAATTAAATCACCGAAGTGCTTTTTAATTTGTAATACATGGTGCTCCGGTACTCGGGTACAAAAGCATTATTAACCTTGCCCACCAAACTCATAATTACATTTTACAGGGAATCTCAATTTGCTCAATACTTGAACCACAGCCGTCATTTCGGGCCACACACTTTGACCCGTTTGCTCCTGGATGGGGAAAAGTAGTCAGGGCCGGCAATGTGTCTTGCCCAAGGACACAATGAGCCTCAGAATTACTGGCTGGAATCGAACCCGTAACTTACAACTCACAAGACCTTGGGTCTGCATATCATGTCACCAGGCCCACGACTGCTCACAAATGCCATAAAAAAAACTTGCCGCCATTTTTTCCCTTTTGAAAAAGGTTTCCAAGGCCTACTACGTGATTGGACGATCTCGACTAATTCCGGCGGTTTTGCTTTGGAGTCTGACGGCAACGTGACGGTGACCGAGAGAGGGCAGTACTTCATCTACAGCAGTGTAAGTTTGACGTAGTTATAATTTTAATCGCATCGGTAAATCAAGGAGTTTCTCTTCCTGCTGCGGCTTGTCTCTGCAGCCGCTGCATTATTTATTTGGAGGTAGTGAGGTACATTGTACATACCAACTTTCAAGTACATTAAGCCACTACATGTATATACAGATTTGGCTTCATATTCATATCTTCCTCTTTTTCCTCTCAACAACAGGTCCTTTTCTACGACAGCAGTGCTTTCTACGGAGCCCACACCAACATCAACGGCAAGACGTTCTTGAAGTGTATCGGCGCACGGGCCTCCTCCGCGGCCAAGTTTGGGCCGTGCAGCGCTAGCGGGGTGGCCATGCTCAGCGAGGGGGACAAAGTGGGCATCGCCTCGGTATACCCGATGAAGGAAGTGGAGATGAGACCGGAGTCTACGTACTTTGGAATCATCAAACTCAACTAAAGTGACTGAAAATATGTCTGTAGGCTTACTGAAATGAAAAGCCCTGACCACAGTCCCAAGTTGTAAACGCCACGTTAACGAACACGATGGGGTCCATAAAAAAGTGTTCGTAATAGTGGTCGTTCGTTATATTGATTGAGCACTGAATTTTAACGAATTTAATATTTCGGGCGCCAGTGGTGTTCGTTATAGCCAAATGTCCGTTATATATAGCGGTTCGTTATAGCGGTGTTTCAGTGTATTTCTATTACATGGAGCTGTATAATGCTACTGAGCTCCCCTCCCCCCCCCCCCCCGGGAAAAAAACGAGCAGAAAATACTGCTTAGCAGATACTGCATTGAATAAAATACTGTGGGTAAAATATTACTTGGTGGAGACACTGTATAGATCAGAAAATGCTGCTGAGCTAAACAGAGATATCTTTCTCAAGGAAAACATACTACATGTATTATGTATACACAGAAAACTGTCTTTCGAATTTTCGTAGCAATTTTAAAGTCTTAAGCATCCATGCAGCATTGTGTATCACAATCTATCTTGGAATCTATTATTGCGAGGCAAGGGCGGATCCAGAACACAATCTTTTTTGGGGAGGGGGCCAAAAAAAAAATTGTCTCCCAAAAAGTGGGTCAAAAAATTACGGCGTGGGGTTCGGGGCCCGCTTAAGGGCCCCGAAATTTTGTTGGATTCTCGATGCTCTGTGGTGCGATCTGAGGCAATTTCTGACCACTTTAGCCAATGTTTTTTGAGGAAAAGATGGTGGTGTACTCATTGCCTGCCTTTATTGCGACGTCACATAAAAACAAAAAAACAATTGTTTTCGGGGTTTTTTTGGGGGGGGGGGGGCATGGCCCCCTTTGGCCCCCCCTGGATCCGCCCTTGTTGCGAGGTGGGATATTAATGTGCTCATCAAACTGAACTTGGGTACTGCCAAGTGCTGACCCACAAAGAGTGGGTTCCTTCACTACAAGTATGAATACTTACAAGACATTCTTTTTAAGAGAGAAACCACAATCTGGCCATTGTCACGGAAACTACGGGACTCTTTTAACAGAAATTTAGAAAGCGCTTTGGAAAACATTTGAAATCTTTGGGAGTAAAATTTGTAGATAAAAATCTAGCTTTTTGACAAAATCAAAGATTTAGTTGTTGGACGGATATTCAGGGCACTCCAAAACTCGGTTTGAAAATCTTACCTGATTTTATTATAATTTTGAACATCATGTAGTCTTTCTTCAATGTACAGTAGTTTTTATATAAATTGTAAGTTAACAAAATGTACAAAAAGTGGTTTGCAACAGTAGTACCCGGATATTGATAGATTTAAAAAAAAAAAACAATTGTATTACTTTTCATTTCATGACTGTACATGATTATTTTTTTTATATTATCTAATAGCAATAATGAATACATCAAAACTTTCTTCCAATCAAAAATTAGTTTACAAACTGATACCTTATGTACAAAAATTTAACAATAATTATTTTGTATCATTAGCTACAATTGCAATTGTATATTTTTGGTTCATTCAGTAGGGTCCTTAAAGTTTAGAGTCTGTCGCCCTCTAGTGGTAAAAGTCAATCTGTTTGTGTTATGAATGCAAAACCAAGCTCTACAACACCTGATAAAGATCCAATGCGTAAACCAGCCAACCACTGCTGGATACCAATGAACATTGTTTGACTTGTCTACTGCCCTCTATAACTTGTGATCATCTATAGTACAGCGATGACTTCTAATGCTATGCATACATATTTACTTGTAATTATGTAGAACCAAAAAAAAAATTCATTGTTGATTTCTGCATATCTTGCTTGTTAAAAATAAAAGCCACAAAAACAGAATGGAACACATTCCTAAAAAAAAAAAGGTTCCATTTATAGAAATTTAATTTGCATACAATTATATCTAAACTTTTAAAAACTTTTGTATAAAAAAACACCATATTTGGAATGTACATGTAGTACAGGCAACAACAATTAAACAACAAACTGATTGAATTTCATGAAAGCAGCATGTCCATGTAACTTTACAACAAAATTCTGGCACCTTTTTCGATATGCAATGTAAATTTACAGGAAAGACATAAAAATTGTCTGACACTTTATTAGAATACCTCTGTATTCATATGTGTCCATTTCTTGGAGTTTTAACTCATGTTCTGATAAGTTTGTAAACAGGAACCACCAGTGACTGTAATAACAATACTAGGCACAGACGGTACGTGGTAAACCTTCAAAAGATGATTAAATACAAAATGGAAAAAGTACTGTGACACTTTCAAAAACATGCATTTGAGGTACGAACTGAAACGTTAGAAAGGAAGTCTGTAATATGGTTTTCCCATAAATATGATGTCTTTTACAGTGAAAACGTAACATACAATTTAAGGATGAGACGTTTACACGTTTCAACGTTTAAACGAAATAATATTCTAAATCCATTACACACATTTTCAAAAATGTTTTAGCCGCGCAACCCGTAACCTGATCTTAGTTCAGTTATAAAGATACATACAACAAATAATTAAGCTATTTAATTGCAAAACGTTAGAAGCACCGAAGTAGTTGATTACACATACTTAAGTTTTTACTGTTTCAAGTACTGTCAATCATGTCAATCACGCCAGTCTGCAGATATAGTGGGGCAGGTGTCAGCCTTTGTGAAATGGCTAAACGTTTAAACGGTTTGTAAAATATTTGCTAAACGTTTACAAAATTATACGCAAAGTCACACCCTTAAAATACTTTCAAACTGAACACTACATTCCTTGCTCTATGCATATACAATCCCGATTCTTAAATTGGAATAATAAATTTGTAGCACTTGAAAGCCTTTGGTTTTTCCAGGTGCAAAACACTTTATGATTATATAACATTAATTTAGAAACTATAAACTTCTTTCCCCTGACAAATCTTTTAAAATAATCAATTCTTTCTAATGATTTCTTAAAAAAAAAAAATTCTTAATACAGGTTGACCTTTGCCCTTTGCTTATATCATACATACCAATTTAGTGACCTGTTGACTGCCCGCATCCAAGTCCTACAGATGGGTTCGTATTTCTTAATGGCTTCCTCAGGTTCAAAGATGGCTTGAGTTGCTCGGAGGGGGATCAGTTCCTCTTTACTCTTCCACACTCCTTTTGAATCAAGATGGTAAAACAAACAATGCATTTGGGAGTTTCTCAAAACTTGGACAATTCCTGTTGTAGATTGGTGATGACTTTTGATAGAACTAATAATGATAATTATACATGTACATGTAGTCTTAAAAATCATAAGGCATAGTGGAGGTGTCGCGTGGCTATTTTGAGCAGGGAAGGTGAAGGGGATTGGGGTGGAGATGGGGGTGAGGGCGACGGAGCTGGGGTGAAGTGGTGTGGAAAGGGTCGAGGGGAGGAATGTGAGGGGAAGGCCGCTGTGGGTTGGGGTGAGGGATTGGGTTGGGGTGAAGGGTGATGGGTGGGGGAGGGGTAGGGCGGGGTGGGTTGGGTGATGGGTGGGTGTAAGGGGTTGGTTAATGGGGGTGAGAGGTGGAGATGAGGGGTAAGGGGTGGGTCAGGGGGTTGGGTGGGGGAAGGGGCGAGGAGTGAGAGTTGAGTTGAGGGTCTGGGTTGGGTAAGGGATTGGGTGTGGGGGTGAGGGATTGGGTGTGGGGGTGAGGGGTTGGGGGTCAGGGGTGGAGATGAAGGGGTGGATTGGGTGAGGGGGTTGATTGGTTGAGTTGAGGGTCTGGGAGGTGGTCAGGGAGGGGTTGGGAAGGGTGGCTTGTTTGGGGTGATAGTACGGCTAATCCTACCTGCCCCTAGTCCAGCCAAGAATGCTGCTCCCAGACATGACATGTCCAGGTTGCACGGCCGGTCAATCTTCTGTACGAGCAAATTGGACACTAACTGGACGATGAAATCATTGTTGCTCACACCACCATCAAACCTGCAGATGTCATAAAATATAAACAAACAATAGATTTACATTTCATCCACTACTTTACATTTACCTTTGAAATTACTTGCAACAAATCAAAAACAAAAACGTGTTTTCTTAAACTACCTCAAGCCTGGTCGAACTTTTGTCCCGCTTCTTTTCGTGGCAGTGTTATACAGCTGAACAAGTCTGAAAAAAAAAATTATGGACAACAAATCTCAGAACGTGATATTTTTGGAGAACCTCAGTGTCACTTTAAACTTGAAATTCTGAAAAAAAATGATATCTCCCCAGTCCCTTTCCCAATCCTTCAAAATCTTCAAAACCTTCTGGTTGATTTTAAAGATACGTGAGGATTTTTTAGTTTAAAGGAAAACTTGCTAAAGTTGTAGTTCAAATACCTGAATGCGATGGACTCTAGAGAAGCTCTGGTGATGTGGGCTGGCGTTGTCGAGGGCCTTAGACCAATCAGAGAGCAGCAGGCATGGTAATCATTGATGGGCGCCTGTCAAAAAAAACCGAACCAATCAAAATGCATGTATGGTCAAACAGTGGAACATCTGATCACACATAAAGCCTATCAATACAACTTTAATCTGAATAAAATACTCCTGGAATCTATTAGTTGTAACTCAAGTTTTTGTGAAATTGTAAAGTAATTTACTCGCTGTGAAGGATTCTCAAAGGCAAGCCAATAATCAGGAAGAGAAAAGCAGGATTCAACGAATCAACCAAAATAATAATAATGAAAAAGATTTTTTACCTGCAAACCATAGAAGGCAGGCACAAAGCAAACCCCACCCGCGTCCTCCACAGAGTTTGCGACTTCAACTGACTTGGCCGGGGTTTCATACAAACCTAAAATGAATACAAATCAAATAAAAAAGGACAAGGTAAAGTCTGGGACATGTTGATCAAAAGTCCAGTCACAAGTAACAGGGGATGAACAGTAACAAAGGAATCTCATTTGTAAAAAGTTTTAATTTAATTGCTTTTGACTTGATTGCGACTGGATGACAAACGACCAAATTGTGGTAGACTAGCGAGGGGAGTGTGGCCTAGTGGTTAGGGTTCGTGACTCATGATCCGAGGGTCAGGGGTTCAAATCCAGCTGCTGGTCATATGTTGAGCAAGCCACGTCATCTCCACTTGCCTTTTCATCACCCAGAAGCAAAATGGGTACCGGCGTTAGCTGGGGAGTAACCTGTGATGGACTGGCATCCCATCCAGGAGGGAATAGACACATTCTTAGTCGTTTTATTCCAAGGAAACCGGAGATAAATGCCGGCCGCCTGATGGGACATTTTGGCTCTCGACTTTACTTAGCGAGGATTATTGATGAATTCGAAAACAACACTGGCTACAGGGTCGTTAGAGAACCAAACCTTACTCGAAAAAGCTCTTAAACATTTTTTAACGATGCTATTTACTCAATATACTCACCCATTTGTAAGCCCCACTCGATCACCGTGCCCGCATCAGTATCTTGGCACTCCAACTGGTAAACGATTTCATCCCCAATTTTCCAACCAATAGTAGGATAGACACCTTGAAAGGACAATATTGAGAAATTCAAACATTACGGTACAAAGTACTGAGGAAGTTGTCGTATTTGTCTTAATTGGTTGAAAACTGATATTTTGCTCATGGTGCCAGACTTACCATTTACAGGAAGACATATTTTACTTCCGGTGTTCATCACAAGGAATGTTCCTGTTCCCATGGTAACCTTCACTTCCCCTTCTCTGAAGCAACACTGTCCGAACGATGAACCCTGCTGATCACCAACCTGTGAAAATATTTGTTGGTCCAACAAATAATTATAATGATAAAGAAACTTAGAACATTCTGCTGAAACACAATATTTATTTTTTTTTGTAAAGAGAGCAAAAACAAAGTTCATACCACAGCTCTGATGGGAATAGACGCACCAAAGACTTCAGGATCACATTCTCCAAAATCGCCACTGAAAAGAAAGCCAAAAAACATCAAATTTCAGTTAAAAAGATAAAAGGCAGACAAATGCTTACACTATGTACATGTATATCCAGAAGTTTTCATTCATAGTCAGAAAATTGTTTGTTTAGTAGTAGATCACTTTTTTGTGGGAGTGTTTTGTTAAATTTCTACAAACACGTTGATAAATTCAGTCATTATACCATTTAGGATTGGTCTGGTGCTGATCAAAGCAGTGCCACAGCACATGACAACTGCAGGTGGCCTCAGGGAACAAGACCAATATGGCGGGCACCAAATATACACCATAAATCTCACCTTGTGTCTTTGATTTCTGGCATCATACTTAAGGGAATTCCCAGGTAGCGCATATGGATGGTGTTCCAACTTTTCTGGTAAACGAGAAAAAACAATACACAACATTATGTTTCATTGGTAAAAATGGTGCCTCGGAAAAAAAGCCTGGCTTCATTTCCAGGGAAAAAAGTTGGCTATTGACCAAAACAAATTGAAATCGGATGAGCAGTGTTTAAACTGATAAGCTTGCAGAAAGTATTCTTACATTGTACAAATCATACAAGCTTGTTGAAGCGATGTTGGAGAGATCTGTGGCATGAACTTTCCCTGCACAAAAATAAATTTAAAAAAACCCAACAAATTACGAAAATTACACCAAGTTTGTCAAAAGGATATTTGAATTGTAACAAAGAAGTACTGGTAGAAACTTGTAAAAAAATAAATCATAACAAAAATGAGTTTTTTTCCTAGCACTGTTCAAGTGAAATGACTTGTCGCCAAAACTAAATTTTTCAGTCACTTTTTTTCCAATAGGCTCTCATTAAAAATGACTTTTCTGGAATTAGCTTTGTTTTATATCATCAGGTCTTAATAATTATTGTTTCCTATTTGAGTAATTAATATTTTTACTGCGGGATTTGCAAAATTGTGTAAATGAATCGTGATGTAAGATCTCACCTTTGGTAAGTTTCCAAACAAGCCAAGTTTCAATTGTGCCAAACAAGACCTTATTTTCTAGGGCATCTTCTTTCACCTGGAGGATATAAAAAAAAGAAATACTTTTGACTGAATATTCCTATATTCAAAACTCACTGATCAAGTTCTATATTTGCCAGCTGCGACAGCGTACTGCGCCGGTCAAAAGTTGTTGCCCAGTTAAAACTGTGTGCTGCGTCCATATTATGGGCCAGTGGGGCATTTCACAGTGGGCCTAAGCATGTTATAACTGTCCAGGTCTTTAACCTGCTAAAAGGATGGGAACATTAACCGTCTAAGACAAAAAAAGTTACCGGCGACAAAAACAAAGTGCCACCTAACAATAAAGCGCTGCAACTTTACGATTGAAAAAAAAAACCAGTCGTGTGTGTACGTACATGCATACTTATGTTTTTTCGAACGGGCAAAAAGCTATTCAAATATTCGGTTGATGCTTGAATATTTGAAGATTTGAATATTTGAATATTTGAATATATGAATATTTGAATATTTGAATATTCGGGACAGCCCTAGTACAAGTAGCAAAATGCTGATCAACTTACTCCAGGAATGTTTAGCAGGACCCAGTACAGTTTTATAGAGGCCTGTGAAATGAAAGAAAAAGAAATTAATCAAACAACATTGGCCTTTCCAAAAATTTAAAACAAAAGTTACATCCCAATCATGGTTGGCATCAAATTTTCTAAACCCACCATTTACAACATCAACTGAATTTTAACTTTTTAAGATCATTTTAAAGTTCAACAAAGAAGTGGATTTGAACCTCAACCTCCGGATTGCTGTTCCAGTGCTCTACCAACTGAGCAATCCAGCCCTGTATTGGTGGTTCCCCATTTTTGTCAAAGACTGTGTTCAAGGTGCGCTAGTCAGAAGCCACTTTCACTTGTTAGGTACCGTATGGCTAGCCGATGTATCCACTTGAAATGGCATCCGACAAGTATATCGGCTCTACAGTATTGTGTGTACAGTTTTAAATCTACTTCAATAAGCCGCTACTCAAAGGCTAAAGCTGTTTAATGCGGAATATTTTAGTGTTTATGTATTCACATCATGAATTGTAACTTACATAGAGCGACATGAATTGAAAGATGCTGCCAGCCTCAAACCGTTGCATGCGGGAGAAGATATGCACCAACTTGGATCCTTTTCTCAGGCACTGCGGAGTGATGAAATGAAAACAGGAACAGGTATCAGTTCAAGGAAACGTTTCCTTCTAATAATTATTTACAAAGTCCCCCATCAGAATGTGGTCCTCGATTAACTGAACAAACAAACACAAGACTAATTTCAGTTCAGGACAGTCTGTTTCCTCAGCGAATCAGTCAGTCAAACAGTCAGTCAGTGGCTCAGTCAGTCAGATCACAATTGGTTGCCCCTTCTGGTTCAGCCATGAAACCCAACGGAAAGTCACGATTCTCGACTGCCACTATCTAACTGAAAACAACAGAGGGAGCTCTCCTTGTCAGTAGGATCACAACTCACCCAGAAAGAGGCAGACTGGTTGATAGTTTTTGCAAGTTTTTCAGCCCGTGTATCATTCCAACAGATGAAGTTGTGGTATGGTTCCCCCGTTTCCCTATAATAAAAAAAAAAGTGATCAGCGATAATGCCTTAAGATTTCACAATAAGCCAATAAAATTTGCTGTTTGAATATTTCCTAAAAATCAAAATGGTCGGAATGAGGTACACTCATAAAGTCATGTATGTGTTTGGGGGGGGGGGGGTGGAGTTGAACTCTTTGCATGGAGAAGGTCCATCAGCTTCAAAGATTGCACCTGCTGGAGCTCATGGCACATTGTTTTTGTTTGATCTAAGTAAGGCAATTAATTATGCAAGCAAGAAATTACTATGGATCTTAATTCACCTGTTCCATGTTATGAAAGTGGCCCTGAGTGTCGATATCCCCATGGCAACGACCTGCTCTGGTTCCAGTTTAGCTTCTGTACATAAAAAAAAGAACATCATTTCCCAATTAGTCCCTGTACATGGCAAAGTACATGACAAAAGTACATGCAGTCACTTATACAGATTCCTAGATTCCCCCCCCCCCCTCTTTTATTTTTACGTGTAATGGCATCCTTCACGGCAGTAGTGAACTTCTCCCAGAGGACGTCCGGCAAAATCTCCACCATTCCTTGGCTAGGACGATGAACACTGGTCTGCATCAAGAAGAGCAAAACAAAAACATCTGCTTCAAAACGTGTCTTACACACTGTAGTGCTTATATAGCGCTTTATACCAAAGGTCTCATAGCGCTTCACAATTATTACCCCTGTTCATAAGGCCATGAGACCAGTTTCTGCAGCAGCTCAAGATCAGCGCAATCTGGTCTCTACCTTCACAGGTACCCATTTATACTCCTGGGTGGAGAGAGGCAATTGTAGTAAAGTGTCTTGCCCAAGAACACAAGCTCCATGTTCCCTGTCTGGGTTCGAACCCACGTACCGGGGCAAGTGAGCCGAACACCATAACCATTGGACCACAGCGCTCCGCAAGCCGTCTTGAAGCTGCTAATCAGAATATATTTCCCAACCACAAGCGTACCTGTTTAATTAGCAATATTAAGCTGAGATCAGTTACGATTAAGTAAAAATTTACAAGGGATTCGCTTTTTTTGCTTGTAACCAATTGTGGCTGATCGAATGACCGTTTTTGGCTCCTTGAATTTCTGTGCTTTGCAGCTAAGTGAAATTGGCGCGTGCTGTCATAAAATGCAAGAAAGATCCTTATGGTAATATTTACTCATCCCTTCAATAGGAGACAAAACTGTCAGCAAGATGTAATTATTTTTAAGTAAGCAGGAGGTTTTCGGTTCAAGTCCCACCCGTGAATTTGTTCTCGCAATTTCTCGGAGAGCTGTCGGTGCTCAATATGTATGAAGTTATGTTGGTTCAGGGGAAGAACAAAAGTACAAATTTACAGGTACACAAGTGACTAAATTAAACCAGAAAACTTTGTTGACTCGTTAGAGACCCGAGGGGCGCAGTGCAACAAACCTTCTGTACGCCGATCCCTTTGATCTCGGCCTTTTCATTATAGATGTGGCATCGGAGGGTGGTCGTGCCGATATCGATGGCAGCGATGTATGCTTCCTGAGTTGCCATGGCGATGGACAGCCATCAAAGGTTACCTCTGTCGGTGTCAGGTTCAGTTTTCTTGCTGTGGAAGATTTATACAAAACATACAGGATTTAGACAAGAAACACAATACAATGTATATATAATTAGGGGACCTAGCAGTTTTTGATGTGACAAAAATTACAACCAATTATCAATGGTTATAATTCTTTTTACATTACCTGAAACCACAAAAAAAGTTTTTGAAATGTGAATGGACATGTAGGACACGCCCGCTGAATCTGGTTCTTAAGTGACTTCATCATTCTATAGGGTCATAACTCATATATACATGATATATACATGATATGTGCGCGCACGCACCACTGATTACAAACGCCCATTGGATAAACACTCGAACAAGTTGCGTTAACTTCCGGTTTCATTGGTCCATGCACCGTGTGCTACGCTATGCAGAATGAGCAAAAGGCATACCTGTGATGAATCACTGAACAACAGCACCACATCATGAATGGCGGGCTCTACAAAGTCATCTACCACTGTCTACGGGGACAATCGCGTGACGAAATATTTAAATGATTACAAAAGCACTTTCAGCTAGCTAGCGATGAATCGATTCACGATCACGCGTGTGTTTATGCGAAGCGCGCCACCAATTGCCAGAACGAGGCAAAACGCGGGAAGTTCGATTTATCGTGAAGGAATGGTACCCAGACGTTGCCTTGCTGCTAATTACGCGTACATGGAGTGGTGCCAGTTCATCACAAGGTAAGCACGAGCGAGTTACAAAACAGCGTATTTTCGTGTAAATTGCTTCGAAAATGGGGAAAAGGAAAGCCACAAGGGTATCACCAGGGCATGTTGAGGTACAGTGTGATGTCTGGCTGACTGCTAAACCTGTAAGTTCGTAAATATTTCCATCCAACACTTGTATTAATCGCTGTAGATTCACGCTATTACAGTAACACTAACAGTAGCACACTGCTGACTGCAGTACACTGTCACTGACTGTCGACTGCGCTCTGATCGTACGCGGTTTGATGAAACGGGTACGTACGTGTGGGAAACTGTCTGGGACCAGTAGGAGGGTAAAAACTCATAGAGGAAATTTAGAATGTTGCATCCTGACGCAATTTTTTTTCATCGTATATCATCTCAGTGAGATCAGTCATTTGCAAAAATGTTGTAAAGACATGAATCTGGGACTGAAAAACATTTCCAATTCTGTTAACGTTAGAAGCAATATTTAGAAAATGCTCTTGCACGTGCTTGTAAAGTACATGTTGACTCTCGATATACTGTGTACATAACCGCCATTAATGGCGTCTGGATACTACATTCTTTCCCCATTCAATAATGATATTGGAAAGATTCCCGCATCTGGCCATCACTAATTTTCCCTTCAGTGACCTATCAGCCATCAGAAAGTGATAATATGTCCTAAAAAGTCAAATTTAACAGGGAACATGTTGAAGTATTTACTGGAAAAAACCCACTTGTTCAGACCAGTCTCATAGGGTTTGTGCACAGGGTGCAAAGTGATGCCAGAAATGGGAATCTTTCCGGAATATTACTTTTTCGAAACGTTGTTTAGTTTCTTTTTTCCGTCTTTTTCCATGTAGCCCAAGAAACAGAAAGTTTTGAGCAGGGATCCCCTACATTTCCACAACGGCCAGATGCGTGACGAACCAACATTAATAATGGTTCCGATGGCAACAAAACAAACCACCCTTAATGACTTCTTTGGAAAGCGCAGAGATTTGAAGACTGATCAGAAATGTCTTCACTCTGTGCGAGCCCAGCCTAAACAAGCATGTCACGACAACGACAACAGGCCTGAACTTCATCACACAGGTAATCAGATGAAAAAAAAATTAAGCCAACAGTATCCGTGCCCCCCCCCCCCCCCCAGGAAATAAATAAATTACAAACTACATTAGTAATTCAGCATTCTTGCTGCATTCTTTAAATTGGAATAAAAGAAAGCGACTTTTTATTATTTTAATTTACTAAATACCTATTATGTTGAAATTGAATTGATACTGAGTCATGCAAGCTTATTATTGTTGTCCGGTTTTTTTTTTTAGAGCACCACAGAATTTTACATCAGATTCAGTCGACCCATGAGAATATTATGCCAGATGCCCGAATTGTTGAGTCTCCAATTAAACAAATAAAAGCTCAATCTGTGAGTCGGATTTTCCGCAAAGATTTGGCATCGCACCATTGGGACGAGAATGCAGTAAATAGCTGCTATGGCAACCAGAAACCCACAAATCCTCGTCTTTCAAACACAAAACATCAGAACAGATGTCAAGTACAAGAAAGTAAGGAAAATGTCCGGCATGGAAGCCTACGAAATGAGGAACAGAATCATCAGGCAGACTCTGTTGATGATTATGATGAAGATGATGTCATTTCTGTGGATGCAGTTAGCATGAGGAGAAGTAGTGGCAAGTCCAAGGACAAGGATGCCTTTCTCAAGCAGAGAACAAGACTCAGAAATGTTCAAACACATGGAAGTGGTTCTCATCTACCTTATGTTGGCTTGCTAAAGTCCACAAAAGCCTCGTCTGATGAGAGCTCGGTTAACCCTCCAGTTAACGACCACCCGGCGTGCAGGATAACCTTTGTACCTCTCGAGGAAGCGGAAAGTTCTCTTTTGTCTCAAGAAACAGAGCTGGAATCCTCCACAGTTGATCAGTCGGCGTGTAGCTACCGCTCCATGATGCCACTTGGAGACTCAGACACCCAGCCTGGTTTAAACATCAACATGTTGCGGTACGTCGATCCCGATCTCTTGGACACAGCACCCATGCCCGAATCGCAAACAGAGAGAACTGATAGCGGCGATGAACAGCTGATAAGCACCCATTCACTTGCTGAATCTGATGTCAACCTGAGCATTGGATATCTAAAGGTAGCAGACCCTGTACTGTTGGAGGTAAACACGGCAGATATGTCAACAGAGGAAGAAGGGGTGTTATCAGAAGGGAATTGGGCTGTGGACGACCCAGCCCTGATGGCGGATCAGAGTCCGCTTGATTCGCTGGAGTTCATTATCGGGACGCAGGGTTGTTTGGTTCTTAAAAGACCACCAGCAGCGGATGATATGGATGATTGTGACGTGGACGATTCACAAATGTTTTGATTGGTGAAACTATCAGGTTATTTGTTGATTTTTGTCTACAAACTGGTCATAAAGGAATCTCACCTGTAAACTGTGGAAGAGTGCAGATTTATTTAACTTTTAAGCACTGTGTGTCTCCATGGGTGTATTTTGCTTGATGCCAGAAAGAAGAACTTTTTCTCACGAAGAGTGGATAGAAGTTATTTTTTGATTAAAAAAAGTTGAATTCCCGAGCCCAGATATTACCGAATCCTCGGTATTTTTTGTGTAATTTATTTTTTTTATAAATTGCATTAACTGTTCATTACATGCGGATTCAACTTAACTATTTAATGCATAAGCAGATCGAACGCATGGGTCATTAAAAATTGTCCAAGAAGCTGCATATTAATCATGACCTCGATGCATACAATCTGTAATAAAGAAAAGAAAGACAATCATGCTACAAATCGTGTCGTAATTGCATTTTGTCTGAAGTATCAAATTCTTTTCAGCTTTGTGCTGAGGAATATTATCATGAGAAAAATAAGTTGGAGATCGAATGAACGGCATCATTCATGTCAAACACGCAGTTATCATGGCTGGTATCGTACACATCTACATGATTTCGAAACTTTTGTGTGAAGTGTTGAATTTCTCATATATTTCGCCATCGGGGAAATTCCAGCCCGCACGCAACATTGTCTACATGTGGCTTATCATTTGAATCTTTACAACCTCACACGTACCTCTGACGATTGCCATAAAAACCAAGGTCTTGATCCTCTAAGATCAAATCTCTAAACAATGCATAGCTAGCTCAAGGTTCAACCCATTTCCAAAACAATACCGGGCTCCGGAAATTGGAAGTAGAACTGCGCATAATTCTCAAACGGAGGGAAAAACACAACATCCACAGCGCGTGATCCTGTACCGAAGAACTTTTTTCTTGTACGTCCGGAGTTACTTCATTGTGAGGTTTGCGAGGGACATGCGAGCATTGCCTTTTCGCGACGCGGATTTTTTTGGCAAGATGACTACATTTATCGTGGCGTTGCTGTTTTTCACCGTTGGCGTCTCCCACGGCGTTGATGAGGTAACTGTTTTCCAATGTTCAAAATATTCATGATTGTTTCTTTCAGTAAGCCTCGGTTGTACATGTAGTGCTTCATCTGTGCCTTTCTCCCTCAGGTCCTTTACATATTTGGGGGAAATGAGAGAGGAAATTTCAGTGGAACAAGTTCAACCCATTTCCAAAACAATACCGGGCTCCGGGAATTGTAAGTGGAACTGTGTAAAACCAACAGACACAGCGCGTGATCCTGTACCGAAGTCCTTTTTTTTGGTACGTTCAGGAGTTACTATATTTTGAGATTTGCGAGGAACGTACGAAAATTGCCTTTTCGCGACGCTGATTTTTTTGGCAAGATGACTACATTTATCGTGGTGTTGCTGTTTTTCACCGTTGGCGTCTCCCACGGCCGCGTTTTTGAGCAGGTAACTGTTTTCCAATGTTTGATGTATTCATGCATTATTTCTGTCGATCGTGGGTATTGATTACATATTTTATAGTGCTTCATCGGTGCTCTTCTCCCTCGAGTCCTGCATGGGAAAATGAGAGAGAAAATTTCAGTAGAACCTGTTCGTGGAAAACCCTTCAAAAAATTATTCCATCAAAAAACCTGGCTGGAATCATGGCGGAAAAATGATTCCAGCTTTAAAAACTTTTACTTTCCCACAAAATGTTACTCTGTATATTATATTGCGGTGTACGTATAGGAACCAGTTGGTTTCGTCACCCGAGAGCCTACCTTCACCAAGCTATTAGAGCCTGCTGAGAATGGCTTCCGAGTTAACGGGGAGATGACCGACGAAGGCATCTGCCTGTGTACGGTGCAACAACCGGCCGAGATCTTGTGCACCGACTACCAGGCAAAGAAGAACTCGGAAAAACTGCAGGACATTCAACACAAGGTATTAAAGACTCAATATGTTTCTCAATTCACATCACGGACTTCTGCATTATTTTGTGGGAGGTCCTGGTTCGAATCCAACTATAGAGCTGTTATCATGGTGTTATCATGGTGATTCTATTGCACGCCGATAATAAATAATTTGAACATTCGAAATCATTTTTTTTAATTTGAAATTCGCGTGACTGGTTTTATTTGGTTGGATCTGATAAACTGGTCGGACGAATTTCAAATTGGCATTGAAACTAAGACTCTCAGTACTAAGCCGCTGTATGCATTGAGGACATTTTTTTCTTTCTTCTTTTTACTCTCAACAAACGAGAGCACTGGGTGCCTCCGTTTCATCAGTGCCTATTTGAAATTCGTGTATAAAAACTGACGGTCCGAAGTTACAAAAGGTGGTTGAGGATAATGAACCGGAGCTGTGATCACGTAACGGTTGAGAAATGAGTGTGGCCAGTGGTTACTTCAAATTTGAAACTTAAGTAATTTTAAAATTGCTGTGAGAAACGGATTGTCATTCATTTTCAGATTTCTAAGCTAGCCCCCGATGTCAAACAACTTCACGAGACGACCACCAGGCACGCGGAACTCTTCGCTGCATTCGAGAGCAATCTGACGGAAGTCACGTCGACCTTTGACCTCATTGAGGGCGGACAGATGCTCGTGACTAGAGTGGAGATAGAGGGCGTGCTCACTCGGATTCGGCACATGCAGTCCACACTGTTCGCTCTACGGGAGTGGCATGGGATCGAGTCTGAAGCAGCCCACATGGGCAAGATCCAAGTCATGTTGGATGAGGTATAATTCATGGATGTATTTGTATTGCTATACCTATTACATTATTTCTGACGCAACGGCTGTTGCATGAATACCACTTAGCTGAGCAATTAAATAGCTGTTCGCACCAAATACAGAACATTCAACATGATTCCCACCCACCTTGCGCAACATACCTGTACGAATACCCTTGGTTGTTAGCTTGTAATATTTGAGGATATTATTTAGGCCTCTATACTTATACATAAGTTGATCACAGAAAAGTTTGAGCCTGTGGTTGGTCCCCATCAATAATTTTCCACAGAACTTAAAAAATACACCTATAAGTTTCAAATTATCGTTGCTTTAGCAAAAGGAAACTTCTTGGCTTTAATCAAGGAACATATAGGTATTGTCTGTCTGTTTCCTAAGTTATAAAATTATTTATTTCCAGGCCTCGAACATCACCAGAATCGTGGATGCCATGGCATCAGAGGAATTCATAGACGGTGCCGCGGCTGCCATACAGCGCGAGATCAGCTCGCTAACGGACCGGCTGAAATCTTGCACCGACCAGGCGACCGCGGGCGACCGTGGCTCGGCGGGGGCAGAGAGGGAGAGTCCCGCTGACTCGACGACAACCCCGCCAACTAGCGACACCCTTCCCGAACTGTGGCCTGCGAAAGAGAAACAAAGTAGTGCCTATTTTGGCCGTTTTTTAAAGATATGTGATCTATACTATGAAAAGGCATCGATCCTTAAATCTATAGTAACAGAAATGTTAGTAGGCAAAGCTTATGTATTTGGGTTTGTTTTCTTTTGTAAAAAGCAAAACACATTATAGGCTATAGAATCATAGGAAAGAGGTGCATATTATTTTTTCTTATATTATGAAAAATCAATAAAAAGAATACTTTAGCACAGCAGACATTATAATATAATGAACTTGAACTCGCTTTGTATAGGCCGCTTCGAACATTAACTTTCCCAATGCAAGGTTTTGTAAACATTGAACAAATTTTATTCACCAGGTTTTCGATTTTTTCTTTAAGTTTTTGGGGTATTCAAACTTCGAAAAAAAAGTAATAATCAGATTCTTAAAGTATTTCCCTCTCACATTTAATTTTTTCCCCAGATACTTGCGGGAGATTGGTCGGCATTTCAGAGCCTTACACCTTGCGTGGGAGCCTCGGCTCTAAGGGCACGTGGATGCGGGATCCGATCCTGAACCCGGAATTTGTATATTTCCATACGTAAGAGATGTAGGCCTACTTTAAAGAGAAATTAACTTTTTTGCCTTCCATCCGGCGTACGTATATGGGCCTACTTGAATGATCGTGGTGTTCTTTTTGTTGAATTTGCAGATTTCTAGCCACCTCTAGTAGAAGCAGCAGCACGACTACTCAGTTTAAGACCAGTTCGTCCGTCAAGTCTTTCCAGCGGGACGAAACACATCAGATAACCGGAGAAGTGACGCACCACATCGTCGAATCCGTCGTCTACAATGGGTCCATCTTCGCGTACTCCAGCGAGTCAACAAGTCGTTACAGTTATTACCGTGACGGCCATCGCCAATTTAAACTGATAGGGATAAATTTGTCTCACACCTCGCCTTCTTTTCCAGCATTTACTGCCGGAGATGTGTCACAGGAGCGAGCAATGACGGCAACCCAGCTCGAGCAAGCCTCGTACCGCCCCACTACCGTCGTCCCCAAGATGGACCTGACCGTAGACGAGACTGGCCTGTGGCTGCTGTACGGTGACTCCCTCGGAATGCTCACCGTCAGCCAAGTGGACCAGACCACCCTTGAGTTCAACCGGACCCTTCGCGGCGCCTACCCGAAGAACCGCCTGGGCAACTGCTTCGTGGTCTGCGGTAAAGTGTACTGTCTGAACAGCTACACCGAGTTCGACTCCAAGGTGTCCTACTTCATGGACACAGAGACCGGCTTCGAAGGGTTCACCAACGTGCCCTTCATCATCAAGTACGGCAGCCTGTCCTCTATCGAGTATAACCCGCGTGATCAGATGCTGTACGGGTGGGATAACGAGCACGCTGTCGTCTACTCGATGACCTTTGAATGATGCTGTGATTCTCTGCAGACTCTAACCCTATCTACGAAAGAGCTGGCAATAGCTTAGATACTGTTTAACCCTTACCCTACTAGACCCTCCAACGCATGCCAATATGTGCCTCAAGAAAATCTCCTATGTTTTTTTGCATGGCCCTCCAATATCTGCCATGTCATTTCAAGGGTAACTGGACAGGCACTCCAATACATGCCACAGAGAACAATGAGAGTCCTCTGATAACAAAGTGAGTGCCCCCAGCTGGTCAGTATCAGGCACCCCCCAGGGCCTCCAACTCCTGCCAATTGGAGCCTTCACTGTTAAGACAAACTATCTGCCAATAAACTGCAGCTGGAGGGCATTGGCATAACCAACTGACATGCAGTAAACTACCCTCAGAGAGTAAGGGTTAATTAATTAGTGTATAGTGGCTTTGCACACAACGTAAAAAAAACCCCAAAGCTTTAAACAGTTTGGTAAAAAAAAACGCAAAAAAAAGTTGTTTTAGGATAAACTACAATATTGGGTGAACAATGGGCGCACAATGGCAAACCTGCAGGGGGGATCTCATCAGGCCTCAAAGGAGGAATTAAAAGTAAAATAAGGCGCGTGGTAATCTTATATTATAGTCGTTAATATAATTACCACAATTTTGAGCCGGTATGGATATGGAAATTATAGAAGAACATGTAGGTATAGGTGCAAAGGCTTATCGCTTGGTTCGAGTTTCATGAGTTGTGATGAATTTTAAATCCATGAGAAAATGTCCTCAAATGTTACTTTGAAACCCGTGAAATTATATTACTTAGCAGTTTACCAAACCTATTTAGCTTCATATATGGCTGAAATGCTTAATAAAATACACTTTAGGCCTACTTTATCATCAAAATGTTTCTTGTTTTCAAGTGGTCTTGCGTAGGCGTGATGATCATTTTATGGGCCTCGAGTACCTTCGTCATGACTATCTATGAGCTTGTGCGCATTATAGCATTATGTTACCCTCTACCAACAAAGCTTGAAAAAAAACCTATATTTTTTTAAAGCACCCAATTCAGTGATTTATCTGAAGTAAGCAAAAACAGACTGGGCAAAACGTGCGGTGGATTGAATTTGAAGTAAGGCCAAAAAAAATAAATAAGTCGGTCTCTGGTCACTGCGCGCATCGATTTTAATCATGCACGTCGATTTTTTTTTCCCAAAATGTTCCGCGGTAGCTCCAACAGCGCCCTCTATTTCCGCACCTCCTCAAGTTTTTTTTTACCAAAGAGCACCAAAGAATGGGAAATTGCACCAAGGCAAATGATCGAAAGCACCAAGGCAAATTATGGAGGACACCGATGTACATGAGGACACCAAAAAAGCAAAATAGTACCCCACCTTGTCTGTACAATCCAAGCTTGAAGAAAGAAAAAAAAAAGCCGCGTGGCCGCGTCAATTCCGGAACTTTGGTCTGACCAGAGACCGAATATTTTTTTGGGCCTAATAGGTCTAGATGTATGATGTTAAAAAAAAGGGGGGGGGAGCTTCCCCGCGGCAACATCACACCCAACTTTAAAGGACTAATGACAAGAAACTTGACAAAATGCAAATTCAGGTGTCTTGAACTATCTCTTTGAAACTCGCTGTGCACAACTGGAAAAAAATTATCATAACTGTTTTATTGCTCCTGTCATCGAATCCCTGGAACCATGCTGGAACAAATTCTGCCAGATCCGGACGGTACGGGAGGGCGATATACAATGTGCAACTCTTGCCATTATGGTGCAGGTCATAGGCCGCCCAGAACTGCATACGGTACGCGGGCAAAATCACGATTTTTATGCCCTCAATTCTTTGGCATCAATTAGAGCATATTGTGGGCCATGAATCTCGGGGGTTTGTAAAAGAAAAACGGTGGAAGCCGTGGTCAGTACTGCATTTCTGTGAAATTTGGATGAAATTATATAGCCCTTAAGAAAAGTCTGTTCGATTTTTTCGAACGGAGCGCACGCATCACTTTTTTGGGTGAATTTTCTCCACCAATCAGTTAATCCCCAAAATTGGACAGGCAATGAAAGATGATGAGCGATGCTTTAATTTGATGTGTGTCTCAAACACCTTGGAGAGTGGTGATTATTTTTGTATTATTAATTTGGGAAAGTGTGCGTAAGTGCCATGCAGTCTATTATACTGGTCTAGTCTTCAACCTGTGTCTGCAACCTCGTCAAAAATAGGGCGCCCTCTATTGTTAACCATTGCGAAGAAGGACTCGCCCACACTGTTCATGCAGCGCTGTTTTTTGTGATGCAAAACGATGAAAAATATACTATTCTGACCTAATTTGCCCTCATTAACTGTTCGAGATATTTATACAGATCAACCTGAAAATGGTAAGTAAATACTAGGTGTTCATATTTTCCCAAAACATGTGAAATTGGTATGGGATTTTTTGTACTTTGTACTTGTAGTGTTCTGTAAAATGTTTCGATAAATACTAAAATAGGCGTGTGTTTCCGACACTGTATTTAGCACTTGAATTTTATTCTGCTAATCGGAAGCAGAATTATTATTTTATTTTTAACAGCCTTATCATTCAGAGCTCCAGACTCAAGAGTCAAGTTTCTAGACAAGAACTTTGGTCTGGGAACTAGGCCTAGGTAAAGCAATGTAAACAATTCCCGGCTGTCCTCTCCCACCTATAATGCCGAACTTAAAACAAAGTAAATACATGTATGACCCATTTTATGTTCATTTTTCTGCAGTTGCAATTCATGCTGCTGTTTAGTAGGCAGGGCAAACTCCGCCTACAGAAATGGTACCAAGCCCACACTGAGAAGACGAAGAAGAAGATTACTAGGGAACTCATCAATACCGTCTTGACGCGGAAACCAAAGATGTGTAACTTCTTGGAGTGGAGAGATCTGAAAATTGTTTACAAAAGGTATGACACGTGGTCATAATTGTTTACAATATTGTACATGTAATTGTAAACGCATGTTTACCGCGTAGTTGGATTAGGGAGTATGTTCTCTTCTAGCCCCATAAATGTGGCCTATTTACTGGACTGCCTCCGTAAACATAGGCCACATATCCACATGTACAAAAAACGTGTCGACTTTGCCAAATTTTGATTTTCACATTTAGGCTTACTTTGTAGATTTTTTTTGCTTTAGAAGCATTCTCACCCTCTATATAGGCTAATCAGAAAGTGCTGCCTTTTTCAGATGTTTAATTTTTGTGAAATTTCATGTTGAAATTTTGATACGCAAACGTGTGCAAATGTTTCTGGAAATTTCACGAAAAATGAACATCTGAAAAAGGCAGCACTTTCTGATTAGCCTATATAGAGGGTGAGAATGCTGCTAAAGCCAAAAAAACATAAAAAGTAAGCCTAAATGTGAAAATCAAAATTTCGACACGTTTTTTGTACATGTGGATGTGTGGCCTATGTTTACGGAGGCAGTCCAGTAAATAGGCCACATTTATGGGGCTAGTTCTCTTCTTGAAGTAGTGGCTGAAAATACATGTACGTTCGTGCTATTTTTAGAACAGTAAACTTGGATAGTGCTATTTTTAGGATAGTAAGCAGGGATGTACACACCTTATGCAAATTTTGTTTTTAAATAAACTTAAAATTGTAATTGCTAGCTTGTAAGTTGGATTTTCTTACATGTATGATGTACATGTAGGCCAAAGCTGTTGTTTTTAACGGGGAGTACCTGGCCTCAAAATCATGTTCAAATTCAATTTTAATGTTCTCATAATTGGTTTCTTGGTTTTGAAAACATGGACTTATCTACAAACTTTAATAGGAGAAATGAAATTGTATTTATAATTTGATAGTTATTTGAATGATGGTTTCGTTTTCTCCCTCCAAGGTACGCAAGCTTGTACTTCTGCTGTGCTATTGAAGATAAAGACAATGAACTCTTGACGTTAGAAATCATCCACAGATACGTGGAGCTGCTGGACAAATACTTCGGAAGTGTAAGTTGCTGACAAACCCTCCACAGTGGTCATGCTTGTGTTTGTAATCTTAGTATCTTTAGTGATTGAATTCCAGCCATTGATTGTGCTGCCCAAGTTTTTGAAATGACTGAAAATTTTCAAACTTGTCTTGAAAGATTTTTAAAATGTAGTTTTTACAATTTTGACCCTCCTATGAAAACGTGCAATCTGAGCCATATTATTACTTGGGTCAATATTGGTCAAGACTCCCATGGGTTTGCTTACAGTATGCCAGGGGAGAAGAAGGAAATTTTGATCATCTGTGACTTCTTAAATAGCAAGAGTGTTAAACCATTTCGTTGGGTGTACCATGCAGTGACGGATCGTCCATAGACTTTGTTCACATGATGCATGTACATGTACGTCACTTTGTAGTGTGACCTACGATTTGAAATGAATGCCACTGCAACCGATTTTCTTTGGTCGAAAGAAAATTCATTAGAAAAATGCAATAGTGAACCATGAATCACTGTTCATTGATGATGGATCTAATGTTAATAATTTCAATAATTGTAATGCTTTAAAGAGAAATTATCGAGACGGGACTCCAATCAAATGTATGACCTCCAGATTGTCACAAAGATTCTTCCAATTGACTCTTCACAATGGAAAATTACCTTTTCTTCATACTCGTTTTTGCTGTGTAGGTTTGCGAGCTGGACATCATCTTCAACTTTGAGAAGGCGTACTTCATGCTGGACGAGCTGATGCTAGGAGGAGAGATCCAGGAAACGAGCAAGAAGAATGTCTTGAAGGCGATTCAGGCACAGGACCTGCTTCAGGAGGTAAGAGTTGAAATTACCATCTGATGAAAGATGGTGGGAGTCACAGAAACTCCTTTTCATCGACCGTGTCAGAATGACTTGGCTGTGGCCGGCAATTCGGGCGATTCACAATGCCACCAAGCGTTTGCCATGGGGAGTACAGTTTTCAATTTTACGGTCGACAAAACATGGCCCATTTGAACAAGTGTCAGTAGACAACTTGAGCTAAGTTGTTATAGTTTGGGCGTAGCATTCTGCAGCCTTACAAAAAACACCACACTGATAACAAGAAAAGAAAAGGTCAAACAGATACTCGAATCATACACTTATGAAACCACTGACTGGAAAAACTAACAAATTCAAACGCCCGCGCTGCAAATTTGTCGACCATCTCCCACAATATGCTGGGAAAAATGAATACAAACTCTTGGTGTCGCAGTGCATTGTGAATCGCCCGAACTGCACATGCGCGTGTGGCAGGGACTGCATCCACTTAGCAGTACATCCCATAGACTTGTGTATTACTGTCGGCCGTAGGCCGTAGCCAGGAAATTTGGACATGACCGTATTCAGGCCCTGAGGCACTGTTTTCAGTTTTACCAAGACACTGGCTTTCGACTTTTCTGGTGACTGTTATGCACACTATGAACTGGCCCGTCTGTGATCTGTCATAATCAACAAAATATCGTTGTCGGTACTTTGTCTACGTGTGAATACTGCATTGGGTCATTTGCACAGTTGTCTTGTGAATTTCCAAAAGTGTTTTCTCTGCTTGAAATTTGATGCTTTACGCTTTACTACTAATGTTAAACATCATTCAAAATTATCCAGTGACAACAGGTGTGAAATAAAACGATGCACAAATGGATAACAGTCCACGATTTTTATTTGGTAGCTTTATCAGCAATGAAACTTCTGAGGATCAGCTTTGCAAATCGGGGGTCGGGGAAATTCTAGGGGTGTGCATTTACGGGTAGTACTTGAACCCGGTAGCCGATTAATAAAAAACATGGGTACCTGGGTACCTGTTAAAGAAACCCAACGCCAAGCGTACCAAAATTCAAATCGCGGAAGTTGCTGTTAAGATTGTTTACAAAGGTCTGCATGATAATACTTATCAGCGCATCAATACAGCGAGGTACAAGTGTTTACAGTGAGCTTTATAGCTTTACGGTGTAAACTGCAGCTTTCACAAGCGTCATAAATGTGAAATATGTGGTGTTTTCCCATGTGGCCTGGTTTTTATTTTGAAAATTCCCCACAAATGACATTCAAAACCTTTCTTTTTCATTGTCTGAGAAGTAACCAAGTAATTTGTAAAGTTGGTTACGGGTGCCCGATCCCATGATCTGGAACTGTTTCCTGACATTAACGGTCGGGTACTCCAGTACCCGGTTCAGATGCACAGCCCCAGGGAATTGTGAGTGTCTTTTAGCCCTAAAAGAATCATATTAAAATTCATATTAAAATTTCGAAAAATCGTATTAAAAATTGAGAATATAGGACTGTTGGTGTTAGGGTTAAAGACATTTTTGCTTTAGAATGATGGTCATGTTGAAGATTTGATTTAGTTCTTAAGTTGTTGCTTCCTTGCTTGGATTCGAACCCGGGACAGGAGATGCAGGTACTGGTGCCTTTAGTGTCAGCAATTGTGCACCCGTTTACTCTCAGGAAATGAAACAAGTAAAGACAATTATTAGCACTGTACACACGAGCATGTGATTACTGTCCACGACGATTTACAAGTTTATAAGTTAATATGTGTTGTATAAGAATTTCAGCCTATTTGCAACTTTACCACCCATTTGTGGCCAGTCAACTTGTTACACTGTAGGCACAGTACACACGTAAAATGTCCAGATATCTATCAAAATCATCACCTTCCCCCCTTCCCTCCCTCCTTCTTCCCCCCCCCCCCCTTCCCCCACAGTTACAGTATACATGGTACTCAGAGGTTCGTGAGGATGTTCGATATAACGATTGATCGTATATCGCCATCTTTTTTATGGCTTGGTACTCATATTGAGTCAAAATACCGCAATACCGGGAAAATCTGTATATTCTTCAGTTTGGCAATAATGCCTCTTGAGGATATGTTATTTGGTAGAATACTTAGACTACCACTCAGAAGTCAAGTTTGGTTTGCCTTGAAAAGAAAAAATAACTTCACGATTTTGCGAAGATACTACTAACGTTAAGCAGATCTTGCGACATAACAGCAACTTTCGTAAAGTTAAAAATGACGTTATGGTGATTATATAATGGAATATCGCCATATATTTTTTTCCGACATGAAAAATGAAAACGAAACAAAGAGGATATCGAACATGCGTAGAGGTTTACCTTGATCCTCTTGGTTCTGTTGAGTATGGACTCCTTACAGTATTTTGACGGAATATTTCCATAGTTACTTAAACATTAAAGTATTGCTAGGTAATGTTGAAATCATTGTAGGTGTCTGAGATGGCCCATAAGTCTCTACAGAGTCAGACCCGTGCTTCATCTAAGACCACATTCTCAATTTCTTAACTCACCCTCACCACTCTCCCTCATGTTATCCTCTTCTTTGTGTCTTGTAGGATTTGGATACGCCTCAAAGTGCCCAATAGAGGAGTTTTGTATCCACTAAACATCCCATTGCTGATGTTGTGTTGCATCCTCTTTGTCCTCCATGCAAGCCTTCTCCTCACCGCTTTGTTCCTGCATCTTCCTTCATCTCTCATCATCCAGCCTGCTATGTTTGCATGTTCACCTTTTGTCCTTTGCTGTGACTTTGTGGGCGTGTTTCAAAGCCGCTAGGCTTAAATTTGTACGGTCACCAGCTTATTTGCATTTGATGTTTGCTTCTTGGCTAGTTCTCAGCAGGATTCGCTTATTGCAGCAATTTATCAGATTTGTCAGATTGAGTTAGCAAGAGATGGGCTTCTCGACTCTTGTTCACTTCTTGCATCAATTTTGCACAGGGTTATAGCTTGTCTGTCCAGCTGTGCTTGTCTATTTCTGAGGAACTGTTCCCCCACCCCAGGTTTCCATTTACCCAAACCATAACATTTACCAAACCCCCTCCCAATCTTCCCCAAACCCTTCCCTTTCCCTCCCCAGCTTGTTAACATTTCCTTTCGCTCATCATCCCTCCGTCATTTCATTCTTCCCCCCTCTCCTAGGAAGTCCAGGCTACCGTCACTGCCTTAGAACAACTGGGGTTCCTGTAGTCGCATGCACGAATGCTTGCCTCTACCATTTTCCCATGGGGGAGAATACTCCCGGAGCCTGCTGTTTCTCTTTGTTCAGGATGTGGCACCTCTATCGGTAGCATAAAAAAAAAAAAATTAAGAAAACCAGGCACAAAGTGCACGTTGGAAGGACTAACAGTAGCCGTTTAGTAACGCTTTGAATGAATAAGCCCTTGGTCTTAACAACCTTAGCAAAGTGATTAAGGCTAATAAACCGTCTAAAAGGCCTCTCTTTTAAAAACAACTTTTTGTGATTTGGAGAAATTTAGTTACCTACAGAACGGTGTTACAGTGTAGCTTTTTTGTTGGTAAGGCACTACATTAACCATTCTATGCCAAGTACATGTAGTCAAAATCATTCAAGTGACTGTTTCAAAAGTTAAGAATTCTCAGCCTACACAAGGCAGGATTGACTGGCTGGGACTGTTTAAGTAACTTGATACAGCTATGTTTTGACTCCGGGTGAGTGAACAGCCGTGACCACAACTTGCCTGCTTTGTCTGTTGACCCAGTTTGACTAGTCACAGTGCTAGCTTGACATGATCTGACTGCTGGTGACTAGCCTTTGTTAAAAGTATAACATGGGAAGTCGAAGTGAATTTTGACTGTCTGTGAAAAATGTATAGCTCCATGCTGTGACTGTGTAAATAGCAGGAGGGTTAAGGGGCCGTATCATAAGTCCGACGCCTCATAAGTCCGAAATTTCGGACTTATGAGGCGTCGGACTTATGAGCCATAACATTTATTTATTCCGCCTCATAGGTCCGACGCCTCATAAGCCCGACAACGGAAAAACGAGGCGTTTAATTTGTCCGACTTAGGAGGCGTCGGAGCTATGAAGCGTCGGACTTATGAGGATGGGCCTTTATTTGGTTAGTGGATGCGATTTTGTCAGACTTATGAGGCGTCGGACCTATGAGGCGTCGGACTTATGAGCTGACCCCAGGGTTAAGGGGTTCTGGTCCTACTTTAACCCTGCTCTTATAGGGAAAAATTACCAAGAGGAACGGGGCTCCTTTCTTTCCCCTGTGAAATAACCTTAGTAAGGAAATGAAGCCTTGACTATTTGTCTCCAGACTTTATTGTATCTGTGATTGTGCCCTCCCTTATCACAAAACCTTGTTGGTAGATAAAATTAACTTTTTCTGTCCTTAATGCCAAATATTTTAGACATTCCTAATTATTATTGTGACAACGATAACATTCCATAACCGCTTTTTGTGAATTTGTACTACATGTATTATTTATTTAGTAAGACAAAGACAGTAAAGTTGTAACAAAGGTGGTCTGTTGTATTTTAGTAGCAGAAATTCTAACGTATAAAGCTGGTGTAGGCCTATGTTTTATACAAATGTTTACTTTTTTTTATATTTCGTTAAAATCAATGTGTTTCAACTTTCATACCTGATTCCAGCGTGAAATTGGAACTTCAAATTGGCTTTTGAGGCTTTGATAAAACATTGGTCACCATTATGAACCTCATCAGATTTAAAGTTATAAAAACGTATACACAATAGTTTCCTCTATGTCTAAGTCTACTATATTGAACACACTTTTATTCAAGAACTTGAATTTTTAAGGGATTTTTTTTTATACGGTTCAGATGTACATGAACATAATTTTCAAACAAAATTACTGATATAAAATGGCTTGGATTCAATTGTACATTGTATTGAAGAAATCTGGTGGGTCTACCCTGAATAAGATGGTGTAAAGCAACGTGAACACTTTTGCATTCCCATTCCGTGGATGTTTGCAATAAACCAAAGACCTTTTGTGCAAGCCTTTTTATGGATTCTGATTTAGCACACTTAAATCGTGCTTTCTTTGAATTCGTTGGATTCAGTACTAGATGATGTAGTAAGCCTCTGTACTGATGACGTCACACTTTGTTTACATGTGCACTTTCCTATGGAGCCAGTGGGGCCCACGGTCCACTGAGCACCATAGGAAAGCACACACGTAAACAAAGTGTGACGTCATCAGTACAGAGGCTTATTGCAAGATACTTGCAACGGGGTCATGTTCAAAGAAAGAAGCGTGTCGTGTTGAATCAGTAACAAGCAGAATTAATTCTTTGATTTATGTGTTGATGAAATCACAGTGTTTAGTAGAATTTAATAAACACAATATAAAGAGAAGTTAATTTAATGGACAAGTAACTTGAAATTCATTATCGTGTTTGTGAAAAGTGTGTAGAATTTCAAATACGTTTAACTTCCCCCCCCCTAAAAAATAACCTCGTGTTTGTGTAATAATACTACTGTTTCTTTTGAAAATTAAACAATTTGACCAGCGAGGGTAGCTTTCATGCATTATGTGCCAGCGTCCTTCCTCGGGGTATAGTCTGAGTATCACCCGTTCTCCAAATCTGTAACCAACATCTCGTATAATGTGAGCAATGCAAAATGTTAGTCGACCCCGCGCGCCAGCCAATCGGAGTCGACTTTAGAAATTGTGGTGTCATATTGATTAAAACAAATGTGGACTAAGCTGTTGATTGGTCAATTTGGCTGACATGTTTTATAACACAACGCATAATTAATCGCCGAATCTGCTCGCATATTCCGTAGACTATCCTCGGGGCTTCAAGTAACTGGACCTTGACCTGTTTACCTTTGACCTTTCTGCAAATCATACACACTTCATTTCTGACAAGATTTTTACCAAAATACCAAGGTAAACTAATGCAGGAGCTCGATGAATGTGATGATCTTCAACCTTTGAACTTTGATATGACTGAACTTTTTAACGTTTGCACTTGGTATCTGTGCCTTGTCTTTACTGTAAAAAGTTGTCTATTTCTCCTGTTTTTGTTTGTCATCTAGGAGGCTGAGGTGAACAAAAGCGTGCTGGAGGAACTTGGACTGACATGATGATTGCGATCCTTGATGCATGCTGGAAAGTAACGTCTACATTTGTTTAAGTATTCTTAGAATGCCATTCTAATTCCATACCGGTGAAAAGGAAATATACATGTACATGCTTTGATTGTTTCAAATAAGCATGGCGATTAACTTGAATTCAATGTGATAGCGGTGCATTGTCACCCAGTATATTGCTGTCTTGGGGATGGGAAATAAAGTATAGAAGTGATTCAGTCCTGTACTTTACTGGTAGATAAGTAGATTGTATAAATTGTGACCTATACCTGTAGTATTTGTACCAAGGGAAACAATGTATAGTTTTCCCGTGTAGCCTCATGATTGTGTCTACTTCACAAAGTTAACACTCGGTTCTATTACCCCAGTGCTTCTCTGCAGTTATCCTGAACCTTTCTTGTTTGTAACGAGTAACAAGTATCGTCCTTGTAATTTTCGGATTGTAAAATAATTAACCAATCACGAACGAATCATTACACTTCATGAATACAATTACGTGAAGAAAATACTGTTGCGAATACATCATGGTGTCCGCTTTATCATGATTCCTTATTTGGTTTGTTGTTTAATAATAAGATGAAGATTTACGTTAGCACCATGTAATAAATTTCTTGTGTGCAGTTATCTGGTTTTGTTATTAAAAACTTAAAAGATATTGGCGTAACATGCATGTTACGTTTTGTGGGGGATTTTTTTGGTTCGCTTATGATAAAAAGTACTGCAGTAAAACACAATTTATCTGATATTCTGTACACATGGCAGATGAATAAAAGCTTACGTACGAAGTGAACAACAGTTACAATTTCCTTATTGCCAGAGATTTCTTGATCGTGTGATGTCATACAGCATTATGTCCAAAACGCTGTCGATGGAAAGTATCGCCAACACGATATAAACGCAAGGGTATTTGCTGCCACCGGCAGCGTTCAAAAAAGTAAATGTGTCGAGTTCAATTTAAAAAATTGTTACGTTATAACTGTGTCTATCTGGTACATTAAAGTGAATATTGGATTAATCAGCTCTACTTTAGCTTTTTTATTGTTGGGAAATCCATGAGCCAGTATGTCTTGAGTGCATGTACTTTGAAATACTGTTCTCGTCAGTACCATCCCGAATACCTTTTCATTCGGGTTCGAAGCGCATGAGTTGTTTTGTTCGGGAACATCTAGTTTCAACCATAAACACCCTACTTGGTGTCCTTGGTCTCTGCCACTCGCTCCATCATCCACACTACGAGCTCCCGTGTCCTGAGCTTGCGAGGCGTCTTGTACTGGTTGATGGAAGCCGTGCAGCGAGACAAGATGAAATCGCGTAGCTCCTGGAAGGTGCCTGGCCTGACGAGGTTCACGTGGGCGGAGGAGACGGTGCCATTCCCACGCAAACCTTTGTAGTAGATGTGCCCTTGCTTGAGATCCTCATCAAACTAAAAATTAAGAAAAAAATAGTGGTGTTATAATTATGTTGTTTTCTATTTTGGGGTGGGGGGGGGGACGGTGGAGGATTGCCTTTACGTACGAATTCATTTTTCTTGACCGAAGGTGAACCTTATTTTTTCAGATAAGTTGAGAAAGCTTTTAATGAGTGTTGAAAAGTTGGAACTGTAGATTGTGAAGCAACTGTATACTATATATGTTCTGTATGTCTTAAACAGATGGGGGGGGGGGGTGAAATTGAATAAGTTACCTTTGATCTTTGCTCCGTGGTAACATTCAGCTCCCTCTCGCCAGGATCGATCTCAAGAAACACGATGTAGAACAGCTCTATGATATACAATGTACGTAAAGACCAAGGTTTAACGATCTTACTGTTTGAATCAAGAATCTCTCGTATTAGTCATGGCAACCATTATCATTTGTAGTGTTTGAGCAGCTTACCTGAATTGTCAGGATCGTATACTGGGCTCTCTGCGCATGTCCAGTCAACCAACTGCGCACCTGGCCAGGTGCCAACCGTCGCCCTTATGGCAGCGTCCACAATTTGGGTGTTCAGTTTCTCGTAGACTAGGTTGAGATATTCCCCTGTCCTGCAAGGGTGAGAAACACAAACAGCTAATGCTTTAAGGCTGTATGTTGATTGCTTCTTTGGCTTCTTATTTAATTGTTTGTTGTTGCGCCATCTATCTCTAAGAGCATTCTTTCTTACTCGACGTTTCAAGTGATAGGGTCTAGACTCGGATCAAAAGAAGGGGCGGCATGACTCGCAAGGCCGAGGAAAGGACAGGTTATCTTCAAAACCACAAATAAGACCCTACGATTCATCACAGGAAGCAACCAACCGCCACCCATTCCTACTTGAACCTTCCAATCTCACATTGCTTAGAAACCTTCTGGTTACCTATTTCGGTTTAGTCAGTTTTGGTTACCTGTATAGGAAGCGCATCACTGGGCAGTTCTCATGGAATCCCACAATCTGGATGACGTCTCCATTCCGATAGCGGTAGAGTCCGGAGCGCGTGGTCGTCACCAGTTCATATCTCCCACCAACCTCCACTTCGTCCATAAGAAGAGTCTTGGGGTCTTCGTCCGAACTATAGATAAAAAAAGGCAGGAAGAAGTGGATGGGGAAGTCTCTAGGCTAGCTCTAGCCTCCTCTGGGGATGGAATACTTGACCGACATCTTTTTGGTATTCGCACATTGTCGCCGCAAAATCAACAGAAACTAAAGACGATAAAAGCAAGGGCTACGATATGAAACTGTAACCTCTTCTCGTATACATGTAGGCCTACCAGTTTTCCTCCGGAATGAACTCACAGACTGCCATGTGGGGACAGAAGACGTATCGTGGTTCTTTCTCAAGAATCCAAATATTGATCGAGACTTGACCAGCCTCTGTACCCCCATAGCCCCAGCTGAAACAGGGAACACCTGCAAAAGAACGTTACCGAGATCAACAAAGAAAAAACGACATGAGGTTTGCCTGTAATAGATCATTTGTTGGCGTTTTTATGGGGGGGGGGACGGGCGGGGATTCGGCCTTTGTTCATCATCAGGAATATGCAAGGTATACAAACAAAAATATACCTTTTATTGTGCCAGTACGTGTACATGTATTGCTACAAACTGCCCCTCTCCTGAAAATATATCTAAGATGGCTGCTGAGTTTAAAGGATCCGTGGATATCCTTTATTTTTCTCATTGACAAATTAAGTTGGCCTTTAGTGTTTCCTATGTATTACATTGAGAATCAGCGTTTCTTGTATTAACTCCACGCCCAATGGAACTGCAACTCGGAATCAGTCATCAAGTTTGTTCTTATTGGTGAAGGTCTTGTAAGAAACAAAGTCGACTCAGCCTACCTGAACTATATTTCTCCTCGATTTTCTGCTGGAAACCGGACATGTCGTTTGCCTCGATTGCCATCAGGTGAGGCCAGATTCTCTTCACGATGCCATAGAATCCTTTCTCGAATTCCTTTCTCAGCTCGGATACGCGGGTCTGGTGGGGTCTGAGATAGCCTTGGAGGGACCGGCGCACATCAGGGTCTAGAGGGATCTTAGCATTGATCTTCCCGGTAGATAGATCCTCCAACATCGCCGGCCAGTTGGTTTCGAGGCATTTCAGGGCTCGGTACATTTGGGGAGAGAACATGGAAGCAAGCAGAGCCAAATTGGGGTCGGCGATAGCGAACAGCAGGTGAACGTAGATGGCAGAAGGCTCATCTGTGATAGTGAAGGTCGGAGGCGGAGAGCTGAGTTCGGACAAACGCATCTTGTCCTTCTGGCTGATGAATGCATACGGTGAAACGACTACACCACTTTTGGTAAAAGAGCATTTGGGATGGGTGTATAGGAAACAGCGTTTTTGGACCGGGCTTGGTCGGTGAGTGCCCTGATACATAGCCAAACGCCTGGTTTCCATGCACCGGGCATTTCCGTCGAGCCAGAATCTCACGTAAGGTATTTTCTTGCCGGCTCCAGTGGTTCCCGAAGTGACGCCGAATCGCAAGGGCCTCTCGCCAAGAAAGACGCTTTCGTCGCCATCGGCCAGCCGCTGGATGTAATCCTTGAAGTGATCGTACGTGGTGAGAGGATGCTTCTTGCGGAGGTCTTCCACCGATCGGATCTCCCCAAGACGGTTCTTGCGCCCGTATTCCGTCTTTGCATGTCGCCTGATCAGCTCCCGGATCAGATCTTCCTGGGCTTCACGCGGATGTTTCCACGCGCGGTTTTCCTTTGCCAAGATGGAGGGTGCGGCCAGTCGTTCACCTTGGTGCCACCAATATGAAAGGAGTAGGCTGGTGAGGGTGTGGCTCTCAGAACATCGGAGCGTCGAGATGTGGAATGCGATCAAGGAAGAGAGGAGCAACAAAGCGGCTACAGCACCTGATGAAACAAAATATTAAAGATCGAATATTCAAAAATTTTCGTGATGTAGGCTTGATACACGGATACCGGTACAATAAAGTCATCTTGCTTTATTAGATGTACCAGTTTTGGTGGATATGCCATAGTAGCATAATCTTTTAACACCATTTTTGATTCATGTGTGGTAACTCTGCTTGTTTGTTCATGTCCCGGCCGATGGCGCCATACAAACCACAGTAGTAGGCGAATTGTTAAAGGATTTGACTTCTTTAACACTGCGTGCAGAGTTGATTCTTGATCATTAATCTACCTGTTACTACTCGGAAGGCAAGATGAGCCTGGGAAGACAAGCAATGATTTAATAGGACCGCAGCTAGGAGCGAGAAGATCATCCCCCAGCATGCACAGTGAACACTCCATGTCACCGCCATTTTGACTGTGAAACTTAAAAAATTGTAGGCTTGAACTTCAGTCGGATGGCTGTCCTAATCCAATGTTTTAATTGGTGTTGGTGTGGAGTTATCTATTTTAAAAAGTCAGAGGACCCATACGATAAGGCTTCTTCAGCATGCCCTCTCGCATTAGGTTATCAAATCCTGGTTTCAAGCCGGGTCAAAATACAAACGGTGACAACTTGACATGCACAACGATTCGCGGTTTACTAAAATGTGATACATGACAGGTCAAAGAACACTCTTAAAACTGTGTTCGGCAGTTAAACACAATCTTGCTATCACTTTGTATTAACATGTTCAGAAGCTACACTGTTAAAAATGTCCGTAAATTTACGGACTCCGTAAAATGAAATATTCCGTATTTTTTGCCTTAATTTTACGGACTTTCCGTAAATGCAAATATTAATTATGCTATTAAATTAACGTGATTACAATCAACCAAATTTGACCAAACACCTACAGATAATAAAGTACATCCAATTACATATTGTTATTTCACCCAAAACCGTGTACACATGTCCAAACTCATGTTAAGGGCCTCTTTTATTTTACGGAACGAAAAAACTTTTCCGGAAATTTTGCTGCCAGCAAAAAAAATAGCGTTCCGTATTCCTGCAGCAAAATTTCCGGAAAAGTTTTTTGATTCCGTAAAATAATCAGACTCTGAACATGAGTTTGGACATGAGTAAACGGTTGTGGGTGAAATAACAATATGTACTTAGATGTACTTTATTATCTGTAGGTGTTTGGTCAAATTTGGTTGATTGCAATCACGTTAATTAGCATAATTAATATTTGCATTTACGGAAAGTCCGTAAAATTACGGCAAAAAATACGGAATATTTCAATTTACGGAGTCCGTAAATTTACGGATATTTTTAACAGTGTAATCATTGCGGGTCCAATTCCTAAACATCAATGTCCAATGGCTAACACTATCCATAATAACATGAAACATGTTTAGTACATGTATTAAAACATGCTTACAAACTGATAGCAAGAAAGTGTTTAAAAAAGTTTTAAATTGCTAAACACAGCTTTCTGCAGTGAAGGCAGTATTCACAGTAGGATCATAAAAAGAAATGCGTACAATTAATCCTTTAATTGTTTTAAGTTCCTTCGGCCTTAATGATAACAGCTCGTTCATCAGGTGCTGGATCAAGCTGTCTTTATTCTGAAATGATCATTGGCACATTTTGTTTGACACATATAACACAATTATACATTATCAGTGAAATAATATAAGGACGATACAACAATTAAACTATCAATCGTCAAAAAAGGGATATATGTCACGCTGATTATGATACTATAGTGCTAATAATCGTCGGATTTAAACAGCGCTCCCATCGTCGGATTTGAATAGCGCCCCCATGTGAAAGTATGGTGGCGCACTCCCCCCTCCCCCTCCATAAAAAGTTCGCCCCCGCTGAGTCGCCCCCCCCCCCACCGAAAATTTGTTACCCCAAGAAAAGCATAGCCACGAGTTACCATGATTATCTGGAAGAACATAAAGGCCCTCTTTTTCCGCGATTTCGTGCGTATTTTTCACCAAAACTCTATTTTTTTCGTGAGTGGTTGTTTATTGTAAGTCCCTTGGAAAGCGAATAGCGGTAGTCATTGTCTAATGTAGGCATGATATACGTTTTGAACAGCGCCCCATGTGAATATGGTGCCCCCCCCCCACACACACACACACACTATTTGATTTCACGGAGGGCGGGTGTCCAGTGATAAAAAACACCTGTCTACCTTTCATTGACAATTTTTGGGCGCCCCTCCATTAGAACCTCAAGCCCCCGCCTCCCACACGTCCGCCTAGGAGGATAACCCTGGCTACGCCGCTGCCTACGTTCCCTTTCCACAATATTAACACCAGTTGGTTCTTAGCATCAGGCCATTAATGAGTGAATCATGTTTCCCTAAACATTCAGGAAATGGTATTTTATTCACCGTGACATAGATAGACCTCTAACTTGAACTCGTCCCATATCCAGAGGAGGGCCATGAATGGAGACAAGTGGGTCCAGTTCAAAAAAAATTACCAGCATACATTCGCACTGACTTCGGCTACATAAAGCGACCGGTCGCTAGAGTACACACTGCGTAACGGATTTGCTGTTTATTAAACGAACTTCATGAAGGTAGCAAAGTACAAACTTCAGGTCAGTAGAGAAAATGGCAGCTGTGGTATTATTTCGGGGATCATTATCTATACGCAATGTAAAGCAACAATCATTATTCCGTCACCCACTAAATTAGAGACACGTACACTCACTGTGACTTATATTTAAACTCAAGTAAGTCGCTTGATACTGCATTCGGTGGCGAGTGTTATAACCTTGTAAGAGTAATATATGCCTATATATTTTACAGAGATATTGACTGGTAACATTAGAAAAGTGAGGCACCATGACGGTGACGTGGAACTTTCGATGTGCGTGTTGGGGGATCGTCTCTTCCCTTCTAGTTGCAGTCCTATTCGGTCATTGCTTGTCTTGTCAGGCCCACCTCGCCCTCCGAATAACAGAAGGTATGAACAGTCATTTGTAAATGTTTTGGAATACGTAACAGTGTTTAAATAATTAAAAACATATCAGCATTATACGTCAAGCAGCCCTTATAATCTCCTGAAATCAGGTGCTATGATTTATATACTCCATTATTCCATTATTATTTTAATCAGGTGCTGTGACGATTCTTCTGTTCCTTTCCTCCTTAATCGCCTTCCATATCTCGACGCTCCGCTGTTCTGAGAGCCACACTCTCAGCAGCCTACTCCTTTCCTACTGGTGGCACCAAGGTGAATGGCTAGCCACGCCCTTTATCTTGGCAAAGGCCAACCGTATGTGGAAACATCCGCGTGAAGCCCAGGAGGATCTGATCCGGGAGCTGACCAGGCGACATGCCAAGACGGAGTACGGGCGCAAGAACCGTCTTGGGGAGATCCGATCGTTGGGAGACCTCCGCAGGAAGCATCCTCTCACCACATACGATCACTTCAAGGATTACATCCAGCGGCTGGCGGATGGCGAGGAAGGCGTCTTTCTTGGCGAGAGGTCCTTGCGATTCGGCGTCACTTCGGGAACCACTGGAACCGGCAAGAAAGTCCCTTACAGTGGTTTCTTTTGGGAGGGTGAATCATTTGCCTTCAAACTCTACCGCCTTGGTATTTACCAAGGAATCAGTCGGCCAAGCTCAGTGCAGAAGCGCTGCTTTCTCTACACCCATCCGAAGTTTTCGGTCACAAAGACTGGCCTAGCCGCCGCTTCATTTCTGTTTGTCACAGAGAATGACACATCAATTGTAATCATTCCCGAACAAAGCTCTCCGCCTCCAGCCTTCACTATCACCCATGAGCCTTCCGCCATGTATGTTCACATGCTGTTTGCGATTGCCGACCCCAATCTGGCAATGCTGCAGGCAGCGTTCAACTCCCAATTGTACCGAGCTCTGACGTGTCTCGAGACCAACTGGCGGGCGATGTTGGAGGACCTTTCTACCGGGAAGATCAATACTAAGATCCCTCTAGACCCTGATGTGCGCCGGTCCCTCCAAGGCTATCTCAGACCGGACCAGGCCCGCGTATGCCAGTTGAGAAGGGAATTCGAGAAAGGTTTTGAGGGAATCGTGAAGAGAATCTGGCCTCACTTGCAAGCGCTTGACGGAATCGATATCTCGGGCTTTAAGGAAAAACTTCAGGAAAAATACGCCAACGGTAGGAATCTTTCGGATTTTTTTTTTGATTTTTTTTTTTTTACAAACGACTGCATGGGCTTAACTCTAGCACCCTTCTACCTGATGCATATTCGTCATACTTATTGTCTTTGTCGAAATTACATCTTATCTATTTTAGCTAAGGACATTGATTGATATGCCTTCGTAACTTAATAAACTCGGTTTCAGTGCTATTATGGCACTAAAACTGAGGCTTTTGCCGCTAAGCTGTATGTCGAGGCCTTTTTTTTTAATCCTCTCAACTAAAGACAGCATGAGATGCCCTAGTCGGCTCAATTTGAAATTTCCTTACTGCGAGCAGTTGGGTTTGATTTAATAATGTACCTTTTCCATGAGCCATCAGCATATTTTCAAAGCGTGTTTGACTCTTTGAAAGCAGGTACTGTGTGTGTGAGTGCGTTTAATTACGGTACTACCGAGTGTGGATCCCCAACCGTCAACATGTGGGTCACAGAGAAGGAACCAAGATACGTCATAATACCGAACATTGTCGTGTATGAGTTCATTCCAGAAGAGGAATGGTCAGTATTGTTTGTCTCTCCGTTTTATAGTAATTTGATTAGGTCCATTTAATGGAATGTGTTAAGCTTTGAGCTAACAATAGTTTTATGTTCCAGCAAATAGCCTATCACTATCAAGCTTCATGTGCTAACGCATTTGATAAGCTCTCATCTTCTCTATAAATATTGTCTTATGTTGATTCTTATTTCCTCCAGCCTTGAGAAAGATCCTACGACCTTGTTAATAGATGAGGTGGAGGTTGGGGGTAGATACGAACTGGTGAGTACGACTCGGACTGGTCTCTACCGGTACAGAAGTGGGGATGTCGTCCAAGTCACCGGATTCCATGAAAGATGCCCTGTCATCCGCATGTTGTACAGGTACAGTCGTCAGAAAATAAATGTATTAACGTGATATGAATTTACTTTTTACTGGTCGAAAGAGCTAAAATCTTTTCTTTGTCACCTCTTGAATTTAGAATTGGGGAGTATCTGAATCTAGTCTACGAGAAGATGAACGCCCAAGTTGTGGACGCTGCCATAAAGGCGACAGTTGGCAGCTGGCCTAGAGTGCAGTTGGTAGACTGGACATGCGCAGAGAGCCCAATTTACGACGACAGTCCTGGTGAGTACACGAGGACGACAAGGAGATTTATGTTCCCAGTAAAGGGACATTATGGCAAGTCATTCTGTTGCATTAGAGCAGCATCTTGTCCCTCTTGGATACCTTTGTGAGAGGTGGATTTCGTTACAAATTGCCTGAAAGGCATCCGACTCGTTTCGTCAGCCGCAAAATTTAAAGACAGCTTTCTCTAGAACAAATCGTCGCTTTGCTCACGAAGTGACAAAACCTCGAAAATCGATAATTATTCGATTTTGAGTTTAACTAGCCATTTTATTATAGTTGTCTCAAGGAACAATTTGACCAAGTTTCAAGGCAAAATATTGTTTACTTTCTTAATTATTGTAAACAAACAATTGACAAAAAGCCTGAAATCGGTGATTTTCATTTTCACCAAGTGTAAAAATGTGTAAGATGTTCTCACGAAGTGACAAAAAGTCATTTCGTGAGCAGGGCCAGAAATTATGCAATGGTCTACACGCAGAAGGATGGGAGCATACACGCGCGCGCGAACGATGTTGAAAAAGAACAGACGCGCGCGCGCTCAACTGTCGTGACGCGCAAAAGTAACAAGTTTGTTGCGTCGGAAAAAATCCCACGAAGTGACAAAAACTGTGTACAAAGTAATTGGCAAAATATGGGACCCAAAGTTTTGATGTTTTCACGAAGTGCAAAAAAGTTTTATTAATGAATTACAGTTTAATTACGAACTATTTTTAACAAACAACTATGAGTTTACAAAGAGCAAATCATATCCTATCGGACAATGCAAAAAATTTCGAATTCTGTTACTGCAAAGTGGTCGAAAATGTCTTTTGAAAAAATGAATAACTTTAAATGCGATTATCTCAGAATGAACTTTTGTCAAATTTTTAGGTTTTTGTCACTTCGTGAGCAAAGCGACGAAATGTGGCAGTATATAATAGTTTTCTTTTGCTCGTCTATTCAGCATGTATACATTAATTGCTGTCCCTCAACAGTACTGATCAATCAGACTCAAATTATGATTGTTTAAAAAATCAAATGTAATACTGTTTTAATATCCTAGAGCTATACTACATTGTGTTCATCGAAATAGACGAAGAGCAGACAGATTTCACTGAAAACCAACTGTCGAAGGTAAGATTCGAGTTTTATACCAACGTGGGAACTTGCAAAAATGAACACATTTCAGTCGAAAGTCGATAAATAATTTGTGATAATTGACAAGACTTTTGGAGAGAAATGGGTTGCCACGAACTTTAGTCTCATCTCGTGCATTTTCTGCATGTGTAGGTCAATGCTTCTACAGTAATTGAACTTCGGTCGGCGCATCATTTTGATGGAGGTCACAACAAAATCGTCAGGCCAACCAAATGTTCAATCCTTATACCAAAATTACCTTTTCCGTTTGATTCAGTTCGATGAGTACCTCCAGCATCATCAATACTACTACAAGAATCTTCGCGCAAGTCGCACCATCTCCGCACCACACGTGCATCTCGTCGCCCAAGGCGCGTTCACAGACCTCGAGGACTTCACCATATCTCGCACCACAGCGTCCTCCAACCAGTACAAGACGCCTCGCAAGCTGAAGACGAGGGAACTCGTAGAATGGATGATGGAGAGGGTGGTCAACTAGAGGTCAAGTATATTGTCCTGTGCCGACCGTTGCTGTTTGCTAGGCCTCGTCTCCGTAATTTTTATCTCAAAATGTTTGTTTAATATAAAGTTTACGTTACCTATTGTAGTTGCACTACTGTAACTTTATAAACATAGTTGTCGCAAAATAACCTGAGCAATGTTTCTATTCATGTGCATGAAGACTTCTTTAATTATTTCACACACTTTGGCACAAATGGTAAAACTGTAACCCATAAACTATGGTTACCGGGTGTTTCGTGTATCAAGTACATGTAAATAAAAAAATCCACTTCTAATAAAGCCACTTCGTAAATAATATTGTGGTGGCAGTAAGTGCGAGTGGCAAATAACATACGTTTACTATTAAATGTTTCTATTCATGTGCATGAAGACTTCTTTAGGCCAAAAAAAAAAAGTCTCCGGTTTCTGGTATGGAGCTTGCCCAAAAAGTGGTGCGGCGACGCGGCTTTTTTTTTTTACCTGATTTGTTTGCTTCAAATGTCGGCTGATGACTGCAAATGGTGCCCGACTAAACTTAGTGCAAATACATGTATATGGGAGTCCAGAGAGGCCACGTAAAACTTATTCTCGACAATAACCCAAACTAAAAACACGTTAAAATTGTGCAGCAGCAGGATTCCAGTCAAACCAGTGAGTTTGGCGGTTTTGAGACATCATCTTTCATTGAAAAAAACTTTTTCATTTTGCCGACGCGCATGGCTACGGCGACGCGCGCGCATACCAGAAACATAGATATAGAACTTAAAATAACTAGATCGGACGCGCGTTCGAACGCGCCATTCACTGTGCACAAAACTTCTGGGTTCTTCATGGACGCGCTGCAAAGTCGCGTGAATAGTGCCACGCGCAAAGGACAGCTGGTGAATGCTGGACGGAAAAATATCGCCAACACCCCCACCTGAATTCAGCTATGCGTTGAAGTTCTTAACAATAGGTTGACATTTTTAACTACGATTTTTGACAATGTGACATTTCATATTCCTTTGAAAAGTTACACATGTGTTTGCCTCCGTGTCTTATTTGGGGCCAAATTGGCGACTGTGTTGAAGGTAATTGATTTTCAGCGAAGAATTCTAATTTGTACCGAGAAGTAGCCACATTGTGTTCTTATATCTTTAACAAAGGCAAATGTCAAAAGCGTAGTTAAATGTCAACCTGTTTCATGAGATTTTCCCCTCTTTTCTAAAATGTGCAATAAAAATCAACCATTACTTGCCTATCAGACAAAACATAAACGTTTAATTTTACCAACATCAAAATGAAATAACAGAAAATCATTTTGTAAATGAGCAACGATAAAAACGGGCACTCGAAATATTGCGTTGCTTTAATAATAATAATAGCTTTATTTACAGATGGTAGCCTGACAGATGATTTTCAATGGGCCATCAATTAATACTGCTAACCTCAATAGGAACATTACATTCGAAATGAATGGATGACTACAAAAACAAGTCTGGCCATCTGTTGTGAGTACTGAACAAACTAATACTTAAATAACTTGTAGGTAATAAACAATTTATATACAATGAAAACATACTTGTTAGCTAATAAATAATCCGATGAAATGGCAGTTCCATATCCATATTATCCATTAATCAAGATGTCAAGAATATCATTGCTCATGAAAAAAATACATTTGGTTGTCACCATCCGAATATTTATGTGAAGGTCTAGCCTATGCCCCCTTGTTGGGGGCTGGGGGGGGGCACACTAGAATTTGTGGGGGCACGTGCCCCCCCCCCCCTTGCTACGCAACTGGGCCTATGGTATTACTAAACATTCCTAAAAGGGATTTTATTCACATCAACAGACCCAGTAACTTAAACTCGTCCCCGTTCAATCATATGAAGTTCGTATTTCGAGGAAGTCAAAAACTTTATGTTCAACAATAATAAAACATATAGACTATAGCAAATAACCGCCATATATAGCGCGTACCTATTATGAAAACTGCATTTGTTCCGCTCAATTCAGAAATATTTCTACGGTTTACAAAATTTATAAAACAATAATAAATTATATATAATAATAATTGTTCTTATATAGCACTTTCCGTCGTTTCAACAATCTCAAAGCGCTTGAACAACTATTACCCCATTCATCAGGCCATGGGACCACGCGGCAGCCGATATCAGCGCTCAATAGGTCCTCGACCCTCACAGGTAAAGGGTACCCATTTATACTCCTGCAGGGTGGAGAGGCAATTGTAGTAGGGCACAAACACCATGTTCCTGGCAGGATTCGAACCCACGCACCTCAGTGGCGGTTCTACGGGGGGCTGCCCCCCCCCCCCCCCCCCCATTGTGTCTAGCCCCTCCTTCCCCCCCCCCCCCTCCCCCAAAAAAGGCAAGAATGTGACCTGCATGCGAACGGGTCTCCCCCTAAATAAATAGTCGTGAGAAGGGTGCATTTTGTACACTTGTAGTTAATAAAGTGTGCATGATTGTAGGATTTTATCAGCGCTCCCCGTCGAAAATATGGCACGAGGCCCCCCCCTATTGATTTTCGAATGCCTAAGTGTCCGGAGAAAATAACCGGTGTACATTTCCGCACGCCTCCATGAAAAAAATTCTAGATCCACCCTAGTGCTAGCCCCCCTAAAATATTGGCTCAAGAACCGCGCCTGACGCACCTTCGTATGAGTCAAACACCGTAACCACTGGACGTACCATGTCGTTCTACATAGAGTTCTTTGCAGAGTTTAACAACCAAAACAAGTTTATCACAAATAACCAGGACTAATCAACCCTGGACTGCTCGTTCGACTATATAGCTTTGCGCCATGGTTGTTGAACTCTGTAAAAGTATCACAATACAAGGCAGTAGGGGAAAAAAAACAGCTGTGGAATAATATTTCGGTGAGCATTATTATGTACACAATGTTAAAGCAATAAGTATTCGCCATCAAGTACGTAGAGACACACTCGCTCACTGGGACTAATAAACTAATGTGTGTGGCAGCGTCGCTTATAATTATACTGCCTTCGGTGGTGAGTGCTACAACTTTAATACAGACCTAGTTTACAGAGATATTGACTGGTACCTTAGTGCGGCAACATGACGTTGACGTGGAGTTTTCGATGTGCATGTTGGGGGATCGTCTCTTCCCTTCTAGTTGCAGTCCTATTCGGTCATTGCTTGTTTTGTCAGGCCCACCTCGCCCTTCGAATAACAGAAGGTATGCAGTCATTTGTATATGTCTTGTTTAAATAATAGTTATGGACATACGTATCAGAATTATAAGTCATGCAGCCCTAATTGAATCTCCTGAAATCAGGTGCTATGATTTATATACTCCATTATTCCATTATTATTTTAATCAGGTGCTGTGGCGATACTTCTGTTCCTTTCCTCCTTAATCACCTTCCACATCTCGACGCTCCGCTGTTCTGAGAGCCACACTCTCAGCAGCCTACTCCTTTCCTACTGGTGGCACCAAGGTGAATGGCTAGCCACGCCCTTTATCTTGGCAAAGGCCAACCGCATGTGGAAACATCCGCGTGAAGCCCAAGAGGATCTGATCCGGGAGCTGACCAGGCGACATGCCAAGACGGAGTACGGGCGCAAGAACCGTCTTGGGGAGATCCGATCGTTGGGAGACCTCCACAAGAAGCATCCTCTCACCACATACGATCACTTCAAGGATTACATCCAGCGGCTGGCGGATGGCGAGGAAGGTGTCTTTCTTGGCGAGAGGCCCTTGCGATTCGGCGTCACTTCGGGAACCACTGGAACCGGCAAGAAGGTCCCTTACAGTGGTTTCTTTTGGGAGGGTGAATCATTTGCCTTGAAACTCTACCGCCTTGGTATTTACCAAGGAATCAGTCGGCCAAGCTCAGTGCAGAAGCGCTGCTTTCTCTACACCCATCCGAAGTTTTCGGTCACAAAGACTGGCTTAGCCGCCGCTTCATTTCTGTTTGTCACAGAGAAGGACACATCAATTGTAATCATTCCCGAACAAAGTTCTCCGCTTCCAGCCTTCACTATCACCCATGAGCCTTCCGCCATGTATGTTCACATGCTGTTTGCGATTGCCGACCCCAACCTGGCAATGCTGCAGGCACTGTTTACCCCTCAGTTGTACCGAGCTCTGACGTGTCTCGAGACCAACTGGCGGGCGATGTTGGAGGACCTGTCTACCGGGAAGATCAATACGAAGATCCCTCTAGACCCTGATGTGCGCCGGTCCCTCCAAGGCTATCTCAGACCGGACCAGGCCCGCGTATGCCAGTTGAGAAGGGAATTCGAGAAAGGTTTTGAGGGAATCGTGAAGAGAATCTGGCCTCACTTGCGAGCGCTTGACGGAGTCTCTATCTCGGGCTTTAATGAAAAGCTTCAGGAAAAATACGCCAACGGTAGGAATCTTTCGGGTTTTTTTTTTTTTTTTTTTTACAAACGACTGCTTGGGCTTAACTCTAGCACCCTTCTACCTGATGCATATTCATCATAATCATTGTCTTTGTCGAAATTACATCTTATCTATTTCAGCTAAGGACATTGATTGATATGCCTTCGTAACTTAATAAACTCGGTTTCAGTGCTATTATGGCACTAAAACCGAGGCTTTTGCCGCTAAGCTGTATGTCGAGGCCTTTTTTTTTTAAAATCCTCTCAACAAAAGACAGCATGAGATGCCCTCGGCTCAATTTGAAATTCCCTTACTGCGAGCAGTTGGTACATTAACATGAAGGTTTGATTTAATAATGTACCTTTTCCATGAGCCATCAGCATATTTTCAAAGCGTGTTTGACTCTTTGAAAGCAGGTACTGTGTGTGTGGGTGCGTTTAATTACGGTACTACCGAGTGTGGATGCCCAACCGTCAACATGTGGGTCACAGAGGAGGAACCAAGATACGTCATAATACCGAACATTGTCGTGTTTGAGTTCATTCCAGAAGAGGAATGGTCAGTATTGTTTGTCTCTCCGTTCTATAGTAATTTGATCAGGTCCATTTAATGGAATGTGTTAAGCTTTGAGCTAACAATAGTTTTATGTTCCAGCAAATAGCCTATCACTATCCAGCTTCATGTGCTAACGCATTTGATAAGCTCTCATCTTCTCTATAAATATTGTCTTATGTTGATTCTTATTTCCTCCAGCCTTGAGAAAGATCCTACGACCTTGTTAATAGATGAGGTGGAGGTTGGGGGTAGATACGAACTGGTGAGTACGACTCGGACTGGTCTCTACCGGTACAGAAGTGGGGATGTCGTCCAAGTCACCGGATTCCATGAAAGATGCCCTGTCATCCGCATGTTGTACAGGTACAGTCGTCAGAAAATAAATGTATTAACGTGATATGAATTTACTTTTTACTGGTCGAAAGAGCTAAAATCTTTTCTTTGTCACCTCTTGAATTTAGAATTGGGGAGTATCTGAATCTAGTCTACGAGAAGATGAACGCCCCAGTTGTGGACGCTGCCATAAAGGCGACAGTTGGCAGCTGGCCTAGAGTGCAGTTGGTAGACTGGACATGCGCAGAGAGCCCAATTTACGACGACAGTCCTGGTGAGTACACGACGACGTCAAGGAGATTTATGTTCCCAGTAAAGGGACATTATTGCAAGTCATTCTGTTGCATTAGAGCAGCATCTTGTCCCTCTTGGATACCTTTGTGAGAGGTGGATTTCCTTACAAATTGCCTGAAAGACATCCGACTCGTTTCGTCAGCCGCAAAATTTAAAGACAGCTTTCTCAAGAACAAATGTGGCAGTATAGAATAGTTTTCTTTTGCTCGTCTATTCAGCATGTATACATTAATTGCTGTCCCTCAACAGTACTGATCAATCAGACTCAAATTATGATTGTTTAAAAAATCAAATGTAATACTGTTTTAATATCCTAGAGCTATACTACATTGTGTTCATCGAAATAGACGAAGAGCAGACAGATTTCACTGAAAACCAACTGTCGAAGGTAAGATTCGAGTTTTATACCAACGTGGGAACTTGCAAAAATGAACACATTTCAGTCGAAAGTCGATAAATAATTTGTGATAATTGACAAGACTTTTGGAGAGAAATGGGTTGCCACGAACTTTAGTCTCATCTCGTGCATTTTCTGCATGTGTAGGTCAATGCTTCTACAGTAATTGAACTTCGGTCGGCGCATCATTTTGATGGAGGTCACAACAAAATCGTCAGGCCAACCAAATGTTCAATCCTTATACCAAAAGTACCTTTTCCGTTTGATTCAGTTCGATGAGTACCTCCAGCATCATCAATACTACTACAAGAACCTTCGCGCTAGTCGCACCATCTCCGCACCACACGTGCATCTCGTCGCCCAAGGCGCGTTCACAGACCTCGAGGACTTCACCATATCTCGCACCACAGCGTCCTCCAACCAGTACAAGACGCCTCGCAAGCTGAAGACGAGGGAACTCGTAGAATGGATGATGGAGAGGGTGGTCAACTAGAGGTCAAGTATATTGTCCTGTGCCGACCGTTGCTGTTTGCCAGGCCTCGTCTTCGGCTTCGGCCTCGTTGATGCCTTGATCCAATTTAAATAAACACATCGATTCCATAACATAACCGTTGGTGTCCGACCACTTTGAGACTGAACATCTAACTTCAGGCATTCAAAAGTTATGGAGATGGCGGGCTGAAAACGGGGACAAAGCAAATGTTTGCTAAGTACAGGTTTTCTCATCGAGGTCGTCCTCAGGTTCCTGTCCTCAATTCATCGATGATGTTGCACGCGTGTCCTCGATTTACACCATAAACACGCACTTTGAAATGAACACACCAGTAATCAGTATTCAGTGGCTAATCCAGCATTTACGGCGGAAGGGGGGGGGGGAGGGCACGCCATGACGACACGCCATGGGGGACCACAGATGTGCGGGAAAAGGTGTGCGTTCTTTCGGCAAAACGAAAATACTGGCACACATCCCTATGTGATTTGTTTTCGTTTTGCTGAAAGAACACTTACCTTTTTGTGGTCCGTGGCCAGAATTTTAAAACGGTCGTTGTGTTTAAACTTTCGTAATTTGAAACGGATTACATGAATGATTTGAATGATTCATGTACGAAAAGAAAGCTTATGATCTGGGCTTTCATATCCTAGATTTTGGAAGTATACATGCAGAACTTCTCTTAATTAAACAATGGTCCCGATATTTGGGTTTCGGTGTTTTTTTTACTCACCCTGTATAGTAATAGATCCATTTACGGATTGATTAGAATGATTACAAATGCTATTTAATTGATGCAAAGGAAGCAAAACGGGGCAAGAAATAGTGTAAGACTGTATATTTCACGGTGAATTTATTTCAGGTATACGTACGGTACCCTTTAGTCTGCACTAATAAAAGGGGTCGTATTATGTTTTAATGATATTTAACTACAAATGGAAAGCACGCCTCCAAAATTATATCAAAATTTTTGTTTAATGTAAAGTTTATGTTACTTATTGTAGTTGCACTACTGTAGCTTTATAAACATAGTTGTCGCAAAATAACCTGAGCAATGTTTCTATTCATGTGCATGAAGACTTCTTTAATTATTTCACACACTTTGGCACAAATGGTAAAACTGTAACCCAGAAACTATGGTTACCGAGTGTTTCGTGTATCAAGTACATGTAAATAAATTTAAAAAAAAACCACTTCTAAAAAGTCACTTCGTAAATATTAATGTGATGGCAGTAAGTGCGAGTGGCAAATAACATACGTGTACTATTGAATGTTTCTATTCATGAGCACGAAGACTGCTGAATTATGTCACACATTTTTGGCTCAAATGGTAAAACTGTAACCCAGAAACTATTGTTACCAACTGTTTCGTGTATCAAGTTTTAAAAAGAATCCACTTCAAATAAAGGCACTTTGTAAATAATATTGTGGTGGTAGTAAGTGCAAAGTGGCAAATAACATAAAGTTTACTATTTAGTTGTGATTTGGTGATGACTGCAGTCCACTCTCGTTAGTACAAACTCTGTTAATACAAAATTCTGGTTATAACAAACATAAAACCTTGGTCCCGACTGTGCATTTATGTGCACAATGAATGGGACTGATGTTCCTCTTACAACAAAATTCTGATATAACAAACAATTTGGCTAGGTCCGAACGAGTTTGTTAAAACGAGACTCGACTGTACATGTATTATTTTAAATATGCACAGCAAACCAAACCGCAATTAAAACGTGCATAAATATACGTAAGTAGTGTACAAAGTCCTCAGTCAAATTTAATTACAATTTAAAACAGCATTTGAAGAATAATGGCGGATAAATGGAAAGGCCCTGCCATGATATGGCGTAAGGAGGAGGATGAAACAGCGATTATTATGCGGCAATTGGTATGTAGGCTACATTCCACTGGTTGACGCATTTTGTCCATCAGTTATTTGAAAATCTTTTGCGCACCAGGCAAGTCGAGCGGCAACATTTCGCTGGTTCACGCTGTTTTGTCCATCTATTAACATTTGGAAATCATGCGTACCAGGCAAGGTGAGGTTTATTTAGCGAGAGCGAAATTTAAATGGTTGATTATCAGAAACGGACGGCGGCATAGCCTCCTCATTCTTAACGTGGCCAACTGCTTCTCATCACTCCTTGATGTTCCGTGAACTTTTCTTTTCATGAATATTTGGCGAGTCAAAATTTGATATACGCAATAACGTTTGAGTGTCATTTTTTAAAATAATAATAATATTAACCCTGCTATGAAAACATGCATTGTCAGCCTTGTTATTAATTGGGTCAATATTGGTCAAGACCTCCATTGGCATACACAGTATGCCAGGAGGTGAGGAAGAGAATTCTGACCGATTGTGACCTCTTAAATAGTAGGAGGGTTAATAATAATAATTACCTTGGATTGGACATTTGGGAGACATTCCCATAGACTTGAGCTCAAAATTTTCAAACTTAAATAATATTATTAATAATTATTATTAATCTCTTGTAATTTTGACAATTAATTAGCAAACAAGGAAATATTTGATGTGAAAACATTGCCAGTGAATGATTGGCACGTAAATAAGGTGGACATGTTTAGGGCAAAAAAAAAAGTCTCCGGTTTCTGGTATGGAGCTTGCCCAAAAAGTGGTGCGGCGACGCGCCTTTTTTTTTTTTTACCTGATATTTTTTGCTTCAAATGTCGGCTGATGACTGCAAATGGTGCCAAACTAAACTTAGTGCAAATATATGGGAGTCCAGAGAGGCCACATAAAGCTTATTCTCGATCATAACCCCCTCTAAAAACACGTTAAAATTGTGCAGCAGCAGGATTCCAGTCAAACCAGTGAGTTTGGCGGTTTTGAGACATCATCTTTCATTGAAAAAAAAAACTTTTTCATTTTGCCGACGCGCATGGCTACGGCGACGCGCGCGCATACCAGAAACCGGAGACTTTTATTTTTGGCCTTACGTATAAATCACGTTAAAAACAGCCAATGAGAGGTAGAATATGACAAGAAAGTGAAGCAAGAAGCACAGCTGTCATGGCTCTAGTCACCAATACGGTCACAACACAAGACCAATCATAAGTAAGGTCACAAGTACATGTGTAATGCAATGTAACAAGGACATAGCTGCTACTTCATTCTGACTTGCTTATTGTGACTTTGCATACGAACGGATGACATATCGACTTTTCATCAACTTGGGATATACTTACGATGTGCAACTAAAATGATGACTACATGCATGTACAACTCGGGTGAGAATACCTGTACCTTAAATATACTACAAGTGCATACGTTAGGGTGTCCTTATGGATACATGTAAAATGTGTGCATAGATTTTGATTGTCAATTTGCATGTACATGTCCTGAAGTTGGATTTGTTTAATTACTCAGTACATTCACTGTGTATATCCATTCACAGAACTACCTTACAAGTTATAATATGCACGGAAAACAGCAGGATAATTTTGTTATTTCAAAAAAATAGACAAATACTCTCTTAAAAACTGAGGCTCCTCTGTCATATGGATGAAACAGATATTACTGCATCTGTACATAAAATACTTTCAATGATTACACTAAAACTGGCCAAAAGAATTATCTGGAAGCAGTTCGCAAAACAGCTGAAATTAAACAGCTCCCAAAAACCCTGAGACCGCCTTTCCTGTACTACATTACGTCTTTTTGGACATTTTCCTTTATGTCCTTTTGGACATTTTCAAATCCATTATGCCTGCATCTAAAAGACGGCAAAACCAACAGGAGTTTAGGCCAAAAAAAAAAGGGTTCCGGTTTCTTGTCTGCGCGCGCATCGCCGTAATCATGCACGTCGGCAAAATTAAAAAGTTTTGTTTTCAATGTAAGATGATGTCTCAAAACTGCCAAATTCACTGGTTTGACTGGAATCCTGCTGCTGCACAATTTTAACATGTTTTTAGATGGGGTTACGATCGAGTATAAGCTTTATGTGGCATCTCTGGGCTCCCATACATTTTGCACTAAATTTAGTCAGGCACCAAAATTGCAGTCATCAGCTGACATTTGAAGGAAAAAAAAAACATGTCGCCGCACCACTTTTGGGGCAAGCTCCATACCAAAAACCGGAGACTTTTTTTGGCCTTAGAGTTCATGAGATGTATTAAAAGGTGTTGGGAAATAAAACGGACAAGTTATTGCAAAACCTTGTATTTGTGCTAGTAGGGTAATTTGTGAAGTACGATCCTAGTTTTTGTTTTAGAACTGAGTGCATATACACAATGTGCAATTGATATTTCAGTTTAGCCCCTACATTCACATGATTCCTTCTTACAGGTTTTTGTCATTATTTCAGTTTCGTACCGCTGCTTTTCGTACGACCTTTTTATGACCCGTTGTGGAGGATGCGGTGGCCTGCCTGTTTGGTTTGGTTGCTGGGGCAGCTCGCTGTGCGGGCCTCGTGGTCCTGTTCTGAGGCTGTTGGGATAAAGATGGAAGTTCGAGCATGAGCATTCCTTTGAAGTAAGGGAAGGCAGTTTGCCCATATTGAGAAAGGGAAAAAAAGAAAATAAGACCTAATTTGGATTCATAGACATATGTCTCTATATGGAGTTAACCCCTAAAAGCCGGGGAGTGGCTGTAGCCACGTCCGCTAATCCTCATTGGAATGCATTTGCCAGCTGTGGTATGCCATGGCACAGGGCTAGTGGGTAGTTCCACAGCTGCTGCTTTTGTGCAGTCCCCCTACCACACAAAGGCTGTGCAGTCATGCGGGCCACTTGCTAAATGTATGGAGTAATGCCCCCATTACTCCCTGTCCTTAAGGGGTTAAACATTTCACGAAAGACAAACTCTGATAAACAGCAGGACAAAGAACTGTGCCGTACCTGAGAGCCGGTTGGTCCCTTCGTCTTTGCACTGCTTCCTTGTTTGTCTGTGGTTTGCCTGGGGCCAGTGCTGCCACCAACGCTGCTCGCTTTAGATCTCTGGCCTTGCTGGGTACTCCCCTGGGTGTGTGTCAACTGACTTGTCTTGGGGTTTGTGTTGGGGTTTCTGGTGCTGGTTGGACCTCTTTTGTGACTCTGGGGAGCTTGCTCTTGCCAAGTTGTCATGCCTGGAACAAAAGGAAACATGCAACCAACCACCTAAAGGCAGGTTCATACTCAACGCCAACCCGCACGCGAATTTGTGATGCCAGGGCAAGTTTTCGCGCTGCAAATTCTCAAAAGTTGAACATTTTCAACTCCCGCCGGTGAATTCCGCAGCAAATGCTTCGTGACGTCAAAATTGTATCGCATTCGCATGAAGTATAAACCGGCCTTTAAGGATCAGGAGAAAGCACTGTTAGATCACTCATAAGAGCTGAATGTGCACCACATGTTGGCTCTGACTTACAAGCATATGGCGCAAAGTATGCACAGATAACTTTGTCTGATTGTTTCTTTACGTGAGCACCAAGCATATGTCGGCTAGGACCTGGGGTCAATGACGGCACTTTGGGTACTTAAAGGTTCACGGGTTTGTAGATTTTCCTATTCCTACCTTGTTTTTTATTGGTGATATTGACCGTTTCCTTTGTTACGGCTGTTCCAGAAGTGGTCACTTCCTCCGTTGCTGCTCTTGGTGGCTGCTGCAAGAGCTAGGGAGGGAAGTATTCAACAGGGTTGGAATCGAGGCAATCATGAGTCAATTCACAAGTTAGGTCACTGACGAGCAGTGCTTGAACACCAACAAAGAATGCCTTTGTCACAGCTCCCTGGAATAGCTTGTGACATGAGATTGGATAACTCGTGACTGACTCAATTACAAATCGGAGATTCAAGACATCACAGGGCTGAAACAATAGAGGGTCTGGCACTGGCAGATTCGGCGAGTGGAGCTGTGGGGCTGAACGGAAACTAAGAGTTTATTTTTGCTCCTATCCGAGAGCTCCTGCTCCTGTCAGAGTTCCTGGATGGAACAGGCTATTTTGTTATGAGTTTTTATGCTCACCATCTGTATGTAGTGCTGGAGTGCCATCTGCCTGTGCCCATGCTCGGCGAGTCTCTCCAAAAGAATGTTAGAGCTGTCGGTCAAATAAAGAAGAAAGAAAAAGACATCATTGATGAACAAAAACCCATACCTGAAACGGTGCGATAATAAAGACATAGAAGGAACAGAGAAGGAATGGTACTCAAGAAAAACACTCTGAGATCCAATTAAAGAAAGGAAACAAGGTGTTACCTGTCTGGATTGATCGGGCCCGACTCCAACTCACTGACTGTTTCATCTTCGCTGGGATAAGCTGCCATCGAATCTGACAACATGACAACAAAATTTCAAGAAATTGTTAATCAGCTTTTCAGTTCTTTACTCTGATCCCCCAAGATCCTTCATACAAATTTTGATGGGTTTTGTTTGTAGGATTAAGGGAGCCAGAGGTAAGCCCCGTACTGTAATAGCGGCTTGATGACCCTATTGCAAAGAACAGGCCATTGGTTCCGTGAAAAGTTGAGGATTTGGGATGGCTCCTGGCAAAACTGCCAAGGGTTGAATTAATTTGACTGATATCAATTTGACACTTACTAGTGGTTTTTGTATCATCAAGCGATGGCAGAATCTCCCTAAACTCTCCAAATTCCTCCTGTCCACCTTGCCTGGTACCCTCCCGCAGACCATCCCAGCCACCCCCTGTAGCTCTCAGTATGTCTCCTAGAGTCAACCCAGCCAGACCACTGGGAGGATCTCGCAGTGGGGAGCTGTGACCTGATGGGGGCGACATCTCTAACATCCGGAGCCCTTCTGGGATCAGATCCTGGCTTGGGATGTGTTCCCCTGAAGAAGGGTTTACAGTTTCTTTTTTCTTAGATGGTTCCTTAGCAGGTGCCGCATTGGTTCTAGATCCAGAGAGGAGCTGTACACCCTGGGCGGGTCTTTGCTTCTGCTGCAAGGTGCTTGATGGGTACTCGGGGTGGGTCTTGAGTGTGTTAGCAAAGAGGTCTTTCATGATACTTGGTTCCCTCCACGACTCTGCCAAAGCTGTTGTTGCATCAGGTATTGGAGCGGAAACGGATTGAAATCCCTGAGGTTGTTGGGGTTTTCCATGGAAAACACTCTTTGCATGATTCTCCATCCTGTTTGATGTCTTGAAAGACACAAAGGAGTCTCCTTGTATCTGTATCCCACTTTCTGGCACCTTTCCATTACTCAGTAAAGAAAACCCATCGTCGGTTGTGTCTTGTACAGCAGGTATGTTGAAGAATTCTGACATGCTGACTGCATCGTGCTTGGGGAAGACACTGTCGCCAGGATTGGACTTGAGGGCGGTATCCGGGAGGAAACTGAACAGGTTGCTGAAGGGAGGACTTTGGGATGCGGTGGAGGTTGCCAGGGAGAGGTTGGGGAGATGAAAGGTGTCGTCTTCTTGACCATCTCCACCTTCGTGCTCTGCAATGAAATCATAAATGCTGAACTTATGCCAATCTGGGCCCTTTTTCTCGGCGCCGTTTAACACAAGATTGTGTGCTATCTACATGTATGTATCTATTCTAAGGAGACTTCCAGTAGCAAAGTGAAGAATTTGCTCATAAAAGTGAAGTAATAGTAGAAATCTTTACAGTTGTACACACACTGGTTCACCCATACTCCGTAGTTGTGGGCACTACACACGAGATATTCCATGGGGAGACCCAATAACACGGTCTTAATTTGCCTAACAATTAAAAACTTCCCCATAATGCGGTGATGGCCGGCCCACACAACCACAGTTCGGAGTCTGCATAAGTTAATTTTCATCTCAACTATTTAAGGGGGTACCCCCACCAGTGAGGGGGTACTTGTGTACAAAGTCAACACTTAAAGAAGCCAAACAAAAAATAGCTGTAAGGGAATTCAGATTGATTTATTTGTACCTTGTTTATGATCGTCCAGATTGCCAGCCCCAACACCAACACCCCTCTTTGGTGGCGACACGGAGATGGTGATGGGGCTGTCCCCTGGTCTGTTGTCCTGTGGTCTGGTGTCCTGTGTCCTCTCTGGCATGTGGCTTGCTCCTTTCGCAGCCTCCATCCCAGAGCTAAGCTCCTGTTGACATATGTGATTGAAATTTTCAATGCTTTGAACCTTGAATGAGTCTTACAAAAATGTAATAGGAAATCCATCTATGAAGTAACAACAACAGGAAAAACATAAAAGAGTCTTTGTTTTGACCTTTCAACTTCACCTTTGTCTTAATATGGCAAGTCCTTGCAGAAAAGAGACTCAAATCTATCTTTTGGCAGTTTCAGCTCCCCTGGATTACAAATTCAAGGTGTTACCTTAATGAGTGGTGAGGCACTGGTCACCTGAGACAAGACATCAGTACAGTAGACCTGGACACCTTGAAGTCTTTGGACCAGAGCGGACCTGAAATGAGATCAGCCAAACTCTGTAAGAAACCTGGAAAAGATCTTCATTACAGAAAGCAAGTTCTGTTGGACCTTGTTGATCCAACACACTTCTTGTTTTGAAACAGTAAGTACCCTCTGCTCACAAAATAGCAAGCGCAATTAGATTACCAACCTCTGTTGCTGTGCCTTCTTAAGACGTTGAGTCATCTGTGCCATGTCTTGATGATGTTGCTCCAACCTGAAGTGAGAAAAAGAGGATGAAATTAGACACAAGCAATGCTTTATAAATCTATCAAAACTGTAACTGCTGGAAAGTCTTGCACCTCTTTCTGTTTCTTTACCTGGTCTTATACTCTTGAGTCAGATCCTGGATCTTTTTATCTCTCTGGGCAAGGTCCTGAACATGCGATGACCTCTGAGAAAGAAGCTGGCTCTGGTGATGATCGTGAAGCTCGCTGAGCTGCTTGCGGTGTGACTCTCTCAGCTCTGCTTCTGTCTGGCTGCTCTGCAGCTGCAGTTCCCGCATGCGGTCATCCACAAGCCTCTCAAGTTTCTCTTGCCACTCGGCTTCTAACTTCTGTTGAGCGGCTTCTGCTTTTGCCTGCTGGAGGTTCAACTCCAGACACATGTTCTCCTGTAAAAAGGACGTTTTAACATTATTATATACTTCTTTTTTTGGTAAATTTCTTTTATTGGAACTGAAATCAATGGCTCCTTAAGTTTACAAGTACTGTAGATCGCAAGCCTGTCAAAAACAAAACATAGTTGGAGACGATTATAGAGTAATGTTCTGTGTAAGAGGTGGGAGGAGAACTGCAAGTATGGTTTCAGGTAGGGACTAACATAGGGAGAATAAAATTGTTGATGCTTTGCTTTACCTTATCTTTTGTTGCATTGTCTAATTCAGCTTTAAGCTTGTCCACTTCTTGCTGTCTGGTAGACAGCAGTTCAGAAATCTTCAACTCCTCTGCAATTTTAGCCTGAAACAAAATTGAAATCCCTTGTTATGCAATGACAAATGCAAAGACACCTGGTATACTTTTTTTTTTGGAACAAGGTTCATCTATTTGTGATTATTTACTACAGTAGGAAGTTTCAGTCGGAAGAACATGATCTTGACACAGCACTTGTTTGATGCAATGCCATCAGCTTATTAAGGCACCTTTGAGGGAATCCAAGCTTTAATTTGGAAAAAAAAGTGACAAGCTCAGCTCTCCTTGAAAGACTTTTACCTTCTGTTTCTCCAGCAGCTGCTGATGATCCTTCTCCAGATGCTCAATCCTCTCCTGAAAGTCCTTCCTCATTGTCTGGCTCTGCTGTCGCTCCTACAGTTGATGCCAACAAAGCATTATGATTAGATGTATCTTAACTTATGATGGATAAATTTAGCAAAACTAAGATGGCTGGCATAAACAATTTCAAGACATTTACAAAAGGATGAATGCATGTCAACTTTCATGGCAACACATCACAATTGACGATGAGTCTTTTGGTAATCGTAACATCAGTGTCTCTCCAGAGCCACTTAACCTAAGGCACAACAATCACCAAAACAAAAACGTTAAAATTTCCCAACTAAATAACTATCCAATGTGAGCTCATTTTTGTGTCGTAAAGATTTGAGGGGAATATTAATCAATTTTGGAAATTTTTTTCTCACACATTACCGTACCTCTGCTAGCATGTGTTGCACCTGCTTGATTTGTCTGTCCAAGCGATGGCGCTCTTCAACAGCACTATCTCTCTGATGCTGGGTCTGGGTTGTAAGCTTCCGTTCTGCGACTAGCTGATCTTTGACCTTTGAGTGGTCTTCTTGGAGGGATACTAACTGTAATATTCAAAGCATGAAGGATTAACTCACAGCACTGTTATAGAGATTCTGAAGTACAAATTATTTGAAAACTCTTTTTAAAAATGGTGTTGCCAGCACTTTGACAGAAGCCTGCCTACCTGAGAGACAGTGTCCCGCTGTAGCTGCAGCGCTTGCTGCAGCTCGCTGCTAAGTTTCTCCTTGGCTTGATCCAGCTCTATCTGATGATCATCAAGAGCCTGTGAATTTTAAAAGTTGCACTTAATCAAACATTGCCGGTTCAGAAAAGTAAGGCAAAAGTGCAATAAACATTTGTGCATGGTTTTTTCTTTTTTGGGGGGCATACCTTCCTCAACTTGTCCATCTCCTCAGCCGTTTCGTGTTTTTCGTTTGCAAGTCTCTCCAGAGCTTCGTTCTTGTCCTGTTCCTGTTTCCTCCACCCATCGACGATCCTGGCCAGTGTCTACCAGAGAGATTAAAAGATTGATAATTTTAAGCAGTAAGTCTTGAGATTGTCTACCGATGAAGAGCAACATTTCAGACAAATGCATGGCGGAAGGAACAACTAGGGAGAGCGGTGCAGATGCACTATGTGAAGTGAATGTGTTTAAAAAATTAGGGAGATGTTCCGAGAAGAGAAAGTGGCGAGGCATGAACTCAACTTTATGGCCATATCCCGATGACAGTTCTGATGCTATACATTTGAAAATGCCATGGGTAATATTGAAGGGTAAGGAAGGGAGGGGAGTCTGGGTAAAGTACTACCTTGTCCAGCTGCTCAATCATCGCATCCTTCTTGCGCTCCGTGGAGACAGCCACTGCCAGTTGTTGTTGAGTCTCAAGAAGCTTGGCTTGTACATCACCGATCTGTTTCTCACAGTGCTGTTGGAAAAAGTGACAGAGAAAATGTACAGGCCGGCAGAATCCTCCACTTTGAACCAGGCTCTACCTTTTCTCGTTGCTGCAAATCCCCAGCCCCCAATTTCATCTGGTGGATTTTGAAAGATCTAGGTGAGTAAGGGATAATCCTGTCTCATATAAACGATATTAATTTTCTTAAATGCTTAAAAATGTTTGACACCTTGTTCTATTTTCTTGAGATCTGTAGTGCCGGAATTCTACTTTTCTCAATTCAAGACGGGTCTCGTTTCGGCCTCACCTTTCGCCTGTATCGCTCCTTCTCTAGGCTATCCTTCAGCATCTGATTCTCGGCATACAGTGTTCCTTCCCTGGACGACGCGCGCAGTGCTGGCACGTGAATGTTGCCCAGATTCCGTAAGGACGATAACCCTAGACCACTGTCCATGGCGAGTGGGGAGACGTCTTGGTAAGCTTCGGGGCTAAGAAAGTTTTTTTGTCAGTAAAATAGAGTAAAACAATCTCAGTAAAGAGAAGACATTGTCAGAGGGCAAATCCTTCCAAACCAACCTTGTAATACAAAACACTTTCAGTTTTTACCGAATATTTGTTTATTTTACCACATAGTCAGCAGTTCACAAAAGAGATACAAGTGAGCACAGGGGCTGGGAGATCTGGGTTTTAGTGTCCTCAGGCAAGATACTTTACTGCAATAACACATTTGTCCACAGAATCAACCTGAAACCTGGTCTAGATTATTGTGTGAATATATTTATATAAGATCAAGTATCATTAAATGGAATAAAAGTGCAGACAGTGACAGTACCCAAAACACACTTAAATTTCCGAGGAACTTCGAAGAAAAAACAGATAGTCCTTCCTTTTCTTCTGTGGACAGTTGATGTTTACAGACACATAAAAGTTCACAATTACCCAAGTAAAGACTCAGTTCTGGCACTGTCAAATGACTCCCTGGTGAAGCCGTTCTCAGCTGCCAGCAACTCTCCAATGCTCTCCTTGGACTCCAGACTGTCACGCTCTACAATGTAAGGCAGAGTAAAGTGAGAAATCAGTGTTTCGGTGACAATGTGTGTTGTCTACAATCATGCGAGCAACAATATTATGTTTTCTTACCGAGCGATGGTCGGCCCATCGAGTTGTGAACCATGTGATACAAACTCCGCCGTACTTTTTCCATTTCCTGAATTTCTGAGAAGTTTTTCTCAGCACTGGTTGTAATCTGTTGGGCAAGAAAATAAAACTGTGAAAGCAAATCAAGAAAAAAGAAATCGAAACTAAATTTGAGACCTTTTTTTCTTACCCTGATGTCATATGAAATTATGATTAATATGGTTTCATAATTTTACTTAATTGTGCAATTTCATGGACAATTTTGCATACTATCTTAACAAAGCCATGTGAGTTTCAATAAAATGGCAAACAAATTATCGTAGGCCTCATTTTATTACCCTTAGTTTTGGAGGATGATCACGGTGGTGACTTTGATGACGTTTCTCGTGAGAATTCACATTACTCCTGTCTGCATCTTGATGACTGTCCTGACTCCAGTTCATAGTCGTTGCTTGTCTCACATCGGCACTGTGAAAGCTCTGCAACAGACCTGCATTCTGAGAATTACCCATCCCTCTAGAAAGGTGCTCTGGCTTATCAACACTTCTGTCATGGTGACGAACAAACTCCCTTCTGCCTTCCGGAGACGCTTTCAAAGGGGGAGGTTCCCTTCCTGAATGGGCATGTCTCTCCTTTGATGCCGAGGTTGTCTTTACTGTCTGGCTATCAAAAAGCTGCCTGTTTGCCGGCACGGCTGGGTGACTGTGCCTGGACATTTCCTGCAGTATGCCCGAGTCCCGGAGGGTCTGGGAATGATAGGCGAGTTTGTTATCAGCAGTTGCAAGAAGCCTCTGGGGTTGCTGATCATGTTGTCTACTGGAGTAAGGGGTACTGGGCAGAGAAGACATCCCCTTTATCCAGGCCTCCTTCTTGCCATCAACTTGACAGCCAGGATACAATCTCTGATCCTGCCAAACGGCATCCACTGATGTACCAGAGTTATGGTGTGAAATATTGTGCTTCTCTAAGGACGACTGAGTCAACGTCGACACATTGCTGAGTCTGAATTCTGGACTGTCTCCCAGATTACTCCCTGGTTTGTCATCATTACCCTTGAGGAGGGTACTAGACTGGACCAACGACGCACGAAGGCTGGACAGCTGGCTGGCAGGGGAGATGGTGTCAGGATGGGCGGAGACTGCAGCTGCTTTGAGGAGGGGGGACGTGGCCGTACTGTCCAAAGGCTCAACTCCACTGAGGCTGTCTGTGTCTGCTATGGAAGCCATTTTCTGTAAAAGACCAATTCAAACAGCACACGTGTTTATGCACAATTTAAGTCAATCAATTAACACAACTTTTTGCCAATTAAATATAGCCATAAACTTGACCAATAAAACATGATCAGCTTTATTGATACTCGTGTAACTGTAAATTTAAAAGTTGCCTAAATTTAGGCCCTTTTTTTACTTTTACTAGTTTTAGGGCCTAACTTTCTAAGGTCCTCGCCTTAGATCATGCTATGTAAAAAAAAAAAACCCGTGACCATGGTAACAGTAACCATAGCAACAAAACAACAGATTTGAAAAAAGATGAAAATGAAAAAGATGTTGGGCCTAGCTAGGCCTTTTATTGACTATCAGACTATGGAGACTGATGATACCTCAGCTGCAATATTATGGAAAGTTAGATAATGCATTGCATTCATATGCTTAATGTTAATAACAGGTATGATATTTAAGTGTACATAAATTAATATAGCGTTACTGGTTAAGGCATTTATGCGTAAAAACCGACGTCTCTCCCACTTACTTTTCCCGTTTCTCGATCACGTCCTTAAACGCAACAATCAAGATCATAACAAGTTCTACACTTACTTACCTACAATATGTCATATACAATGCATTAATTGGACAAGCTTCCGCTATAATGATCTACTTAAACTTATTATCTTCCACTGATTTTGCGTTTAATTTTCACCCAACCAAAAGCAAAACACAAACATTGTAATTTAAATTTGGCTCTGCGATTGAAAACCTTTTCACTGAATTTTATATATCTACGCATTCGCTCTTGTAAAATTCTGGAAGAAAATATACTGCTATGACACTAGATGTATTTTTAAAAATACATATTCACATTAAAATGATCTTATGGCAAACATAACAGATAATTCAAAAGCTTTTTAAAAGAAACAAATGACATTATTGAACTACTTTATACACTGGCGGGAGGGTACGGCGTTGTTTATGCGAAAACAGTGCCGTATTTATTGGTAAGGGTCAACGTTGAGGGCGCTATTTCAAACATGGATGTTGAAACTGAAAGTTGTGCTCCGAAAAAGTTGAGGTAGGCCTACAGATTTAGTCTTGATTTTGGAGTATTTGTATGATTTTTTTGTATCGTTATGGAAGGTTATCAGGAAGGGTTATTCAATTATTAAGCAATATTGAAGTCGTTCATGTCTAGAAAACAATGAAACTGAGATTGAGAATTAATTTTATTTGGAAAAAAATGTATCCAGACGCTTGTTAATGTCTTCTTCTCTTCTTCCATTGAGTACATCCCTCCATAGTGGAGTATTGTCGTATGTTGTGTCGATTGTGTGCAAAGTCTATGGAGAGTTGCATGCATTTTTAAAGTATTTTCTAACAAAAATTGGAAATGTTTCTCAGTTCCAGAATGGTTTCATTCACTTTCAGATACATGTCTTTGTCACATTTTTTTGATTACTGAACTTCATTGGAAAAATATGTGGTGAAAAACCTTTGGCTTCAGGATACAACATTCTTTCCATTACTAGCAAGTAGCATGACTAGGTTTAAGTGAGTTTGAGTCGCATAAAAAAGTGACACAAATTTATTTGTCTTTATCACATGAGTATGGGCAATAAACATGATGAAGGAAATTATTCACAAACCAGCAATGACTTTATTACAAAACTGATTTAGTTGTCTAACTCGATTTTTTCCCAGCCACAAGCAGTACAAGGCTCTCCTAAAGAGGGAAAAGCGAAGATGTCAACGACAGGCTGCTGCACAGCTCCAAGCGGAATTGGAGGCAAGGAATGCTCCTCCCTCAGAGGACCCCACTGTTGAGGAGACGGCAAGACTTGTCAAGATAGAACAGGAGCAAGAGAAGAAAGATGAAGAAGAAAGGTACGCGAAGATGAAACGGAGCCATAGAGTCGGTTACTACTACTAGTCTAATCACAAGACATAAGAATTGAAACTGGAGTTGCATAAAGTTACACAGGATGAACCATGTCATGATCTATTAGTTTGTTTTGTTTCAGGAGGGTAGCACATGAAGCATGGTTGGAACGAGAACAGCTAGCCCAGGAAGCATTTGAGGTCATAAAGAAGAAAGAGGAGGCGCAGAAAAAGAAACTCTTGGAAGAGCAGGTAGGCTAAATAAAAGATTTTATTATTAAAAAAAAAACGCCATCACAAGTTCAAAACAATTTTCTCGAATGCCTCTGACATCTGACTCTGCTTTTTTCTTGTCTCCATAGCGACGCATCCAGGAGGAATGGGAGGCAAGACAGAAGCAGGAGAAGCAGACTAGCCAAAGCAAGAAGGAGCGAGAACTCGAGGTGACGCTGCAAATCCAATGCTTCATGACGCTGGCACAGATGATATATATCCGACCTTCAAAACACTCTTTCATTTTTTGTTTTGCCTCAATCTTCCAATGTTCCTCATCACCTGTACCGTTTTCTTTACTTTGTTTTTCATGGCAATGGAGTTGGCAGTGGTAAATGTTTGATATCAATGCCTGGCCGTTTAAACTTGGGCATCATCGGAATGACTTTGATATGGCTCACAATTAGGTATACGTCAATGGAAGCAGCACAACCAACTTCCCATACATGCATGTAAAACGGCCGACTGTAGCCAAGTGATTCGGACACGGCCTTATAGATCAGATCGCTTAAAGTCACCCCGGCATGAGGTTATATTTCAAATTCCATTATCCTTAACTGGTAACACGTCTCAGTCACAGCTGGTCGGCTACGAGCATTGGAGAAATCTTCCCTGAAGTCCTAAGAATGTATCTTTTGAACTTGTCATTTATTTTGTCGCTTGAGAGAATGCTTATCTGGTCGCTGATGTGGATCAAGATTTGCATTAAATATTACCAGGTTCCTGATGTCATGTTACCACGTAACATATAACTTAATGACAATTTAGTAGATCTTAACGACCAATTCAGTAAAGTATTTTTAAGCTTATTCGGTGGCAGTTTCCGATACCCGGCTGTAGTGAATTTTCATATTTTTCATGTTGAATATAATTGTTGTTTTTTGAGAAAGGAACGGCTACCTTAACTGAATCAGTTTTCATACTTTCAGCCAGCTGATCATGACATGCAACTTAACACAGTTTTTCTCAGACAATTCACTTCCCATTGCCCATGTGTCTCTACTTAGGATGTCCTGCAGCAACTCGACAAGGAAATAGAAGCAGGGGTGAGCAAATTTTCCTTTTCTTTGTCCATTTCTCATTAAATCATGTTGTGACTTTATTTGTTGGAGGCTATCCAGATTCCTTAAGCCAATTTCACACTAGAGCCTCTCAACCGGGGTTGAACTGGACCCAGGGCGAACCTAGCGCTGCCCCGGGTTGATTTTTTAATTTTTCAACCCCAAAATCAACCCTGCATCGTTTCACACTTGTTTCGTGCAAACCAACTTATTTCGCTCGGTTACCACTGTTTTTAACCCTAGCGAGAGTTTCAATCCTGGTTGAAAATCTCGACCCTGGTCTGAAGCAGGGTTGGGTTCAAACTGGGGTGAAATCAATCACAGGGTTGGCGCAGGGTTGAAACTTGCAAGTGTGAAATGCCGCGTGTTTTCAATCCTGTGCCAACCCCGAGATTTGTCTAGTGTGAAAAGGCCTTTACTAGTGGGGTTCAAAAATACATTGGAATTGTTGAAATTCTCGTTACTCATATAGTTACTTCCAGTTACTCCTGTTATATAACCCTAACTCCCTAGGCCTTTTTGCTAGGATGTAGCCTCAATCCTGCAAAATCCTGCAATTGGCCTCATGGAAAAATAGCATATAGCCTCAATCCTGCAAATTCCTCCGTTATTTCTTGAATATGGTCCATGGAGGGATGACCACTGCCTGAATCCTGCAAAATCCTCCGGCTATGTCTGTCAATAGGCTGAGGTAGAGGCAGTGACATCCTGGAGCAGTGCGGAGGATTTCAAGTATAATCAAGGACTAAATTTATGCACGGCTGAGCATAAACAACACAAGGTCCGGCCCAAGACCTTGACACAGTGCGTACTCCGAAATCAGCAACGCACTTTTGCCATGTAACCTCAATCCTGTCAATTCCTCCAATTTGCAAAAAGGATTTTGGAGGATTCAGGGCGGTTAGGGTTAATGAGTGAAAAGAAAATTTAACGAATAAAAAGTTCTGTACTGTTGCCTTATTACTTTGTAGTGGGTTTAAATCCTCCTCGGCTCTAATAATTAAGCCCTAACCTTACCCATTTTATTTGCTCTGGCTGCGTTTGCTGAATGTAAGAGATTCCATCAGCAGATTAATGTGAAGCCTGCTCAGTCCAAAAGATAATAACAGAAATATCAAAAGGTCTTTTTCTTCGCTGATAGATCCCAACTGTAATTTTCCACTCTTGGATTTTGTTACTCTGTTATGTTATTAGGAGGATAAACCAACGCATAACCCTGAAGCACCACGACAGTCGCAGCAAACGAAGCAAGAACCATGCTCCTTCTACCGTAAAACTGGAGGTTGTCGCTTCGGTGATAGGTACCCATGAACTTAATGCTTTTGTTCTTCACACAGTTTTTGTAGTTTGACAATTTTTGAATCTTTAATTTTGTAGCCCATACCGGTTCAACTACACGTTGCTTTCAGAAATTCTATAATTCCCTTTTCAAGCCCCACTGTTTCTTCTACAATATGTTCTCAAGACCAACCTAACCCTTACCCTGCCAGATGCAGCACAGTGCATCAGGTGGAAAAGTATGTTGCACTTTGATGCATTCAGCTACCAACACCAGTGCATAAACGGCCAATTCTGAAACAATGAGAGCTAAGTCCCATTGAACAATGCCACAGTTGTATCCTGCTGCAGTTGGTGACCACAGATGCTTAGACAGTTTGGCTTCGAGATTGTTGATCTGATGGATCTTGCTACACTGGGCAGGCTTGTCATTTACACAGGTGTTGCATGTTGCTGCGTTTTGCAGGGTTTCTAGCCAAAATACCACGAAGGGATAGGATTAATATAGTCAAGCAGCCTCCTTGTCCGTCTATGTATTTTGAATGTTCTTACACTTAAACACGCACCTCCGACACTAAATTGATCCTTTCCTTCATCGGCTTGTTTTGCAGGTGTTCCCGCACCCACATCCCACCTGAGATTAGCACTTCCCTCCTCTTCCCCCACATGTACATCGACTTCACCCTGGAGCAGAGCCATCGAGACGAGTACGACACCGACATGGGCTTGGAGTATGACGAAGGAGATGCTTACGAGAGATTCTTAGAGTTCTACAATGACGTGTTGCCTGAGTTGAAGGAATTCGGAACTGTAGTTCAGTTCAAGGTAAAGGGTTCATATCATGTGTGTTCCACAATTTCCTCCCTATCTCCCCGTGAAAAGTCTAAAGGACAAACAAAATGCGTAGAAACCGAAGCTTGAACATAGAGCCAAAGGATAAACCTACTGTTCTTGTTCAGACATCCTTTAGAACTTCACTTATTTGGGAGATGGTCATTTGAGTATCCTTTTACTTTCCTAGGTTTGTTGCAACTGGGAGCCACATCTGCGCGGCAATGTCTACGTCCAATACAAGAGAGAGGAGGACAGCAGTAAAGCCAGGGACTCCTTCCATGGCAGGTTCTACGCAGGCAAACAGCTCTCTTGCATCTTCACCCCAGTCACCAGCTGGAAGGCTGCTATCTGTGGTAAGTTCATACAAAGCCTTTCACAACAAACTATTCTATTAGATAACGCATGACTGTCAGCGGCTCAACCTTACCTTGATATTGATCAAGGACACAAGTGACCCCTGGAGAATGGTCATTCTTGAATTATAGTTGTAACTCTTTTCTCCTTATCAAATACAGGCATGTTCCACCAGAACAAGTGCTCAAGAGGGAAGAACTGCAACTTTCTGCATGTCTTTCAGAACCCGAACCGTGAGTTTGCCAATGCTGACAGAGACTTCCAGACGCTGGGGAGCCGAGGTGGGCAGAGCCAGAGAGGGTGGCGGTATGATCAGGACAGGAGGAATCGAGATCGAAGTCGGAGCAGAGAGAAAAGGAGAGAGCAATGTCGCAGAAGCCACAGCCGAGACAGAAGGCATAGATCAAGAGAACGCAGCAGGAGCCGAGAACGTAGATCCCGATATTCATCATCAAGAAGTCACAGATCAAGGAGCCGGGATAGAAGCAGAAAGAAAAGGTCCAGAACCCGTAGTAGATCTCGAAGCAGGAGCCCCCTAAGGACATCAAGGAGACACAGGTCAAGGAGTGGTAGCAGGTCCAGACGTCACTCACCAAGAAGTCCTAGAGAAACAAGTACAAGAAGCCAAGATCGATCAGTGCATCACAGGTCCAGGAGTCGATCAAGACACAGAGACTCACGCAGCCCAAGCCTTCCAAGGAGCTCCAGGTCCCGAAGTGTTAGCCCACAAAAGACTAAGAGTAAGAGTAAGTCGAGGAATGTGAGAAGTCAAAGCAGGTCAAGGGATGATCAACAGTCATCCTCAGACTGTGATGATAACATCCATGTGAGAACCAAACATCGGAAGAAGAAACATAAATCTGCCAAGGACAAAGGCAAAGTTGAACCTCCTGATCCTAGCCATGAAGATGTTTCTAACCAAGATACAAATGCTGATGGAGTTAACAAGTGTGAACTTTTAGATTCAAATTATCAGGAGAGATCAACAAATGGAGATCATCATAAGGAAGCAGAGAATGTGAACACTGATCAGCCTCTGATTAAGACTGAGATCACAGAGGAACTTAAAAAAAATACTAGATTAGAAGACAGTGAAAAACAAGATCATGCATCCAGAGAGTCAACCGGAGATGATTCTGGAGGGGAGTTGGAGGAGTCTAAATCATTGGACATCAAGCGTTCAAGGTATCTCTAATAAATCATACATGTACATGTAGTATCTTGAGTGAAATTGAGATTCTTAGGTTCTTGTCATTTTGTCGTAATGATTATCGAAAAGGGATTACGAATTAAAACTGTTGTCCTGATCTTACCGAAGAAAAAAACAGTGAGTCTAGTTTGCTTTGGGAAAAAGCATTGCAGTTGCAAAATTGCTATCAATCTGTCTAGGAAAAACAAAAATTCGATGTACGTAGGTATAAATGTGAGAAAGGATGAGAAGGAAGACACTGACCTCTCCCTGATATGAACTTAGCATTGGACAGGATTCAAACCTGGGCCACGAGATGGGAAGACGTGAATACTGTGCTGTAATGAGATAACCTTTGCCCCATATTCCATACAGGTCGCTGGGTAAAGACGAGTTAACGAGTAGCCATCGCAGCAGCAATAAAAAGAAGCACAAGCACAAGCACAAGAAACGCCGTCACAAGAAACAAAGGAGATTGTCGCCACACTCGGACAGCTAATCATTGATCTAAATTTCAAGTAACACTGACAGAAGGGCAGTAAACGATCATGGGTTTTTTATACTCGTTTTATTTTCCACTGAGCGTAATGAAAACTTGTGGGAATGTCTGCTGTTACAAGTTCAATAGAATCAAGCACTGGAAGTAACAGTAGATTTCAGGAGTTTCAAAAATAGTCTCTAAATAAACGGGCTAATATGAAATGTATTGGCAAATACTTACAAAATGTCAAAGAGAAGGAGTATGGGCTCCGTGCGCCAACATAAGAGGGCGTGTTTTTACCACTTTTGAGAGCTCCGTGTATAGGACACACAGCGTGCGCGCACTGTACTGGTTTGCGCACGAAGTAGGCACGACTTCCTGAATGTACAAAAGCTATTGGCCACAGTGTCTTGTCGTGAGCGTCAGGCGTAGTCGGCGCGCGAATACGTTAGAATTTAACTTGCGATGGTCTCCCAGACTAATCCTCGCCTCAAATAACTTTGCATCATTCGAAATACGCAGTGCATATGGATCGGGAAGCAGTCTAGGTCTCCCTCAACTCTCCTTTTAGCTAGGCCCAATTTCATAGAGCTGCTTAAGCAGAAAATTTGCTTAAGCACGAAAAAACATTGCTTAGTAAAATAACGTTACCGGCCAAAACTCCATGTGATGTACATTGCTTGTGACTGGTATTTAGCTGTTGTTTACTTAGCATAACAATCACATGGAGTTTTGGCTGGTAACCTGATTTTACTAAGCAATGCTTAAGCACATTTTGTGCTTAAGCAGCTCTATGAAATTGGCCCCAGCTGGTCGTTGAGGGAGCATTTGTACGGAGCCCATAGTCAATGGTCTTGCATCATTCAAGTTAATGTTTTAGCTACAGATTAATGTGCATGTAGTAGTCCTTCCTCCCACTGGGGGAGGTGGCCATGACACCAATGCAAAGTGACAGTTTTTCTAAATATAACAATGTACATTTGTATAATGAAACCAAAAAAACAAATGACAACCGTTTAAAAAGACGGTATTGTAAATCCACCTGTCTCTTTTTCTTGCATGGATGCGTCAAATATCAGTCTGGGATCTGGGGGCCGTTGAGTCACTGACTAATGTTATGATACTAGTAAATTATGGGGCCAAAACAGGAACAAATAAATCATTAAATTCAGAAGCAAACCTGTACCAGTTTTTTTGTCAAATTTTATTAACTGTTTAGGGTTAAATTATTAGATCTGTTTTATTAAAAACACTGACAATATTGCCTCGGGTTTGCACGTTTTATACATTTACGTACATTGTTGTGTGACACTGCTTAAAAGAAAAGCATATGAGGGCTAGTGAAAATGCCCGCGGGATAGTTAAGAGTCTGTTTCCGTAGCCCGGCTAGCTAGTGAGACAAAAAGATTAAGGTCGAATCCTACTTGGTATTCTTTTTAATTCATTGGGGTATCGGCACAACTCCGATGAAAGTTTTTAATTTGTTAATACATCGCTAAGAATAGACGTTATGAATCATTATAATTCTACCTTCACGAATTGAGTATGGCATTGAAATCCCCTCGGTAGTTTGCTAGATTTCTGGTACTACGTTGCTTTCAGTTTGGATATATTTTCCAGAGCTCTGGAGAGGAAGCTTTAAGATTAAATTCCGCAGCAGCCGAAAGCGATTTTGAAAAAATGGACCGACACCTTTTGTCAAATACAATGTAGCAACTTTACTGATAAGCTAAGTGGTTGCTTGTCGGGAAAATGCATGACGTTAATAAGATGAGAGATAATTTCTTTGTTTGGAAATTAGGTTAAACTCGGTCCTGAATTTTTATTGGAATCCTCTTATAAAGAGGCAGACAATGACTACGTCCGTCATCAGTGATATTTTCATTGCTTCTCGGGCTGTATTCGCGGATGCTATAAAAGACATCTCCAGTGCTGCAGACACTTGCATTTAATGTTCAAAGAGGTTGCTCGACGTTTTATAATATCAAATCATGGTTGGGGATGACCAGAATATTGGTACAGCTAGCTTGGGCCCCATACATCAGTTGTAGGAAAAGCAATCCTGCGCGGACTTCAGAACATATTTGTGAACGTCAGTCTGATTCTCGCAAACATCACTGAAGGACACCGAGCTTCATCTTCGCCTCGGGCAACACAGGAACATCTTCAAGATGGATGTGCAGTTGACTTTGAAAATTCTGCAAACAGTCCTCGGAAGCGTTGGCATCTTTGGTAACTTTGTGGTGGGCGTTGTCATCGCCAAAGTGCCGGCCATGAGAACACTGACCAACACCTTCATCTTCCATCAGGCTGTAATCGATTTCCTTGGGTCCTTGTTAATTGTTCTCGACAGCAACATCGTAATTCCGGCGGTATTGCATCGTAACGCGGTGATTGCCGCCCTACAGTGCTTTATTTTGGAATCGAATGTCATTTTGTGGGTCATTTACGTCGCCTCCACTCTGAATTTGGTCATGCTGACAACCGAGCGCTACGTCGCCATTGTGTACCCGTTCAAGTACGTGACTTACTTCGGTAAGAAACAGGCCACGGGTATGCTGGTCGCAGTTTGGGTGATGGCCATCGGCTACAAAGGCACTAGATTTTTATACCGTCAAATTGTGGATCGCGCCTGTGTGTTCACCAGTCTGTCTACCGCGGTGAGCTTAGCTGGGGGAATTGTTGCGTTCCTCGTTGAGTATCTGATCCCATTGATCTTCATGACTTTCTGCTACGTCCACATCATCCTTCAGCTGAAGAAAGCCTCGTCTACCGTCCACGTTGAGCCATCAACCGGCCAGCAAGGAGACAACAGTATGTCTGGCTCCCTGCTTCGCGCTCGACGTAACACGCTGAAGACCCTCTTCATCGTCTTCGCGACGTACACCATCTGCTGGTCGCCCAATCAGATCGCCTTCTTCATGTTCAACTTCGGTTTTCCGCTGAACCTCAACGGCGCATTCTACTTGATCTCCGTGGCGTTGGTGCAGCTGAACTGTTGCATCAACCCGATCATCTACTCCTTCAAGTACAAACAGTTCCAGACAGGTGTGCGAGTTTTGATGAAGCCGTGCTGCCCTAAACTTGCTCCTGCACGAGAGGGAGAATCGGTAGCGGTTGCACTGAGTCACCGTTGACATTAACAATCAAGCTCGAGTCACCCTCACTCTGTAGCTGGGTGCATCAGTCGATATCCTTGGCGGTATATGAGCTAACGTAAACCAAAATAGGTGTATGTATACACAAGACTCTCACTGCGAATTAAATGATTGTATAGCACAAAGTGTTCCACGGTGTTTACAACTAAATCAAAGTTTTACAATACATGTACATGTTAAACAGAGTAGAGACTGTAGAGGAACCCACAAGAAAGCCTATAGATCGTTAAGTGATGCTGGGTGAGCCATAGTCTTGATGTCGAAGGTTCGCATCCAGCCTATTTCGATATTGGCACTATCGCAATCAAACTGACTCGATCGATTCTTGCATAAAACGGACAATTATATCGGGAACATTCGCTCTTTTTGGTTCCTAGTTCGACGTTAATCTTCACCTGTGCCACTACATGTACAGTCACTTCCGTACCAACGCCGTTCTGACACCGGCGCGCGTGCTGCCCTTCAGACCAGGAACGTTCGGCGAACTACGGGGCTTCATCGTGTCTCGCACCACGGCTTCCGTCAACCAGTACAAGACGCCTCGCAAACTGAAAACGCAGGAACTCATAAAATGGATCACACGGGGTGATAACGCACACCATGCAGTAATAATCAATCGGACGAATTTGAACGCCTCTTCCGAACTCTGAAAGCACCAAGTCAAACAATGTATTTGGCAGAATTACACTTGGACCGTAGATATAGCATTCGCAATTAATGGGATTATTTTATAGAATATAATATCTGTCAACTGAGAAATTAATCAAATGTAAAGTCAATTAAATTTAGCATTGTACGGATCATTTAACCAACGTAGGGCGTGCATCCTGTGCTAAATTAATTGGAAATGTAGGGAACTATTTTCATTGAAAAACCAACGAAGAGTTCCAATCAATCAGCGGCTCACGCTGCTATTTTGCAAAGAAAAGACCGTCACTGCTGTCGTTTAGTAGTTCTTGTTTCAAGTAACCTGATTTTTCTTTAAAATGCCCCTATACTGGTGATGTAGCCAACTATATTACTAATTGACTTTTGCATTGACAATATTATTCAGGTTTGTTAAACAAAACAAATCAACCTCGCAGTCCGTAATAAGATGCACCTTCTATTTTAGTTTATCTTAATTTACAATATAATGCTAGTCGGATTTAGGCCAACATTTTTCAATAACCGTCGCGTTTTTTCCATACTGGCAAACAGGTAGCACAATGTTTTTTTTTGTACTGGCGAACAGCACAGTTAAAACCTGTTCGCCACTTATGAAATAAAAAAAAATCCGCGGTGCTTACCTGTTCGCCAGAATGGAAAAAATGCGATTGAAAAGGCTGATTGTTTTTTTTACTCAGCTTTGGTTTTGTTTTATTTGAAACTGAGAAATGGAGGAATCTGCACTGGAGCACCGTGTCTCTGTATTTTTTCCATTCATCGCGGAGTATAGGTACTCTCTAAATTCCAAAGAGTGAAAATTCACTCCATTTGAGTGAAGATTCACTCCCACAGTCGGAAACTAGGGACTAGACGTTTCAGAGTGAAATATCTTCAATCGTAGAAATTGAGTTTTCACTCGAGTTTCGTCTGAAGTGGTTCTTTTTTCAGACTATTTCAATCTAACATGAGAGTGATTTTCACTCTAAAACGTCTATATAGTCCCTCATTTCACTCTCTCGAATTTACAGAGTACAACTCCATTGAATTGTTTTTAATTTGATAACCCATTGCTAAGAATAGAAGTTGGGAGTCATATAGGACTAAACTGGGTTTTTTTCTGACTTCATCAATTGTATAATAGATATGGCATTGAAGTCTCCTCGGTAGTTTTCTAGTTTTCTGATTCTACGTTTCTGCCTGATAATTCCCAGGACTAATTTAGCATGATGCTTTCGGTTTGTCGGAAATGCACGAATCAGATAATTGCTTTGGTGGGAAACTGGGTTGAAGTCTGTCCTTATTTTATTGAAGTCCTTTTATAAAGAGGAAGACGATGACTATACGTACGTCAGCAGTGATACTTTCATTGCTTCTCGGGCTGTATTCGCGGATGTTATTAAAAGACATCTCCAGTGCAGACGCTGCAATTAATGGTCAAAGACGTTGCTCGAAGTTTTATATTAAATCATGGTTGGTATGACCTGGTTATTGGTACAGCTTGGGCGCCATACATCAGTTGTAGGGCAACAATGCCGCGCGGACTTCAGAACATCATTTGTGAACGTCAGTCTGATTCTCGCAAACATCACTGAAGGACACCGAGCTTCATCTTCGCTTCAGGCAACACAGGATCATCTTCAAGATGGATGTGCAGTTGACTTTGAAAATTCTGCAAACAGTCCTCGGAAGCGTTGGCATCTTTGGTAACTTTGTGGTGGGCGTTGTCATCGCCAAAGTGCCGGCCATGAGAACACTGACCAACGCCTTCATCTTCCATCAGGCTGTAATCGATTTCCTTGGGTCCTTGTTAATTGTTCTCGACAGCAACATCGTAATTCCGGCGGTATTGCATCGTAACGCGGTGATTGCCGCCCTACAGTGCTTTATTTTGGAATCGAATGTCATTTTGTGGGTCATTTACGTCGCCTCCACTCTGAATTTGGTCATGCTGACAACCGAGCGCTACGTCGCCATTGTGTACCCGTTCAAGTACGTGACTTACTTCGGTAAGAAACAGGCCACGGGTATGCTGGTCGCAGTTTGGGTGATGGCCATCGGCTACAAAGGCACTAGATTTTTATACCGTCAAATTGTGGATCGCGCCTGTGTGTTCACCAGTCTGTCTACCGCGGTGAGCTTAGCTGGGGGAATTGTTGCGTTCCTCGTTGAGTATCTGATCCCATTGATCTTCATGACTTTCTGCTACGTCCACATCATCCTTCAGCTGAAGAAAGCCTCGTCTACCGTCCACGTTGAGCCATCAACCGGCCAGCAAGGAGACAACAGTATGTCTGGCTCCCTGCTTCGCGCTCGACGTAACACGCTGAAGACCCTCTTCATCGTCTTCGCGACGTACACCATCTGCTGGTCGCCCAATCAGATCGCCTTCTTCATGTTCAACTTCGGTTTTCCGCTGAACCTCAACGGCGCATTCTACTTGATCTCCGTGGCGTTGGTGCAGCTGAACTGTTGCATCAACCCGATCATCTACTCCTTCAAGTACAAACAGTTCCAGACAGGTGTGCGAGTTTTGATGAAGCCGTGCTGCCCTAAACTTGCTCCTGCACGAGAGGGAGAATCGGTAGCGGTTGCACTGAGTCACCGTTGACATTAAGAATCAAGCTCGAGTCACCCTCACTCTGTAGCTGGGTGCATCAGTCGATATCCTTGGCGGTATATGAGCTAACGTAAACCAAAATAGGTGTATGTATACACAAGACTCTCACTGCGAATTAAATGATTGTATAGCACAAAGTGTTCCACGGTGTTTACAACTAAATCAAAGTTTTACAATACATGTTAAACAGAGTAGAGACTGTAGAGGAACCCACAAGAAAGCCTATAGATCGTTAAGTGAGGCTGGGTGAGCCATAGTCTTGATGTCGAAGGTTCGCATCCAGCCTATTTCGATATTGGCACTATTGCAATCAAACTGACTCGATTCTTGCATAAAACGGACAACTATATCGGGAACATTCGCATTTTTTGGTTCCTAGTTCGACGCAAATCTTCAGCTGTGCCACGACATGAACCACCGCCGTGTTGTCACCGGCGCGCGTGCTGCCCGTCAGACCTCGTCACTCGTCGATTTTTGGGTCTTCGTCGTGTCTCACACCACGGCTTCTGTCAACAAGTATACAAGACGCCTCGAGAGCTGTGAACGCGCGAACTCCTAGAATGGATGGGGCACACGTGATGGTGATAACGCAAACCATGCAGTAATCAGGAGTCAATCCGACCAACTTGAACGCCTCTTGCGAACTCTGAAAGCGCGAAGTCATACAATGGATGTGGCAGAAATATATATGACCACTTCATTGGAAACCTTCGCAATAAATGGGATCATTTTGTAGAATGTATATTGTAAGTCAAAGAAATTAAGCATTCTAGCCTATACCTGAGTACATGTACACTGGATCATTCAACCAGTAAAGAGCGCGCAAGCTGACAGCACTGAGTTTTAGCAATATGATTGGTATTATTGGGAACGTAGGATACAATTTTCATTGAAAACTTCCACTGAAAGTTCCTATCAGTCTGCCGGCCCATGCTGCTATTTGTATTTATAACATCGCTTGAATTTTAAAGACGCTTGAATTCTTTTGAATTCATGAGGTCGTTGACTTTACAATCGGCGGTCCAACTACCGGCCCAATTTCATAGCGCTGCTTGACAGCCGTCTTTGTGCTTACCAAGCCTCCATCTATTTCACAGGGACCGTTAAGCAGTAAGCACAGCAAAAGCACGCTTAACCCCAGAAGAAAACTTTGCTTAAATCAGTGACGTAACAGTAGAAATCTCCATGCGCACACAACCGTTAGCATGAAATAGTGCTTAAGCAGCATGATTTTCTGCTATAGTAACTTTTCTGCTAACTGTTAAGCAATGCTATGACATTGGGCCCTGGATATGTTTCATTTGGTAATCCATTGCTAGTAATTGAAGTTGGGAATCGTGGGGCGGTAGTTCTTAGTTCATTGAACTGTATAATTTGATGGATACTTTGTGGCCCTCAGAGGACACATTAATAGCATGACGCTCGCTGTCAATGTGGACATCCTTGGGGAATGGAGTCATTCAGAATAAATTCCCAAGCTGGAGACAGGCGGAAGCTATAATAAACCACCTTTTGCGGAAGAATAAAACTGATAGGTGTATAAGTGCTCTTTTGCAGGAAAACTGCACGACGTAAACAAGTTAAAACACTTTCCATTGTTTAGGCATCCAATGAAATCTCTCCTGAATATAGTCCGTAAAAGGCAGAAACAATTACTCCGGACGTCATCGGAGATTGCGTCTCGGGCATTATTCGCGGATACTATAAAAGCGAAAGCCACAGGGCACACAAGAAAGACCCGCACGCAATTAATGTTCAAAGACGTTGCTCGACGTTTCTGTGTGATTAAATCATGGTGCCAACGAACAAGAGATAACGCGTGGCCTCCAGAAAGTATAAGTGAACCCCGGCCCACTCTGTTTTCTCGGAAAGGACTCTGATGAGCTTCAACCGATGTTTAGACAACGCGTACCGGAACGCATCCAAGATGGATGTGCAGTCGACTTTGCGACTTCTGCAAACAGTCATTGGAAGCGTTGGCATCTTTGGTAACTTTGTTGTGTGCATTGTCATCGCCAAAGTGCCGGCCATGAGAACACTGACCAACGCCTTCATCTTCAATCAGGCTGTCATCGATTTCCTTGGGTCCTTGTTAATGGTTCTCGACAGCAACATCGCAATTCCGGCAGTACTCCATCGTAACGCGTTGATTGCCGGTATACAGTGCTTTATTTGGGACTCAAGTGTCATTCTGTGGGTCATTTACGTCGCCTCCACTCTGAATTTGGTCATGCTCACATCCGAGCGCTACTTGGCAATTGTGTACCCGTTCAAGTATCTGACTTACTTCAGAAAGACACGGGCCACGGCTATGCTGGTCGCAGTTTGGGTGTCGGCCATCGGCTACAAAGGTACCAATGTAATCTATCGCCAAATCGTTGATCGCGCTTGTGTGATCGCCAGTCTGTCTACCGCGGCAAGCTTAGCTTGGGGAATTGTAACGTTCCTCGTTGAGTATCTGATCCCATTGATCTTCATGACTTTCTGCTACGTCCACATCATTCTTCAGCTGAAGAAAGCCTCGTCTACCGTCCACGCCGAGCCATCAACCAGCCAGCAAGGAGACAACAGTATGTCTGGCTCCCTGCTTCGCGCTCGACGTAACACGCTGAAGACCCTCTTCATCGTCTTCGCGACATACACCATCTGCTGGTTGCCCAATCAGGTCGCCTTCTTCATGTTCAACTTCGGTTTTCCGCTGAACTTCAACGGCGCATTCTACTTGATCTCCGTGGCGTTGGTGCAGCTGAACTGTTGCATCAACCCAATCATCTACTCCTTCAAGTACAAACAGTTCCAGACAGGTGTGCGAGTTTTGCTGAAGCCGTGCTGCCCTAAACTAGCTCATACACGAGAGGGAGAATCGGTGGCAGTTACACTGAGTCACCGTTGAAATTAAGAATCAAGCACGAGTCAGTCGACCTCTGTCTGTATTTTGGCAGAGGCGTAGCCAGCGGGGGGGGGGGGGGGGGGGGGGGTTTAAGTGGGGTATTTACCCCCTCCCAATATCTTTTCCATTCAAGTGCCTTTTTTCACCAGCGTTTCCCCCTTCCACCAATATTTTTAAAGAGTGCCCTTTTTACAACAATTGCCCTTCTTTTTTGACAAGTGCCCTTTTTTCCAGAGCCCTGTTTCGAGTGCCCTTTTTGGAATTTCGCGCGAATGTCGGCAATTGTGCTGCCCTAAAAGTGACATGTATAATTGTCCGATAGTGCGCATGATCGTTCGGTTTTAACAGTGCCCCCATTGGAAGATACCAGCCCACCCATCCCCCCCCCCCCAGTGTCCGAAGAAAAACCTGTCCACACTGTAGCCCTTCAGGCACGAATTTTGTAAACCCCGCCCCCCAATTATGATGACCTTGCTACGCATCTGCTGGGTGCGTATCTATTGATAGATACCATTTGATGGTATGAGCCTACCTCATAAAAATGTACCCAATAGATGATATGACGAAACTCTCTCACTGCGAAAGAAATTAATTTAAACCACGAAGTCATTAAAGCCAATATTATCCGTATTGATGTTTCTACGTAATGAAAAACCAAGTTTCAATGAAAGTATTGTTTTCACGATTGCACCGCTCTAAAAAAAAATGGTAGTCGTTTATTGAAGGTAGGAAAGAGAATCGATCGCTTATTTTCCAATTATTATTTTAGTACAGTGAGTCAATTCTGAAAATTTGCGCTGGGTTTTTTTTTCTCGAAAATTGCAATTGGTTATTTTTTGTGTGTGCAACAAATTCAACCACTCGTCATCCGTCATGGAGGAAAAATAATACCTTCCTTTAGAAAAAAGAAAATAAATAGAAACCGCATTAAGAATATTTATCTAGCCTATTTTCGAAATGTAGAAAATAATAACATGTAATTTCTAGACAAAATGTTGCCTGTTTTGTCGCGTGCTGCCTCGTACATAAGAGCCGCGGGTACTTAGACTCCGTATTTTGATCTTTGATATTGCACAAGTATTCGTCTTGTCCAATAGTAAACATTAATCTTCAAAGAGCTCTCTTAGATAAGTCCAGTTCTCGAAATCGAGGCTTTAATTAAATCAAAACTCAAGTATTAAGATACTTGATATCGACTTCATAAATTCATAGTTATGATAGGCCTATCGTTTTTTTTTTGACTGGAACAGATTCATCTCCCAATATTTAATAATTCAAATTCCATTCTTGACACAGAAAATTTCTCACAGCTGCCACACCTCCAGAAATGCCTGTAATTAGAAATAGAGTATAATAGGGCCGTATTTTAATCATTCACCAAACAACCCCACCAATCATAATCCCCATCGCGTCACGCGTCAGTACGGTGGTTTTTTTTGTTGTAGCACTAATATATCTGCAGTGAGTTTCGCGCAGTGTGTTTTCATAGTGCACTTATCGGCAGAGCAGTTTCGTGACACACCATAATATTAGTGGGAGCAGCGCATCAACGGAGCCGTTGCACGCACCGTAGGTAGTACCAGTTTCAAGCTTAACACGGCAGCTCATGCGTAGATATGTGTTGTACCTTAAACGCGTGGTAACTCCTTCATCAACGACCGATCGAAGTCAGCAGGTGCGCATGCTCCGACCTGACACACCGCGCGACGTACGGCTGCCCCGTTCGGCCGATGAAGACATTTGGGTAAACGAATCTTTGCACGTATTCACTGAAACATCGTTTATTTCTAGTTCTCAATGATGTAGGACAGCACACGACACCAGAGGAGACACCGATATAGGATCGACCTATCCTGAAGGATAGGCCCATAGAATTAGCTTGTTACACTTTTGGTGGATACGCTGTTAAGAGAGAAAATTATTTCGTGGATCGGCATTTATAGACATGTTCATAGTGTTTGGGCCGATTGTGAACTTGACGGACCTGGGACTGCGCGCCAATCGAAACAATGGATCCAACACCTGCTTTGCTTGGAAACCGGCATCGATTTCCTCAGCAAATGTTTACCGCCCTCTGAATTGAAACCCTCAGAGGGTAATGTTTAACGTCCTATAGATTCGACATTTTTTTCCGAAATCAACCTTCAGAAGAATTTGGAAGCTGAGGGAGCAATTACAAAGATGGATGCAGAATTTGTCTTAAGAATTGTCCGGACCATCGTAGGATGTCTTGGTATTCTTGGCAATGGTCTGGTCTGCTTGGTCATTGCTAAAGTACCAGTTATGAGGACCATAACTAACGCCTTTATCTTCAATCAGGCTGTCATCGACTTTCTGGCCTCATTGTGTCTGATCATTAAAAGCAACTGTTTCCCCACGATGCCGAGTGAGCCGACACTTGCCGTCTTGTACTGCTACATTTGGGAGTCCGGCTACTACCTCTGGGTTTTCTTCTTAGCCTCCTCGTTCAACCTCATGGTGTTGACATCGGAGCGCTTCGTCGCCATCGTTTACCCCTTCAAATATGTGAAACTCTTCGGTGCGAAACAAGCCGGGATCATGATAGCTGTTGTGTGGGTCACTGCCTTCGGATACAAGGCCTACTTGTTCGCCACCCGTGAGATCAGGAACCAGGTGTGTAAAGAGCGAGATTTTACCGCAAAACAATTGCTTGGCGTTGCCACGTTTTTAATCGAGTACTTCATCCCGCTACTCTTTTTGGGATTCTGCTACGTTCGGATCATACTGTGTCTGAAACAAGGAGCGGCGCGCGTCGCCCAGCAGTCGTCCTCGCCACGGCACGGTGGCGAGTCGCTCCGTGGCTCGCTCGTCCGGGCCAAACGGAACACCATCAAGACTCTGATCATAGTCTTCATGTCCTTCATCGTGTGCTGGTCGGCCAACCAGATCAGCTACCTGATGAGCAACTTCGGCTGGCCGCTAGATTTCAATGGAAACTTTTACATCATCTCTGTGTCGCTTGCCGCCTTCAATTCTTGCGTCAACCCCTTCATCTACGCCATCAAGTACAGACAGTTCAAGAAGAGCGCGAGGTCCCTCTTGCTTCCCTGCATTCCCGCTCGAACAAATCGCGTGATGGTGGCGTCGACATCATTTAACATTGCTACAAGGGGACAAAATGACTCCGAACTTGGAGTAAACGAATGCGAGTAAATGTCAACGATGCGTACATGTAAAACTGTAGTGTTAATTTAACACCATTCGGTATCTATATAGGACAAAACCAGTAAAAATGTAACACCAGATGGTCCTATAAAGATACAAAGACTGTAAATTTAACACTGCAGTTTTTGCAGTGTATATCAATGAACTGAGTAACCAAACAATCCAAAATCCTTCAAAACCCACAAGTTGTTTTGGAAGATTTTGCTGGAATTGTGGAAGGTACAGCTTGGCAACTATACGCGCGGGGCTCTATGCCACACGGAAACTGCAAAGAATTTTTGCAATGCGTTCCTTCACAGTGGAGGAATTCATGAGGTTGCTAGCAAAACTGCTCCTGAAATTTAGGGTGTGTTGAAAGTGATGTGCGGACATTCAAATTTAGGTATGGTACATGGATTTTTTTCCGATGAATCGTGCGTCAATTAAGCTTCTGAATCTCGGTGTCGACATGATGCATATGTTATTATATGTATACAGGATTTTTTGGGGTATATTTGTATAATGTTAGTTCAGATTTTCTTTTCAATGTGTATATATCATCGTTTTTTCATACCCAGTTGTTTTCACGAATACCTTGTTTAAAGAAATGTATTGGTAGATAAATTGGTATTTAGCTGCAAATGCTGTTTTTGTTGACATTGCCTGATCGAAATTGAAAAATGTGAGCAAACAGCCAGGCTGCGACAACTATAACGTGCATGATTTATATTTGTATAGTTAATAATAGAACTATTTCTTCTCAATGTAAAATGTCATCTTTGTACATACCTAGTTGTTTTCATGAAAACCTTGTTTAAAGAGGAAAACGGATATTGGTAGATAAATATAGCTGCAATTACTGGTTTTTGTTGTTGACATTTCCTGGTTGGAAATTGGAAAATGTAAGCTTTGAACAAACAGCCAGCTGCTGCGACATTAGAATACAAACAAGAATGTTCTTGGAGAGGTAGAGTACGTTAGGCCTAGTCATAGTATTTCACAGAATTGTTGATACAGAAAGGGGCCAAAACATGTGGCGCATTCTTAAAATAAGTTGGTATGTGGCCGGCTCTACAGAAAGAGAACTGTATCCTTTGGGCAATTCCGTAAAATCCAACGCACGTCCAACCACATGATCTACATGTTATTGTACAAGTTCGTTAAAGGTGGTGGTACGTTATTAATTTTGCTCTGTCATTGTTTTCTTTCTACTTAACAGATGACGCGTCATTGGTGATTATCACATTCATTTTTCCAACAACAGCTCATTAAAGTGTCTAACTTGTACGTCTGAATTTACGGAATGGCCCCTATTTGGCTATTAGAAAAAAACTGATTGAGAAGGCCATCAATCCGATATTCAGAGAATTTGGATAATTGATGATGATTTCAGAATAATATTACTTGCATGTGTATGTTTTAGCAGCATTCACGGACACGAGTCTGGCCCAATCGCTTCGAAAGAGAGATGGGCACTCCGTTCCTGTGAACACAGATTCGTACCCTCTACCGTTTATGTTTTAGTCAAAGAAGATAATAATACTACTAATTAACCATAATAATCCTGGGGATTTATAAAGCGCATGTACACCATGACTGGTGTTGCAAGGCGCTACATCATTATTACCCCTGCTCATTGGGCCCATGAAACATTCCTAACACCATCTCAGCTCGCAAGGGAGTATACAGCTCAATGCTGCCATTTCGGCGCAAAGCAGCTAAAATCTACCACACTAACCATCTCTGCCCTCACAGGTACCCATTTACTCCTGGGTGGGGAGAAGCAATGATTGACAAAGTGCATTGCAGGGCACACGCACCATGACCCCAGGCTGGACTCGAACCCACAACCTGCAGCTTTACCCGCAGACCACGAATCCAATGCTCTTAACCACGAGGCCACATCACATAATGCACAATATAACTTAATGCACAATATAACTTCGCAGGAGTTCCTTTATCTATACTGTATATTGGGGCCGGAACTCTGGCGTTTAAATATGGGAGCGCGCTGATCGACGGAAAAATCTTCTTAATGTCAAGACTCAAATCTTCATTGCAGGTTTGTCCTCCCGATGCAAATGTCCGTATATATCTTCCCATCAACTGTTTACTTTCCTGCATCTCCAATTCGTGCCTGTCGCATTGAATCATGAATTAAATTAAAAAACACACAGGCCTAATACGATCACTTTAACTGGACCTATAAATGATATAAAAAAAGCACATCAATGAGGAGTGGGTAAATATTAGATTTGGAGTAGATATCGAGAGAGAGTCACGATTCAGTATTAGCGCTTCGGAAGTGTGCATATTCAATCGTCAAAGTGAGCACTCTGCTGCAAATAATAATTAGTACGGAGCGTGACGTTCATTATTTCTGGGGGGAATGAATAAGGGTGTTTACCGGTTAAAAGTGCCCCTTAATAAGTTTAATAAAAAACCATTATGCCCTCGGATTATGCTGATGGTATCGTGTGCCACAGTTCTGTATTTGGTCAGGATTCATACATTCTTCGTGTCCTTTTAGGGTGATATCGTGATTTCACTCCACTTTCATATAATCTCCCCAACCGGAACGTTTACTGTCCGTTATCACGATTCGTTTTAATCTATCACAGAGGGAGATTTATTATATCCGGCTTTTAAAAACGTTCATAACTGCTTTAATTGGCGCGAGGCCCTCTTCGTTTTTGGTAAACAGCGGTATCACAGTGACATTTTGCAGAATAACAGTTTAGTTTATTCTACTCTGTAGAAATCATTGGATGATGTATTCCCAAAACCATTTCGATTTCTTCTTGTTTTCAAATTGATAGTGCGTGTGGACTGACACGTGTTTACTTTACATACCTTGTGTGGACATTTCTTTGTTTTCGTGTAGGCCTAGTTAAGAAAAAACTGTGCCAAAAAACTCACAATGTGAAAACTCTTTCATCCCAACTGTTTCTATGATTCCCTTTAGTGTTTCTCTTCATTTTGCCTAGGATAAACCTAACCCCAAAATGCCTCTAAACCTATTTTTTCCAGAGAGGGGAAAACACTGTGTGGACGTGAGCAAGTCCGCACAACGTCGCTGCTGTACCTGGTTTATGTGGACCTCTTTTGTTCGAAAGTCCACACAGTGAATGTAATGCTGTACAGTCATGCACGATGTATACAACTGATTCAAACGTCATTTTTGAAAAACACGTTTGGTAATTTTGACTTCAGCGGTGGTCAGCTGGGTGCAAGTTTCACTGTTTTCTGGTTAAATTTGAATTAAAAAAAACATTTATTCGGAGTGAAGGTTTCGCATTTTAACACATGCACATCGACATTCTATGCAGCCGCTCTTAAGAGGCTCAGCATGACACACGTTTCGCCATAAGCCTGAGATGAAAAGTTCCACCTCCATTTTCTAGTAGGGACAAAGAACGAGGCTGGATAAGAACGTATTACTAGACCGTTGAGATAAATTTGATCAGATGAAATTTGATCTCAAAAGAAATATGGCGCCTTAAGTCATCTAAGAGCTAAGGAGTTGGTTGATTTATTCACCTTGTTGGGGCGTTTCTGTATAGTGTCGTGACTGCCGAACCGACCACTTAATCTTCAAAACGAAGCACTCACGACAGATTTATGTTTGTATAGGCTTATTAAGATGCATTTGTCACCCAATATGTCTTTTTAAGAACATGTTCAAGATAAAAAAAAAAAAATCCAACGCCACGATGAACTTTCCATCAGAATTCAAGATAAGAGCATGCACGCACGTTACAACGTTTTTATGAAAAGCTGAAACACGGTATAGTAGAGTCAAAACTCCGATAACGTTTGAAGTGTTTGTTTAGCGTTTAGCGTTTATTGTATCAGCCATCATGACGACAATCGTGTCGCACATATACTTGTCCACAATGAAGAAGAGGATGTCAAATTTGGCTGTGATAATAATGATTCGTTGGTTATTTATTGATTGATTCACCTCTGGTTATTTATTTTATTTTATTTTATAGACAGTCGATAATATTGAAGATTTCATTTATACAATTTAAAATAACATATACATTTAGTTCAAACCATAATTTTATAAAGGTGCATAGTCCTCTTGTTTGTTAAGACGTAACACACCGGAATTATATAGACTTTCATATCCCAAACAATTATTTTTATATAAAGCAACACCCTGCTAGTTATGAGTTTCCAATGGAAAAAATCAACACAGTTAGTATTAACGGAGCTTTTCTGAAACCATTAGCGTTGGTATCAATCGTTGCATCGCGCATTGTACCTTTAAAAATTAAAAATATTTATGGAAGACCAGGTGGAGGGAGTGTTCAATAATTTCGCTCAAATACAATTATTTATCTGTGGCGGTAAAATCCATTAAAACATTATTTTCGGGAATGGTTTTTAGAGACAAAATAATGGCCCAATATCTACTTATACTTCTACAATAGGATGTATACAATGCTTCCCGTACCGTCAGTATAAAACATACGGTAATTAAGATAAAACAAAAAAAGATGATTTAAAAAAAAAAATGATTAACATCTCTCTGTTCGTTGAGTAGAACCATCGAGTACATTCGGTCCACCTTTGCCGGTTATTTTACAGTCAGCTTCAAATCCTTCTTTTGGTTCCAAGATGTGCAACACTCTGCAAATTTGGGAGAAAGGTTGAAAATAAATACACACCATAAGTATTAAAGGAAACATATCTGACCACAATTTTTTTTTGGCTGTTGTTTTAACTGTTTCACCACCTGTTTTAACACAAAATGTTTTCCCCCATTCATATCGACGCAACCAAAGCGAGGTTGGAAGGCAAAATAGTCTGGTTCCAAAAATGGACAAAATATATCATCCTGTACTGTTATTTGAAACAGGGAACATTACTGAAATGGTGGCAGCATCGATAAAGGTCTATGACACTGGGACAACCTCTGTGTCTAGTCCTCAACGGTTGGTTTTGCAAACTCACACTGTGGGTATGAAGGTGATCCCAATAAGGCCCGCCATGACGAAGAAGAGATCCCGGGCGTGCCCGGAGAGAACAGCCAAGGAATAGGCGTAGCTCTGCACGATGAGAGAAGTAGCGGATCCCAGGGAATAGACCAGTGTAAACACAGAGAATAAAGCACCTGATGAAGGAGACACCAACAATCAGTTAACACATAATACGCTGCAGGGTTGTCATACCATGAAACGAGGAATTAGACAAAGTATACCGTAAACTGTGGCAAACCGGAACAGCTCTTTTCCCGCTAAGTTTCGTCAGGATTCCGACCTAAATCGCCTTTGCACTTTGAAGAATCCTTGGTTTAATTTGTATAAAGGATTATAATAATTTTGGCAGACTTTTCGTCTCTGTTCGTTTAACCAAAGTTTGGCAGTTGTTCGGAATTACATGAAACAACAGAAATGGGAATACAAGGCATATACTTTCATCAGTACGTATTTGTTACCAAAACGAATCATGTTATAAATGCCGCACACTACGCCGTTACGGCAAGTGCAGCTATAAGGCAGGTGCTCAAGTTACCCAACGTTGCCCTAGTTTAGGGTACCCCTGAAATAAGAATCTGAATCTTTGTCAGAATTAGTTGGAACTTCTGCTCCTGACCAATAATACTGAATAGAGGATCGCACTCGCAGGAGGATATGAATTTCGTGTAGCCGTTCCGTCAGTTATGACCAGTCGGGTACAACTTTCAGTTTTCATTTTGGTATAGCCTTCTACATTTTCAGTGGACTCAAAATGTCATATTTCACTCACCATGGCTGTGTTTGTTGACCAGCCTTGTAAGTAGAGTGACGTACACAGGTTGGGAAATGCCGAAGATCAGGCCAGCCCAGGTTGCTGAAAACGAATTGATTTGTTTTAAGACGTGTGAAATGTAGGCCTGTGTATACGTTCATACTGAAAAAAAAAATGCTGCGGTCACTTAAATATAGACCTTTCAATAAAGCAGAGCTCTTGAGATGTTTTGACTAATCACTACCGTGATTAATGGCCGACATTCGTGCACGCGTAACTTACTATGTCGCGTGCTGCGGGATAATGCATAGACTGGTTTCCCCTTGATTAAGCTCTGATTAATGGACCGATCCAGTAAGCACCGCCCCATGGTATTCTGACCAATCACAGTCGTGATTTATGTCCAACATGCGTGCACAAAAGTCCGACATGCGTGCACGCGCGTATGACGCGCGCGGCAGGAAAATGCCATAGATATAGAACTTAAAATAACTATATCTATGGAAAATGCATTGGAGAGGAGCACGTGTTAATTTGCCCACGTGCGCAACATGGGAGGGGCTTACTGGATCGGTCCATTACCTCCGTAGACCAGGACTGCATTTGTCGTCGCCACTGCTGTCAGAAGATACTGTGCCACTCCGCACATCACACTCAAGTAAATCGCCCAGTAATCGGAAAGAACACGCTCCAGGAACCAAACAATGAAGGGTGCAACTGCAGACGAAAAATACCGAAAATCAGCAATAATTTTGTTTTATTTGTAAGAGAGCAGTTTATTTAAAGTGTCAACGTGGACAATAGGGAAAAACCCACAGATGTTAAAAAGCCAATTTAAGCTCGTAACAAAAACGGTGGAGTGGTCAAGTGGATAATTTTTATGATCGCTTTATACAAGGGCGGATCGGGGGGGGGGGGCCCAACGGGGGCCATGCCCCCCCCCCAAAAAAAGAACCCATTTTTTTTTTTTTTTTTAAGTGACGTCGCAATGAAGGCAGGCACTGCGTACAACACCATCGTTTCCTCAAAATATCGCTAAAGTGGGTAGAAATTGCCTCAGATCGCACCACAGAGCATCTAGAATCCAAAGTTTGTTCACACGCCGTCATTTTTGGACCCACTTTTTGGGGGACCAACCATTTTTTGCCCCCCCCCCCCCCACTCCAAACAAAATTGTGTTTTGGATCTGCCCTTGGCTTATACAAGCTACCATTATAAGCTTAAGCCATATTTAAGGTGTGTGTGTTTTTTGGGGGGAGGAGGGTTGTTGTTCGTGAACTTTTTTAATGGCATAAAGGCCTTTTATTTGGAATACTTACCTACTGCATTGGGTACTCCGTACACTAATGAGTAAACGCCGACTTGTGCTGGCGTCCAACAGAAAGGCTTTCCTAGAGCGTACAGATCGACCGTGTTCTGAAAGCCGTATAACGTAAAGCTAATCACTGCATAGCAAACAAAGATCAGCACAATTCTCCATCTTCGACCCTCCGTGGAACTCGCGAACACGTTACGAATGCCTCGGGTAACACTGCCGGCCAGGTCACGAAGATCTACCGGTCGCTTCTCCACGGATTCTCGAATGATGCCCGGAGGCAGCATCCAGAGGAGAGCTAACAGTGCGAAGCAGGTGACGATCAGATAGATGGTGGTGAATGAAGACAACGCACCCAGCAAACTGTTCAAGATGAATGGAGCTAGATACATAACAGTGTTCTGAGTTCCGTAGATTGTAGCTAAAGCCACACCTCTTTGCTTGGCCGAGACAATGTCTGTCACATACAGCAGGCTGACTGAATTAAGAAGCACATATCCACCCGAGATACCGAAAACAGCACTTCCAATGAGAGCGTAGTAAACAGACAGCTCAAAGTATGATACCACAAGGAAGCCAGTGGCCATGATTAAAGGTCCAAGGCATCTTAGGAGAATGATGGGCCGGCGGCCGGTGTAGTCTGACACAGCGGTTAGCGGCAGACCGGTTACTACAGGAATGAGGTCTACCAGGAAGCTTTGGTACGTCGAGAACAGAGCTGTTTCCGACTGAATGTCGTTCAGCTCTTGGCTTATGTTGCTGGAGTCGCAAGCGTTGCCTCCTACGGGAAGGGTGAAGTTACGCTGGCGAACAAACGTAGAGCGCGCGAATTGGACCCCCAGCGTTGCCATGACAAGTTCACCGGGGATTAAGATAAGTATCTGAAAGACCAAGAAGAGCGCCATTGAAGTCCACACGGATCTGCCTCGGACGCCATCTTGATTAAGAAGGGGTGAGTCTTCAGATGGTGGCTCGGTCATGTCTGCGCCGGGGATCTCTTACCACTCAGTCCAAAACCTGAAATGTTTTGAGAAGTTCACTCGAGTCAAACTTGTAAGTTACAATCCAAACTGGACAGATTTTTTTCTATGGAAAAATAACGTGCTGACCCAAGGTATTTTATTAAGTCGAATATCCCCCTTTGTAAAAACTGGCAGAGCAAGGTCAGTATCTTTCTTACCACAAAAGGTAATTAGCGACAATTGAGTTACGATCATTAGTATATGGATGTTTCAAGGCCTTCTAAATGTTGCCCCTTGACATAATGTATGCGCAACCGAAATGTTTACCTATACAGTCGAGTCTGGTTAATACAAACTCGTTCGGACCTAGCCAAATTGTTTGTTATACTCAGAATTTTGTATAAAGAGGAACATCAGTCCCATTCATTGTGCACATAAATGCACAGTCGGGACCAATGCCTTATGTTTGTTATAACCAGAATTTTGTACTAACAGAGTTTGTACTAACGAGAGTCGACTGTATATAGTTATAGGAGATAGGGTATATTGTCCACCACTGTGAACACACATGATCCACGGCCGGGTGGTGATAAATATTCAGATACTTTTAAAATCAAATAATAATAATAGCTTTATTTACAGATGGTAGCAATATGTCACCTGACAGATGATTTTCAATGCGTGTGTACTACATCTGGTGGATCCAGACTAATAGTGTGTTATATCGAGGCTGTGTTTGCTTAACTGCAGAGCATGCACCCAAACTTTGCTGCGCGCACAAGTAGTGCGCTGGCTATTCTGCCAACTATGGGAAAAGATGTTCCATATAAAGAAACAATAGGGCCAAACAGGTTTATAATCATCGAGAATTGATTAAAACAATATCGTGTGCTACATACCTTCATATAAATTCCACCACCGACCTGCAAGTTCCAACATTGAATTTACCTACCTTATCGATCCGGAAGTTACATGTAGCCTTATACACGGACTCAGTGTCCGCACTCTCTGTAGCGAAGCGATCGAACGGATGTCAGTTGTGCAACAGTATGGTGCACTCAGCAGCCAACCATTCAAGGAGACCATAGAGCAGACAAAATAGTGTGCAGTGTGTTTTTTGCAGTTGTGCGCTGGTGCGTAGTAGGCCTACTACTAATATAATAGACCATTTTTATCCAAGTTCTGTATTGGGTGTGCGTGTAGTTGTGAATGAGTGAAATTTGTTTATAGTGTGAATCGAGGACACACATGTACATGTGAAACATCATCGAGTAATTGAGGACAGGAGTCAAATAGAGGACGACGTCGACTAGAAAACGTGTCAAAACCAATTAATGGAAGCTGTTGCCAAAAAAAGTTAGGCCTATAAATAAGAGTATAAACAAAAGACCGATGATGAGGTACAATCAAAACCGATTCTCGATTTACACCACAAACAAACCTGTGTCAAGAACCATACTGTAGAGCTCAGGACGACAGAGTACCTGAGTGTGTTATCCGTCGCTGTGTGATGATTTATTGGTTTTTACACAATGGCCAAAGTGAGACATGGTTTAAATCTTTGTACAAATTTATCAGTACAATTTTTATTTAATTTTACTCAATATTGTTTATTGATATGTAAGTTTTGCATTCATAAACATTAACTAAGAGTGTTGAGGTTTTTGCAATTGAACGCCTTAAAATGGGCAGGAATTTATAACACACGATGTAATGTACATACACCCCATCAAATGAATACAAAATGTGGACAGGAAAAAATATTAAACCGAGGACGCCACCCCGATGCCGGTCTCATACCACTGTCACCAAGATAGCTGCAATTCTTGATGGTTCGCGCGCGTGTTCAGACCAAAACAATCTCTTCTTCACCAAATGCATAAATATTAATTAAATGAAGGCCGTACATCGCTCCTGTTGTAAGGGCTCCTTCTTAAAAAAATAAAACTCACTTTCGTCGAAATTAACTCCTGGAGTCCGGAGCGCGAAAGCTTCTTGTCGTGCATCAACACTTAGCGTTTCCTCTTCTGATCTCTCAATGATCCTCCTACGTAGACTTGATTTGTGGCCCTAGACTCCAATCGTAAATTTCCAGACAAAAATAAGATTGCAGCCTCTAGGCTCTAGTTACTTATTGATGCAGCGGGGAAGTATTTAATTTGAAATGACAACGAAGAATCTGATGGGAGATCTGATCGATGATTTTGAACTTTAGCTTAGCACTTGCACAAGGGCAAGGCACTTGCTTCTTTCCTATCTAAATTATTCCGTACTAAAAGGCAAGAAAGCGAATATTACAGCAGTTAAAAAACTTTCAAAAGTATAAAATACACGACCCCGTTGATATTGGAAAAAAGGAATATAATTGACATTCCTGCAAAACCTGGGTGAAGTTGCCCTAAAATAAACAATCATCTGGCTTTTTATGTATAGGCTAGGCCTTCACATTGGCCAACAATTGTACCAAAAAAACTGAATTGCCCCCCCCCCCCCAAAAAAAAAAAATTACGATTGCATTAATTGCACCTGTTGTCTTGGTTTAGGGTTCCACAAATAAATTTCGATTGGCAAAACAGTCTCGAATCCATTTGAAAAACTGGGAGTTTGGATTCACTGGTAGGAAGTGTCTTCCTATTAAAGTGACAGATTTAACATGTTTTATTATCCTCCCTCGCCCATGCCGCAGACATAGGACAGGAACATGCCAAGTTCACCGCGAATGACCGCACTCGGCATGTGAAGTCTCTTACTGGACGGGTAGCCGAGATTCAAATCCCAACGATCGAGGTACAAGGCTCCCGATTGGCTGACCGAATCTTCGAGGAACTCCCCCATGCGACGGACGATGAGGTCGTTGTGGTAGATGCGAGATTCCTTACTGGGCTGATCACGGGGATGCGGACCGGCTACAGCGATCCTCACCGCGGGGCAACGGGCTCTCAATCTCAGTACGGCTTCCCGAAGCAAACCCACCCGCTCCACAAAACTCTCTCTAGTCCACTGAGCGAAATGGGCCCATGTGCCCACAACCACGGCGTAGTTGCACCCCTTGTTCTTCAAGCTGTCCATCACGTCCACCTCGAATGTCAACTTCCGGTGTGAGGTGCCGTTTGGGGTAAAGGTCAACGGGTGTAACCGGAAGTTCAAGGAGATATTGAATGAAGGCAGCTTTACAGAGACATCCTCTTCGTCAGATTTCTTAGTCTTCGCTGGAACACCCATCGTTTTAAGCAATGTCTCCATCCATCTCCAGAGAACAGAATCTCCGAGAAAGTAGACCTCTTTTCCCCTCAGACATTGACCAATTTCTGCCGGGTCGCTCCAGTTTTTCGCCCTGCAGAGTAAGGAGTGCCAGTGGTCTTTCTCCCAGTAGCCAAGGCCGTGATCGGGACTGGGTAGGTCGGGCTGGCAGGCCGGTAGGTTGGCCTGGTCGCTCTGCAGTTTCTGCCGTAGGAATTCCGACTCTGAAAATAGTCATGGTCATGGCAAAGAAAATAATTTCACAAGGTTAAAACTGGTTTTAAAAATCTATCTTCCGAAGTCATTTTTAAGTTTTGTGTAGGAGAAAAATCGTTACATTTCGATAAATGCTTACCTTTAATTACAAGTTGACTCGGACCCCGTACTAGTCTCTTTTTAAAATAGTCTCTGAAATGAGGATGGAAAACAGAAGTATTTCAGGCGAAGGTATGTTAAGCAAGCCATTACCGTGACAACGATGTCAAGAATCTAATCAAATAACCTTGGATGAAAAACAAAGACACTAACACCTTACGGTCATGTGATACATGACCCTCGTTGTGATTAGTTAAAGCTTCAAATGGGCGTGGTCTATTCACGACTCAATCTCACCCTGAGAAGACTTTGTAGTAGTTCCGCGTGAAGCTCTTGATCCTGTCCCTGACGGCGGTTAAGTTTCCAAAGAGGGTGCTCAACCCATCGCACTTGATCCCTGGACCCGGGGCATCACACATCAGCACCGTCTGACCCATAGCTTTTGGATACGTCATCACGCATTCACCAATCAGAGGCACGTATTGGCGTCTAAGCACGCACCGTTGGTCAGACCTGATTGGCGAGTTTGGCGCCATTTCGAATCGCCCCGCCCACTCCACGCGGTCACGTTCGTTCCAGATGACGTTGGTCATCACCGCTCCCACGTGGCTCGGGTGGACTAGCATGATTTCTAGGGCCAGCTTCCCCGACCACCCCACCGTGAAGAACGCGCTGTAGGTACCGTTGTCGTAGTCCAGGACTCGGCCGGCCGTACCGGAGCTGTTCCGCTTGGTGGCGAGGGTGGCAAACCAGAAATCGCCCCCTTGGCCTCGGTCCCATCCCCGGCCGTCGCGTGCCTGTATGATCACGTGCAGTGTATCGCCAAGTTTGATGTTCTGCCTATCACCTTCGATTCTGTGAAGGAAAGTATGCACCTTTAAAAACACGATTCCTACGAATGTCCTTTTGTAATATTTCCAATAGTATCAAAATGGGAAAACCTATATAGCTTATGATATGTGGCCATTTAACAACCATAAAGTCAGTTTTCAGTGACTCTTTCACATTTATTTTTACCTGTAAAAGCTTTTGGCGGAGCTTGTGAGCTTGCTGACGTCTTGCAGGGCGTATTCCTCTGGATACACCCGCCGAATGGCGTCAAATTCCACCTTTAGTGGGAAAAAATGAAATGTATTCGAACCATACATGTATTCTATACCCCATGGCACGTTGACTATATTAGGCTTGGAGCTAAATATTATTAGGCACCATACATTTTTCCCTCCATAAGCCTACCTCTTGATCCTTCTGCTCTACATTGACATCGCCATCTACAGGAGGATCCACGATTTTCTGTTTACTCTGTTGATGAAAACAAATGCCAAAAGGCACATCAGTATAGGCCTACATTGATAGAACTAGGTAACCTCATGACCCCAGCTGAAAGCTATTGTATTTTTGAAAATACTAATGAAGTGTGCAAAGGAAGAAAGAACAAAGTACAGAGGCATGTCCCTGCCATCCCAGACCTATGTGTTACAAATGATATTCGCAGCGGTGTCACAAGAGGGCGCATGACACATGCTACAGATTCTTAGAAACTCATTCAAATGTTGCCAAAATTGCATTTTGATAGGAATTTAAAAAAAAAGAAAAATAGAGCAGACCTTCTGTTTCATGGAAACGTTTCTTGTGATGTCTTTGAGGACGCTCAGACCTCTCTGACGATGTCCTGTCTGGAAAATAGAAGGAAAGTAGAAGGAAAAAATCATTTCGTTTAGTGTCAGTCAAAGAATGTAATGTTTATGCTATTTGAGAAGAAGGGTGATGATTCAAATATTTTATTCTGCTTTCAAACCGACCTTTGGGTGTGGAAATGTTTAATGCTCCTAGACCTCATGTCATCCCACTTTACTGACACTCACCTTTGCACCAAACGTCTGTTCTACGTGTCGATCTGTTCCGGGCATCATTGTCTGGGGAATCAAAGTTAATGATCATTTATAATAGGCTTACTTGATTGATTGCCGGAGATTGTAGTTTTATGGATGGTGCATTGGCATTTATTTTTAATTAAAACAAGATGTTCGAATTTTAAGCCAAAAGCTCATCATTCTAAGAAGCTATTCGGCCTTACATCGTCACGTTGCCGTTTCAGTTGAAAGGCGTCGAATCAAGATCATTGTTGAGCTATGAGGCCTCTAAAAATCTTGGCAAACTCTTGACGTTTCTGCAGCTTGCTCGAAACATCAGACGACTCAATACATAAATACATAGGTACACTTTCGTCTTAGGCCAAAAAAAAAAGTCTCCGGTTTCTGGTATGGAGCTTGCCCCAAAAGTGGTGCGGCGACGCGGCTTTTTTTTTTTTTACCTGGTTTTTTTTTTTTTTTTTGGCTTCAAATGTCGGCTGATGACTGCAAATGGTGCCCGACTAAACTTAGTGCAAATATTATGGGAGTCCAGAGAGGCCACATAAATCTTATTCTCGATCATAACCCCATCTAAAAACACGTTAAAATTGTGCAGCAGCAGAATTCCAGTCAAACCAGTGAGTTTGGCGGTTTTGAAACAAAATCTTGTATTGAAAAAAAAAACGTTTTCATTTTGCCGACGCGCATGGCTACGGCGACGCGCGCGCATACCAGAAACCGGAGACTTTTTTTTTTGGCCTTAACCATCAGGCTGTTTAAGCCTCCATGCTCCATTGCACCAGCTGTCAATGTTAGAATGATATCATATCTATAGTACACATATTTCTGAACGAGAAAATTCGTAATACTTAGTACACTTTACATACCCACAAACAGTATATAGACACAGTGGCAGTCCCGAAGATCAACACTGCTACACAGAAATCCTTGTACGTAACGGTAATTGTAGACGAAAGCCTCATCTTGCAGATTCTGTGTACTTGCTTCTCTTGAAGAATCTAAGATGCTCTCTCGTGGATTTCTAACCACTCATTAGGCTTTCGTAATTATCAGACTCCGCAGTATTAGTGCGTTGATTCAGATGGTTTATGTCCTTTCGTTTCTAAAACAAAAGACACGGCCACTGGACAAACATGGCGGCCATGTTGTTGTTTACCGAAAAGCCTAACCCCTAGGCCTAGTAGGTAACACATTCGCATGACCAAAAAAATCTGTTGACAAACTGTTCAAAAATAATCAGCATTACATTTCGGTACATACGCAGCATGTGTACGTTAATGGACAACTCCCATGGTTTATATTCGATCAAAGGTCACCAGACCTGGAGCATGCCGGGATACTGTCCAAACAGAGATTGTGGACTTTGCTCTGTGATGGTAGAGTGTTGGAATATTCCAAGGGATTATTGGCGGGAGAAAAGGGTTTACATGTTTCATAAAAATTGAAATTTGTTTGTGAGGTACGAAGTCTTTTCTCGAACATACTAGGCGGCCATATTGATTGCTTACACGATTATCGTATGTGGCTTATAAAACCAAAATTCTTAAGTAGCTGTAGGTTCAGGTGTACGTGCGCTACTTTACGAATGTAATGGTCGATAATTTTCAATCGAAGTGGATGGTAAATGTATATCTAATTTAACCAGTTTCACCTCAGTGTGATGTATAATATTCAACATTATTTTTTTCTGTTGGACTCTAACAAGATTGATTTTGTTCATTGAGGTTAGTTTGCGGGAGTGTACTGTTATTATGAGGTTTCAAGCTGTGGACAAAAACAAACTTTACAACTGACATCAGGTTTAAAAACAAGATCGCAGCAAGATGCCCTCATATTTATTCTCATATAATCATATAAGTCTTTACCTAAATAGCATGTGTTTTCACCTAGAAACTGTTTTTTAAAGTCCCTTTGTGGATTCTTGACAATTTAAAACTGATTTTCACAACTTTTATCTTCAATCCTCATTATTGCTGATGAGTATTATTATTGTTTTGTTACATCAAAAGGCTAAAGGTGGGCAAATGGAGCTTATCCATGAAACAGGAACGCAAACTGATCTCTTCTTATTATTCAAAGTAGTTAAAGCGCAGTCGATGAATACAAAGTCAAAGTTGTTATTAAACTTTTTGTGTCATTTCGACAGTTGGTATTTCAGTTTATGTATCACTTCTTGTTGAGCTCTGGCACACATACGACATGAAGAGGTTCACTCCTTGTTGTGTAACCTCATGGGGCATGTCTCGCTTGTTAGGGCTAGGGTAAGCCAAACTCATGTCCCACACATCAAGAAAAGAGGCTTGGGTATTCCGAAATGTCTCCGTCATCAAATCCTTTATCCCAAAAAGTAAGATGTTATCAGCGTAGGCTGAGGTTTCGAAAGTTCCATGCGCTACGGGATGCGGACTTCTTACGACCACTCGTGCCTCAGGACACCTCACTGTGAGGCGCTCAATAGCCTCCTTCGTGAGGTTCAGACGTTTGGTGAAACTCGGACGATCCCAGTTTGTATCGGACCAGAGACTCAAGAAGATGATATAGTTGCATTTGGGATTTTTCAGACTATCCAGCACGTCTACCTCAAATTGGACTTCCTCAAAAGGGACCTTGGATGAAGTCGTCAGCAAGGGACGAGCCTGATACAGAACGGATAGGTTTAAAGACGGGTGGTGGCGGAGGAAGCGGTAATGGGCATCGTCGTTGCGCAGAAAGAACTTCAACCCGATGGATTCTTGGAACGCCTCGAACCACTGGCGGGCCGTGGTGTCACCGAGGAAGTACACCTCTTTGCCGCGGAGGCATCGGCTCGCTTCCTGGGCTTTGCTGTCGTTGACGCCCCACTGGAAGTTTTGGCAACGGAGGGAGTGCCATTGATCGTTCAGCCAGTATCCCTCCGAATTACCGGGAGCCTGGAGCCCAGGCTGGCATGGTGGCAAAAGTGCGGGAACGACCTGTTGGTCTGTTGCACCTGTACAGGTCAAAAATAAAAGGTGACTGTCCTAGTTAACAATACAGATGAGGTTTGTAACAGTACGTTCTTCGAGAGGAAGCTAACTATACTGCGGTTTTCGAGTGAATAATGCAGGGACCTTTTGTTACTGCCATGGAAAATGAGGAAACTTTCCTTACCTTCAATTTGGATGTGCTTTGGTCCCTCGTCGACTATCTGCATGACGTTCTCACTAAAAAAAAAGAAACCGAATGGAAGTGTGAGTAACTTTGTACAAGACACCTATCTTCAATCAGAGCATAAAGTGTCACCCAGCAGAGGCACAGTGTAAGTAAAAAAAAACATGAATAGTGTGACCAATAAGGTTTATCTTTTCTTTTTTTTTTAGTCTTTTTAGTCTTCGATTGTTACCTTACCCCTCAAATAAGTACTCTTTGCCCTCGATGAGCTCCGAGGCAGCCAGTGCAATCCTGGCATCCAGACTCTTGAGAGCATAAAGGTCATCGCATGTCCATCTTTCCTCGTCTTCTGGCTTGCCGCATATCAGCATGGTTCCTCCGATCTCGCTAGGGTACCAGTACTCACACTTCTTGGCCCAATTTGTCTCATTGCGTCGCAGTACGCATGTCTCAGTGTGGTCCTCCTTCGACTGATCTTTGACCCTGAAAGTCCCCACCCACACTACTCGGTCCTCTGTTGGCCACACCTTCTTCTCCACGAATGAACACGCCTCTTTTGGATGCACCAGGATGATGTCGATTCTGGCCACGCCCTCCCAGCCGGCGTAGAACGTGACGTCATAAGTCCCGTCATCATTGTCCGATACCTTGCCAGCCGTGCTGGCTTTGGGCTTGAGTGAGTTCAAGGTAGCGTACCACATATCTCCGCCTCTTTTTGTTTGTTTCCCCGCCCTGTCTCTAGCCTCGATAACCAGCCGCAAAGTGGCTCCTTTGGAGACTACCAGACCACTAGATGGACCGAACCTGTGCAGAAAATAATGTTCGAATCGAAGTGACAACAAATTATAATACTGTTTTGGCTCGATGTCTTTCGTTAGATGATGCTTAAAGTACAAAAGAGCTCTAAACCGTGACGGAGCGTCTTTTTTCCCAATCATATTGACCCACACTGAGTCAATAACTCTAATTCGGAGTCCGGGTCCAAAATTCTTATCAAGCAAGTTATTTGGGCGGGCGTTGATGTCAATTGAGGGCCACATCATCCCTTGGAACATACACATTTCAGTGACCGACGGATTTCAAATTTCATTTTTAAATGTTCATTCCAGCCCGAAATCTACCTGTATGTCGAGCTCTGGGCGTGAGTGATGTCTGATGGGCTCTTGTGTTTATTCTCTTGGTCTGCGAGTCGATGAACGTTATACTGTCCCATATTCCAGGCTTTCTTCAAGTCATCTATCGAGTTCACCTGTGTGTGAAAAAAGGACATTTACCAAGCAAGTATAAAACTGGGACGTAACGAAAGTCCAGAACTGTCAAACGAGGAGGAAGGAATACACACGACCATTAAAATGTCTCTGCAAGTATCTAAATGAATCGTGCAGTTCAGTGTGAAGGTTTCGTCAGGAATCAACCCATGGCACATCCTATAATCAGAGTAACTTCGTCTCATCTAACATCCTGTTATAATCTTATCTGTTCTCCAAGACATGGTTACAAATTTAAAGCGAACATGAAAAAGTCAACATTTCTTCTGGAGATCTCTGATGACGGAGAGTTAGGATAAGGGGACATCCCTGAACATAATTGTACTTAATAAGTGCTTGAACCGTCGCTAATGATGAGTCTCAACTTTTGATAGAAAATTGTTTAATGAGTCCTTCCCCTGCTTATTAATCAAACAGTATATTAACCAATCAGATCACGCCATGTTGGTCAAGTGACCACAGACACTTTGAGAAACGGCCAATGGGGGGGGGGGTTGCATTATTGTTTGGATTATATTATATTGGGAAGATAAAGTCTTACGGTCGGCTTGGACGAACTCGCATACAAGAAGACGAAGCTGATGAAGCAGAAAGACAACAAGACGATGACAACAAACCGAGACCTCCTGGGCAAGGAGGTCAGATATTCCGTCTCCTCGTCCATCTTGGCCAAAATCGTCACTCCTTTCCAGGAAAACTGTCGAAACTGCTCCATCTAAACATCTGGTGAAGATTGAGAAGGAAAAGAGAATGCAGGCACGTATAGGCCTATTACTTTCGGGTCAAGTTGAGCTTGATCCAAAATTCTCGGTCAGTCAATCAGTCAGCCAGTCAGTCAGTCAGTTCTCTATTTAGTGGATCAAGGATCATAATACAATGGCTACTCGTTACATATAGCAGCGGGGGGGGGTGTCACGGGGAAAGGCAGGACGACCCACCATCTCTTCCCCCCCCCCAAAAAAAAAATTAAGCTGCAGGTCGACTCCTTTTTTTCGCGATTGATTAACATTTCAGTTTTATATTGCATGTGCGCGTAATAGACGGTTAAAAGGTCCACATGGTAAAAAACGACCCTCCCTTCCACCAGGCTGACCACGGCATCGAAAAACCAGGCCTCCTTTACTGTCACCAGAAGGACACGAATGATGTGAAAATCAGTGTGACAAAAAAGAGAAGACGGTTAGAAATCGAACAAAATCTGATCGAGTCTTCTGATCACCATCAGCTGCGTGCGGTGGTCATTTATTTCGGTTTTGGACGATGGTATCGTGTTAATCAACGTATTGCAAACACATTCATGCAGACATTGCATGCATTAGGATGCCTCTAGAAACACCCAACCATCCTCCATGATCTTGAGTATCATAGGTCTCAGTTATTAGGTCTTATAATTATTTCGAACGTTCGCCCGTAATTACCTTCCATCCCATTATAATCATTACACATTTTTGTTCATGCATGAATATTTAATGCTCAGAACTTACCTGCTGATTGAGTTTGGACACTGAAGTAGGGTCTATATTGCAGTTTGGTTTCGACACGGCTTCGAATAAGTCCATCAGGCTAAGCCTATCAAGTAAATCGATCGTCCATTTCAATATTTCTGTACCAAGTTTTATATTCCTGTCCACGAAAACAGTTGAGGTTTATTGTCTACGTGTTACACGTAGGTTCGTATGCCTGACTGTGCACACAGTGATTCTGTCAATGTTTAAAAGGTGCGAAGTCCATGAATTCGGAGTGGCCGCCGCCAAGAACACGCGTGATATGCAAATAAATTCTGTTTGCATTAAAGATGCAGTTTATACATAGCGGAATTTCAGACATTATGCGAGTCAGGTTCAATGTGCCGGGAGGTGGGCAACGTGGTGGGGGGCTGGGAGACTTAATTTTTCTGGGGTCTCATCAGTGTCCCAAATTCAGAGGAGGCCAAAGAGGGCGCATGGCTTGAGGGCGGCGGGGCGGCGGGGCGGCGGGGCGGCGGGGCGGCGGGGCGGCGGGGGCGGCGACAGTCTCCGGGTTTTCAAGACTTTGAAGAAATTGAATTGTTTTTGAAGGATTTAGACTTATTACCTTTCGGGGCCTAAAGATGCGAATCGAATTACTTTTTACGAAAGGAATCTGTAAAATTTTACCATCATAATCCGTATTCACCACTGTCTTGTCTTCAGGGGGCGGGGGACCACTCTATGCCACAACTAAATTATTGAAACAAGCGAGGGCGCTCTGCAATTCTCGTGGTGATGATGAAGTAGGTCGCGCGTGCTGGATTGGATAGGCTAGAGGTCGAAAGGGCGGAGTTATGAAAATCGTATGATTATGAAGCAGAGAAATTACGAGAAATAGAGCGTACGTGCGCATCAGTTTCATGTCTCTCAAACGATGATTGCAATTTTCAACATTAGTACCTCATAGTTTTTTTACTGCGACATAAATTTTGGTAAAAATCTATTAGAAATAATAGGTTTCTGCAATCCGTGTATGCGTCATCACCCTGAAGCCCATGTATTCTAGCTAACCTCACGGAATAATTACAAGTAGGAGGGGTTCAAGATGGCGATTTACAGGAGGACCGGTCTACGTGGGTTTCCTCTTCAAATTTTATCGTCTGTTTTCCTCATTTTTGCGAGTGCACTCACGGCCCAAAGTCAGACGACAGTCTCACCGCAAGATACAACGACAGTTTCACCGCAAGATACAACGGTATCTAATACACCAGCACCATGTGACGTGATCAATCACCCTGAGAAAATCGAGGAAGACGAGGTTTTAAACCAGCATCGATATGACAGTCTGAATTTGTTGTTGTTTTTGTCGCTGTTGGTTTTGACCATTTTGACAATCTGGCTGTTCAAGGCTCATCGCTTCCGGTTTGTACACGAGACGGGTCTGGCGATGATCTATGGTAAGTAGAGTATATCTTCTTGGATGTCTACAAAATTTAATTCGAAAATGTGTCATTTTGTCCCTGTAACACTACAGTCAGGTGACAGTAAATTAGCATTAGGAAGTTAATGCCAGTCATGGCAAAATATCCACTGTCTAAACAAAAACAACCTTATTCCATTGAACTGACATGACTGAGGCCTAGGCCTAACTAAATGCCTAGGCTTACATTAGTTTGTACTGTTTTGCCTGAAAATTCTTTAACAACATAGTCATGTCCTGTACAAAGTTTTTGCTCTTTATTCATTGGTTATGTGAAATGAGATTTTTGTTTGGTAACAAAACATGAAGATGAAAAAAGCATTAGGCCAATCATCACTTTTTTGTGTGCAGGTGCTGTAGTTGGTGCTATAGTCTGGAACACGGCCGACATGACTGGACAGAAACCCGAACCCTTTGAGTATCCCGCCAAGGAATGCGACATCTCATTGGCCACTTCCACCATCCACCTAACGCTGCGGTATCCCAGCAACACTTCCCTGACCTTCCAATACGACAGGGCGGGCGTCATCAAAGAAAGCTCTCACTATGTGTCCTCTGCATTCGTTGAAAAGGTGCTCCACAATTTTTGTGACATTCCTAAACCAAAATGCGATATTCACTCATGCACCCTGCAACTCTCCTTAATGCCATTTTGTGTTTGTATTTTACAATTTCTTGCAAGATTCTGGCTAATAGCTCCTAAATGTACATTGTATGTCACACTCTTTTGCAGGTGAACTTTGACCCTGAAGTCTTCTTCAACATGTTGCTTCCACCCATCATATTTTACGCTGGCTACAGTCTCAAAAGAGTAAGTTTTTATAAGTTAACCCTTCTATAACATTAACCCTAACCGCCCTGAATCCTCCAAAATCCTTTTTGCAAATTGGAGGAATTTGCAGGATTGAAGTTACATGGCCAAAGTGCGTTGCTGATTTCGGAGTACGCACTGTGTCAAGGTCTTGGGCCGGACCTTGTGTTGTTTATGCTCAGCCGTGCATAAATTTAGTCCTTGATTATACTTGACATCCTCCGCACTGCTCCAGGATGTCACTGCCTCTGCCTCAGCCTATTGACAGTCATAGCCGGAGGATTTTGCAGGATTCAGGCAGTGGTCATCCCTCCATGGACCATATTCAAGAAACAACGGAGGAATTTACAGGATTGAGGCTATATGCTATTTTTTCATGAGGCCAATTGGAGGATTTTGCAGGATTGAGGCTACATCCTAGCAAAAAGGCCTAGGGAGTTAGGGTTAACTCTTTCAGTGCCCGCGAAATTTGAAAAGTTTAACCCTAAAGCGCCCAACTTCGAGCGTTTTTGTTAATTGTTCAAAATTCTGTAAAAAAAAAAGTAAATAGGTTTTACTCACTAAATTTGTTGTTGTTACTCTCTGGTATATCCTTGATATATTGGTAAGTCAAAAGTAGTCACAAACATAGTGATACACCCTGAAACACTGGCCTGAACACAGGGAGATTCCGCACTTTTTGCAGAAAATACGAGATTTAGTACTGCGCCCTCTCGCAAGAACTCGAATGAAAAAATAAATACAGGTCGTACATGCATGAAAATGGTACCATTAGAAAGAGCAAGAGCGCCCCCTTTTGATAACATATTTACTCTACCTCGTACATGTACGAGGTTTGGCAATTTTAAGTACGAACATTTACGAACATTACCTCGTACATGTACGAGGTTGGCGCTATTGGACTAACAAATATACCTCGTACATGTACGAGTTTGGCACTGAAAGAGTTAATATATAACATTATGTGTCTACCTTTATGCAGCATCAAAATAAATGTTTCTAATCATGACATGAAGCTGTCCGAGAATTTTTTAGAAAACAAGTTCGATCGGAAATATGTCGGAAGCTGCTGGCCAACAAATTTGTGTTTTTGACCCCAGTGACCCCATGATGACCTTTGAGCCCAGTTTGGTCATGTGACATGTTGGGGCTGGGCTACTGATACTTTTGACAAAGTTTGGTTGAAATCGGTCAAAACATGTAGGTGCAATAGACAATGTCAACGCTTGTTAATAACTAACTAACTAACTCACAGAGAGACATGCTGATTTGTTGAGCTGCTATACCGCAGCTAAAAAGTACTTTTTTCAATTACATTATTAAATCCAAGTGGTATAATTTTAAAAATATTTTGGTCTTTCCTTTTCAGCGTCACTTCTTCCGAAATTTGGGGTCCATTTTAACCTTTGCCATGATTGGAACTACCATCTCTTGTTTTGTAGTCGGGTAAGTCAAATCTAAACCCTTGAATGTAATTTCTGTTTTGCTCAATAGATCACTGTATGTTTTATGGTCTCTTCAATTCATTAATTACTCTATGGTCGGTCGCAAATAGTATTAAAAAAATGCCTGAGCTGTTCTGCAAAGTTGCGTTGCGTTTGCACGACTTGAGGTCAACTCTGTATTGATTTTTGCACTAATGGACACAGGTGTGCATAATGGCAAGATGCAAGGCTGAGTGAAAATGTTAAGTTGTTTCTCATCTGGCCTTTTTAAAAAAAAAAAAAAAAGGAGGCAGGCGCTTTTTTGTTTGCTTTTTATTCCCAATATGGTGGATTTTCCATGATAGCGGATGGATTCTTCAATTTTCTTAACTATTTTGCTGATACAGAAAGAGCAAGAACCGTTTGCTACAATTTTGTTGGAAACAATCAAAGATGTTTTTTTGACAATATATGTGGAAAATAAATTTGAAATGTATGAATTAAAAAAAGGAACATAAACTTTTTAAAAAAGGAGGCGGCCAGGGAAAAAAGGTGACGGGTAACTTATTTTTTTTTTTACTTGGCCTAACCAATGTTATTGTTTGCTAGAAGATTTTGTAGAATTCAGAATGGTTAGTGGAGAGAATGCTAAGTGAGGCACAGTTAAATTATTGCACAATGAAGTGTTGGATTTTGGAAGATTTCATGTTTTTACTTATTTTTTTTTATTACAGTGGCATCATGTATGCTTTGGTCGTCAAGGCGATGGGTCGGACCGATTTCAGCATCCAGGATTCACTCCTGTTTGGTGCTTTAATCTCGGCCACGGATCCAGGTGGGTCAAATTGTGTCCTTAATGGATAGGGTTTGTGACTCATAATGATCATGAGAGGGTCAGGTTTTTGAATCTAGCTGCTGAACATATTTTGTGTCCTTGGGCAAGCCACTTTACCTCCACTTGCCTCTCTCCACCCAGGAGTATAAATTGGTACAGGTTTATAGCTGGGAAGTAACCTGCGATGGACTGGCATCCCATCCAGGGGGAAACAGAAATTATTCTTAATCTTTTCAGGCTCAGAAATCCAATAATAATGACCAGCCTGATGAATCATCGACTTGAGACAGACTAATATATTAAGGCCAAAAAAAAAAGTTCTGCTTCCGATTACATGGCATTTGAAAATAGGTTAGGTAGGTAGGGGATTTTTTTGTGTACAATCATATGGAGGCGTCTGCGTGTAATCAAGAGTAAAAGGTAGAAATGTATGGGTTTGGGTGTGTTTGTCTCATTTTTCCCATAAAAAAATAGGGTAGGGGCTGTCAGAATCGGGTAGGAATGGAAACCAGCAGCAGAACTTTTTTTTTTTGGCCTATCCAAAGGGCATGAAGATCTTGTAATGTCGTGTTTTTTCAACAGCAATCCACTTTTTTTTGCATTTACAGTCACTGTTTTGGCAGTGTTTCACGATCTTCAAGTCGACGTGGACATGTTTATTCTTGTCTTTGGAGAAAGTGTTCTAAACGACGCTGTGGCTATTGTCTTATCCAGGTATGAAGTAACACTCATGGATTGATTTGAAACTTCTTGTCATAATTCTAGAAAACCAGGGCCATCAAAGACCACTTTCAATGATGAATGGAAAATGTGTTATTTGCTCTGATTTTCAAAAATAAATCCTTCACTTTGATCATATAGTTGGTGCTTTCAGAATTATGATCTGATATGTAGCTTTTCATGAGTGATATGTTCTCTTTGCAGAAATTGCTGCAAACAGTGCCATTTAAAGGAAAGGAATATTCATTATTTAAGAATGAACTTTTATAACACAGTCTTGTGAAATGTCTTAAATCCTCCAGTTTGTACTCTTTAGTCTGTGCGCCATTAACCCTAACCCACCTCACTCCTCCAAAATCCTCCTGGCAGTTTTGGAGGATTCTAGAGGATTGAGGATGAATGGTGATTGAATCAAATGAGGATTCTGGAGGATTGAGGATGAATGGTGATTGAAGCACATGAGGATTTTGGAGGATTGAGGATGAATGGTGATTGAAGCACAAAAGGATTTTGGAGGATTGAGGATGAATGCATTTTTAGGCAGGACTGTCTGATGATTTTGAAGGATTTGGCGTTGGTTATCCTTTATTTAAACACGAGTGCAAAATTTTGGGATGAGGAGGATTTTGGAGGATTGAGGATGAATGCATTTTGAGGCAGGACTGTCTGACAATTTTGAAAAATTTAGGCGGAGTTGCAAAATTTTGGAGGATTTTGGAGGATTGAAGATGGTTGTAAGCAACAAGGGCCTAGGGGGTTAGGGTTAAGCATTTCTCCTTTTGATTCCACAGGACGGTGGAGTCTTACGAGAGTGAAACCTTTGAAGCCGGACCTGTCTTCAAAGCTCTAGGCACCTTCATAGGTGTCTTCATTGGTTCGTTTGCCATAGGATCAGTCATGGGCATCATCACAGCATTGATATCCTTTAACTGCAGACTAAATTTGATTTTGGCTTAGGAATTCCTGCTGGAGTAATGGACAATGTGCATATGTACCCCCTCAATGCTGATAAAAAAAGAGTTGCGGTCGTTTCGCCTCCGAAGAGGGGCCAGGCAGCGAAGTCACTTCCCTAGCGAAGTGGGCCAGACAAAGCGGGCGCTTGCCACAAAGCAGGCCAGGTGGTAAAGCAGCCAGTAGGCAAAACCGGTGTCCAGGAATCTGGGGTAGGTGGTTTTGCCGCCTGTGTACAACGTGTCTACAGTAGACGTTCATGCATTTTGTTATCAGTATTATTGATGTTCAGTAGATTTTTCTTAACCAAATTTTCTCATCACGTCACCAAATTCACCCGGATTCGTGACTTCCCGTTGCTGGAGACTGGCATCTTCTTCATCATGTCCTACATGAGCTACTTGATGGCAGAGGCTGCTCAGCTTACTGGTGAGATGAAAAAAAATAACCAGTCTGGACATTCAACTTAAGATTTAAGAACTGAGATTGCCCTGAACAAGAACGAAAATAAGAACCCAAGGAGTATCTAGAGAGTATCGATGCGCAGACCTGAAACCGGAGATGAATGAATGAGATAACCCATAACTTGAACTTGAGCCCCAAGTTACTAAAGAATTGTACAGCCTAGTTTTAGAACCTCAAATTGAAGAACCAAGACATCTCAGAACCTTAAGTAGAACCCAAACACAAACCCAAAGTACATTGAGAGTGATACTACCTAGAACCTGGAACCTGTGATCAAAGACCCAAAAGTTTAATCTTTGAACTAGAACTTGACAAAGTTCTGTTGACATTAGACCGACAAACTTCCCTTTCTTTCTCTTTGCAGGAATTGTGGCGGTGCTATTCTGTGGGATCATGCAGGCCCACTACACTTACAACAACCTCTCGGAGGACTCCAAGAAGCGAACCAAGGAGGTTGCGGAGCTGACTCAGTTCCTGGCCGAGAGTTTCATCTTCTCCTACATGGGCATCTCCATGTTCAATCCCAGGAACATGAACTGGGATGCTGGCTTCATCTTCTCGGCATTTGTATCCTTGTGAGACTGGCCATTTGTTGTGTCCATTGGCAAGCCACATTACCCACTTTTCTCTCTTTCCGAGAGAACAAATGGTACCAGCATCAGCTGATTTGCATATTGTAGCCTAGCCGCGTGGGGACTCGCTGTTCGTGCTTCGTACAGTACGTGTGAGTGCACAGTGTTCGGCTGATGTTGTTCGCGTCCAACCATCGATCATCAGCCGTCGAACGCCTTGACCAAGGCTACCCATCAAGGGTTTTAAAGTATTCTTTCTTGTTTCATGCAGATGAAATTGGAGAAACATTTTAGACAGAGTTTACTTTGTCCCAAAGCCCACAAATGCAAACAAGCAAATATCTTTGCTTTAAGTATCCTTTCTTGGTTATTTTTGATGAATATTTCTCACTTTAAACTTTCAAAATCACTTAAAATGAATTAGTTTTGTCGGTGTATTGGTTAGTTAAGCGTTCATTCTTGTAATAACCTGATTTATTCAAAATATCCAAGAACGAAATTTTTTGATTGCCAGATTTGATGCTTGTTATGTTTTCTTTTTGATCTTTCCTTAACTCACAAGTCTGATCAGCTTGCCATTCTGGTGGGTCGATTTCTCAACATCTACCCCCTGTCCTTCCTGCTGAATCTGGGCCGCAAACAGAAGATCCCTTGGAACATTCAACACATGCTCATGTTTTCAGGTTGGTTATTAACCCTAAGCAAGCTAAATCTTACAAGATGCAACTGCAAAAATTGGTTAAATTCTGTTTTTAAGAAGCTGTTTTTAGGGAAAATATTTGAGTAATTTCAAGATTAAGAAGTCTCTTAATTTCAAGTATCCATTCTTGTGTACGGATTTTCTGCCCTTTTTTTAATATAAGAATATAACTTTAATCCTCTTTCCTTGTTGCTGTTACTTACAGAAAAGCGTTTTAAAAATCAAATATTTCATCAATTTTTCATGTAGGCTTAAGGGGAGCCATAGCCTTTGCCCTAGCCATCCGCAACACGGCAACGGCTGCTCGGCAACTGTCGCTAACGGCAACCCTCGTCATCGTCTTGATCACAGTGGTGCTCTGTGGCGGCATGACAACGCAGATGTTGACGTGGTTAAAAATAAGGTATGTCTTCAATCTCACTCCCAAAATTTCTTTTTACTAGGATCTTCCCTGAATCTTTCAACATTCAGGGGCATGTTCTGTTCAGGCATGCAACTTTTCCTCGGGTCTGCTGATTTCCTCATTTTTTTTTACTTCTCATGAATGCCATTACAAATTGAAAAATACTATACAAAGTCTTGTGTGCTTTGGAGTTTCCTCTCTTTTTTCTAAATTCCCAGTTACATACCTGTCTGTTACTTAAAAAACAAAATTTACTGAAATCCATATGAAAAGTAATCGTGGCTGTGTTTAACAGTCCTGAATCTTTCAAATACTGCAGAACCCCTATGTGGAAGATTTCAGTTTGTAATTGTATAGAAGGACACTATCTCAGTCAAGATCCGTGAAGACTACACTGTGATTGCTGAATGTGAATTGTCACTGGATCTGAGGTGCCAATCTTAGCACTTTCCTATAATGACCCAAGTTCTTGTTGAACCTGTTGAGGGAATGAACTTCATCAGCCTTCAAATAGGGCAAAATTGTTTTAAACTTCTTTTTTTTAGAGTTGCAGACTGCCAGTCCCTTTTGAGCCCAAGAACATGTTCATTATTCATAACCATTTTCAATAATGAAAACGAGGGTCTCCATTTTATCCTTCATGTGCCTGCTCATTGTTGAAGCCACGTACTTGTTGCTTGATCTTGTTTTAGCTACACTTGCTAAAAATACTCACATATGTCACTTAATCCACATTCCGAAACCCCTATGTTCCGACAACCTGCACATAAGATTGTGTTAGCCCGTTTAGGGTTAGGGTAAGGAACAAGAAGATGAGCAGTCCGAACATAGGTGTGTCGGAACATAGGTGTGTAACCAGTCATTTAACATCTCTCCACAGTCACATTTCTGCTACTGCTAATTTAATCTGCTAACCATACACACTTCCTTTCACCAAACACTCACTGCTTTTTAACCCATTTGCAGCATAGACTCTTATGGAAACTTCGACAGTGGCCTTTAACTTTCACTTGTCCTCCTATTTTTTTTTAAATTCATTTTCATTTTCTCTTTTTTTTTTGGCTTAACAACAGCTCCATGAAACTGGTCCCCTGGTGTTTTAGCTGGTATCACTGTCTCTCTTTCTCTCATTCTGTCTCACTCTCTTGCATGCGTGCCGTTTTGCCTATTTATTAACCTGAAAGGGTCTCAGTGCGACACTCGGGCTCGTTCTGGGCAAACCCAGGCGAGCCGTCTTGGAATGCCGTGATGGTTGTTTCCGAGGATGGGGGCAACTCAACTTCCACTATGATTGTTTCCAGGGTCGGGGTGTCAGACGAGGACACGACGCAGCAAGGCATGCAGGTCATGGGATCGGTAGGTTGAGAAACACCCCCCCCCCCCCCTTTCCAAAAAACAAACATGAAATACAATGAGTAAATTATTAACATGTTGCTGACAGCTTTGTTGGTGCTCTGCCAAAGAATTCGTATTCATGTTTTCCTTTGTGCTTACAAATTATAGACAATTTGTTTGAAACATCCCCCACAAAAAAAAAGAAATTTAAAGGAAACGTTATTACAGTTTTTGGTCCTTGAGCAAGGGTATTGTTTTCTTGATGTACTGTTCTTGAAGATTACTACACATGAACCCTTTGATGCCGGGTGACGGCTATAGATGCAGCTCAATGAAAGCCAGCTGCTATTGCCGCATTTCTGCGGCATGGCCACATTTATTATTAGACAACGGTTGAATGCCTGCACGTACACATTCCACTCAAAGTGCAGCTGTCCGTGGCCCAACATTACCGGCATTAAAGATATAGTCCATCATTTGTAATTAGTGCATTTTGTTCGTTTGAAGCAACAAAAGTGTTCAAAATCTAATGAAGGATACTGAACAACTTACTTGATGAAGTTTCAGCTCAGCTTCAGCTTCATATTCCGAGAAAAACAGCATTGTAGGATCTCAATTTAAAATCAAAAGTTGCTAAATCATGTTTCGAATTGTTTTGAATTGCAGCTTTACGCGATGACGCGCACTGATCCGACGAATTATAGCAACCGTGCGGGCCTGTGCGTCGTTCCAATGCTTGTGCGCGCTGCGCCGAATAACAAAACGAACAACTAATTTAAATTTTCCTACTTTCGTTGAAATGCCTTCTTTCGTTGATTTCTTAAAATGAGAGCTTGCCGGAAAGGATAATTTCACAGGGAGTTTAGTCCCCTTACTATCTTTCAACCTGTATGTTTTTCAACAATAATTACGCCAGTTACTTTTTTGGATAGCTGCAAATGATGGACTCGGGCTTTAAGGGGTTAATACTCAGTACGTCCAAATTTCTGAACTTCTTCAAAGTAATTTTCGACAATTTGCCCTTTTTCCCATTTTGAGTTCCTCAGACTTTTTTGAAAGTTTGGTACTGACAAATCAAATTATTTTTTTTTTATCAGATGGTTGGTGTATAAGTTAATGTCCCTTTGCTTGGTTGTCTTTGTAGCAAAGCACGGAGCATGATGTACGTCTTAGGAAGAGGTACGAGCAAGCGTGGATTGTGAGGCAGTGGTATGATCTGGACACCAAGTATCCTTTTTTTTTTGGTGGAAAAAATAATTTCATATTTTGATTGAATTTTTATGATCACTGATTTTGTTTACTTTGGTGTGCTATTCATGGCAATGCAGCCCTCAATTAATCAAAGTCGACATACAAAATGTGTTTTAGAGATCTGTTACGGCTACGGCTATTACAAAAATGCGAACTATTGACTATTTTCTGAAAAAAAAAACATTAAAAAAAATATTTTTTTAAAATCTGAATATTTTAATATTTCATTACTTTTTCACTGACTTTTTTTGAATTTATTTACAATCAAAATTCAACCTGATATCAAGAAAATATTTGTTGGTTGAGTTATTTAGCTTTTATGATAGTCTTTAAAAACCTGCTCTCTCAAAGAAAGAAAAGAAGTAAAATTCCTTAACCAGTCTCTCAGGTTTTTCAAACCCATCTTCACAAGGAAAGGTGCAGACTTGAAGGAGACGCTACCACTGTGCTGTTATCCAATAGCCAGGTGTCTCACCGTAAGGGTAAGTCAGAAACTAGCTGAATATATCCAACAATTTGAAACCAAGAATCCTGAAATATGTGAGGCATTTTGGTAAAACGAGACAGAAGTGGGCATAGGCTATAGCGGGAAAAAAGGAAATGTGGGTAATTTGTTTCTGATTTTCAAAACTTTTGAAACTTTAAAGTCTTTTTTCAAAGTATTTTACTTTTTATTAAACATGTCGATAAATAATCATTTTAAACAGCCATAACTTGTCAACAGAATGCCTGATTGAAGTGCTACAAACTGTATTGTCAGGAGAATTTTGTTGGACCTCTGCCAAGTTCTGTCGCATTTTACCAGAACGCCTCACATATTCACATCGATTTTTGCCAAAAGTGACTTCCCTTTGTTGTTTCTTGCACTGACCTGAAATGTCGGCCACCATACCAAGTCTTATGTTCAGAGCCTACTGAATTAAACAAGTAAACAAAGTAAACAAAGTAAACAAGGTAAACAAAGCAAACAAAGCAAACAAAACTAACAAAGTAAACAAAGTTGACAAAGTTGACAAAGTTGACAAAGTTAACAAAGTAAAAAAAGTAAACAAAGAAAACAAAGCAAACAAAGTAAACAAAGTTAACAAGGTTAACAATGTAAACAAGGTAAACAAACTTTACAAAGTAAACAAAGCTAACAAAGTTAACAAAGTAAACAAAGTAAACAAGTAAACAAAGTTAACAAGTAAACAAAGTAAACAAGGCTGTAGTGAGATCCCCAGGTCCTCCTAATTTCTCCAAGTTAGTATCATTGCCGACCTATATATATATTTGGTATGAACTATTTGATTTAAAAAAATCTATAATTGTTTTTAGGATGAACACGTAGATGAAGACAGCGACAGCGACTTGATTCTTGAAGATAACAGCTCAACCGCGGAGCAACAATCCTCCTCCAACACCGACACAAATCAGCCGACCAATCACACGGAAGACGACACGGTACTGGACGAGGATCTCGGACTGGGAAACATCCAAATTAAAGGTCTGAACCTACAACAAATGCCAACTGATGTGTAAAAATGTCAATACTTAGAGTCCAACATATAGCAGCATATGTGTAGTGTAAAAAGCTTATTATTTTTTTTTTGGTATAAAGATGTATGCAAATAATTAAATGGGGAAAAGAAATTTTGCCAAATTATTGTACTTAGACCGTTATTGTTGCCACAATTTATAAATTCCATGAAAGTGTATATAAGTAGTATCCCTGGTTATGGACATTGAGCGTCAACAGCAAATGGTACATGTGTAAAGTGGCGCACCCAGAGGGGGGGTGGGGCTTGGGGGCTTGAGCCCCCCCCCCTCCCCAAGAGGCTGTCAATTTTGTATTTTTTTTAAATTTTTTTTTTTCTTAGTCCCACGATTTGGCCTTGGTGATATGAATGTGGCCTGTTTTCGAGTAGTATAATAGGGGTGTAAATGGCGCCTTCAACATCAAAATTGGCCGCCCCTCAAAAAAAAAAAAAAAATTATTTCTGCGTCCAAAAATTTTGGGCAAACTTTTTAAAAAAAAATTCAACTTTTAACAAATTTGTAAAAAAAAATTTTTTGAGCCTCCCAAAACCAATTCCTGGGTGCGCCACTGCATGTGTATGACCATTCGTGAGACAACCGGCCGCAAGTTGGTGACTATGTCAATGTGACACTGAAATTTCATTCTGTCATTAGCTCACAGTGAATTGGGACTCGCAAAAAAATTGCATAACTCTAACATTATCAGCAAAGTAGCATTGAACTTGATTTATAATTCTTGTGGAGCAGTGGTTTTAACTTGATGTTCTTGTTCCTTGGAAAAAATAGTATGTCAACGTCTAACCTAGTCTATTAAACTTAAACAAAAAGTGTGCTTGATAATGAAACAAACTCACAACAGTCAAATAAGACTGAGAATATATCACAATACATATTTATGTATATTGAGCAGTGTGCTATGAATTTTGACTCAGATGGCACTCCATACTACAGAAGTTATGATATGATACAGTGTCTATTTAACATTGAATATCTGTGCTGTGTACAGTATTGACAAAGTCAAAAAAATATGGGTCGTTTTGTTTCCATTTTGATGTTATCAATATTTTTTGTTCGCTTTTGATTATTATTATTTTTTTATAAACTTAACGATTCCTATAAACCTCCCTGCCTTATTAATGTGTGTATTTTTTATATTCGCCTGCAAATCCTGACCTTTTTGTCATTTGTAAGAACGTTAGAATAGAACGAATTTGTGTTTATTTATTTTTTTTCACAAGAGCAGATTTCAGATCAAGATCTCATGTAGCACACTCACCAATAAGATTAATGATTTTTAAATTTTGATTCGTCTTCCTTTTCATTTTGTCTCACATTATTCTTTTCATTGTGAAGATGTTTTTCCCATCAATTATTTTAATTTTAAAATTTTTTTGTTCCAGTCGTCTGTAATGACAGAAACCCCATCCAAGAAACGTGCATGTATATTGTATAATTTGTGCACTCCATCAGTATTTCAAAGTTCATGTAGTTATAAAAACATTAATTTTCAGGTTTTTTAATCTCAAAGGCTTTCAAGCCGATAAAGTGGATTAATCATTATGTTTTGGGTTACATAATACTACTTGGCATATGTAGGTTACTTTCTCTCCTTTTAGATAAACTTGCAGACACACACCGTTGATATTGCACTGGGATCAATAGAAAACATTAAAATGATCGAATTGATAAAAACAAAATAATTTATACCATTTATTGTTGTGAATCTTGACAACTGAAACCGAAACCACCTTTGGTGACCACAGTCTTTCTGAATATCGGTATGATTTTGCTACTTTGCTAAAAAAAAAAAAAAAAATAATAATAATAATAATAAATAAAAAGGAAAAAAAAAATCATGATAAAATTTGTGGATTTTTTCATAGCTTTCGAATAGAGCGAGAGTGTTTTGTCAGTTGCATAGTAATGAGTGGTGTTTCAATTGTGTTGATGTGATGTATGTATCTATCTATGCATTTGAGGTGATATTGTATACCCTCTGATCCCTTGCTTATGCTCACTAATTGAATATGCATTGCTTAATTGTCAGTATCTATTAACAAATGTAAATATTGCTATTGTACGAAGTAGGAAAGAACCAATAAAATGTGTTGGTTTTCTGCTTAATTGTCAAAAACAAACTGGGTCGAAGTTTTTTTTTCTCTAATTAATGATTCCCTCCCCAACCGCCCCACCCAAATCTTGACAATTTTGGTTGATTGAATCGTGCTTGATTCTCCTCTTGCCCTCGAAGGACGTTCCATTCTTTGGAAAAAAGTATATTTTTGGCCAAACTTTGATAAAAATATCAGGCTAATTTTTCAATTGTGGCCGAACAATGAATTTCCGTAAAACTTGCAGGGTAGATGCCGAATGGACCCTAAAAGACATTCCAATGCAATTTGTGGACAAACGTGCTTCTGAAAAGAAAATTTCGCCTAAAGTTTGGGGCAGAATTGGTCGAAATTGTGATCTTTTTTCCACACAAGAATATCACTTAATTTTGCCAAAATATTCAAAATTGTAGGTGTTTGAATAGTGATTAACGCTCTTCTTGCCTCTCAAGGACTCTCTGCGTTGTTTGGAGAAAAGCCAATTTTAGGTCATTTTTTGGTAAAAATTTAAGGCTAACCCCTTGCATTTTTTTCAGTTTTTGCCAAAAAATGACATTGCTTGAAACTTGCAGGAAAGATACCTTATGGACCCTAGAAGACATTCCAATGCGAATTGTGGACAGCCGTGCTTCTGAAAAGAAAATGTCGCGTAAATTTGGGTCAAAATTGGTCGAAAATGTGAATTATTTTTTCCTCAAAAATATCAATCAATTGTGCCTAAATCTTCAAAGTTTTAGGTGTTTGAATAGTGATTGATGTTTGAATAGTGATTGATGCTCCTCTTGCCTCTGAAGGACTTTCTGCGTTTTTTGGAGAAAAGTCAATTTTTGGCCATTTTTTGATAAAAAAGTAAGAATAACCCCTTGCATTTTTTTCAGTTTTGGCCAAAAAATGAAATTGCTTGAAACTTGCAGGAAAGATGCCTAATGGATCCTAGCAGACATTCCAATGCGATTTGTGGACAGCCCTGCTTCTGAAAAGAAAATTTCGCCCAGAATTTGGGGCAAAATTTGACGAAAATGTGATTTTTTTTTCCTCAAAAATATCAATAAATTGTGCCTAAATCTTCAAAATTTTAGGTGTTTGAATAGTGATTGATGCTCCTCTTGCCTCTAAAGGACTTATTGCGTTGTTTGGAGAAAAGTCAATTTTTGGCCATTTTTTGATAAAAAAGTAAGGCTAACCCCTTGCATTTTTTTCAGTTTTGGCCAAAAAATGAAATTGCTTGAAACTTGCAGGAAAGATGCCTAATGGACCCTAGCAGACATTCCAATGCGATTTGTGGACAGACGTGCTTCTGAAAAGAAAATTTCGCCCAGAATTTGGGGCAAAATTGGTCGAAAATGTGATTTTTTTTTCCTCAGAAATATCAATAAAGTGTGCCTAAATCTTCACAATTTTAGGCGTTTGAATAGTGATTGATGCTCCTCTTGCCTCTAAAGGACTTTCTGCGTTGTTTGGAGGAAAGTCAATTTTTGGCTATTTTTTGATAAAAAAGTAAGGCTAAATCCTTGCATTTTTTTCAGTTTTGGCCAAAAAATGAAATTGCTTGAAACTTGCAGGAAAGATGCCGAATGGATCCTAGAAGACATTTCAATGCGAATTGTGGACAGACGTGCTTCTGAAAAGAAAATTTCGCCCAGAATTTGGGGCAAAAGTGGTCGAAAATGTGATTATTTTTCCCCTAAGAAATATCAATAAATTGTGCCTTAATCTTCACAATTTTAGGTGTTTGAATAGTGATTGATGCTCCTCTTGCCTCTAAAGGACTTTCTGCGTTGTTTGGAGAAAAGTCAATTTTTGGTCATTTTTTGATAAAAAAGTAAGGCTAACCCCTTGCATTTTTTTCAGTTTTGGCCAAAAAATGAAATTGCTTGAAACTTGCAGGAAAGATGCCTAATGGACCCTAGAAGACATTCCAATGCGATTTGTGGACAGACGTGCTTCTGAAAAGAAAATTTCGCCCAGAATTTGGGGCAAAATTGGTCGAAAATGTGATTATTTTTCCCCTAAGAAATATCAATAAAGTGTGCCTTAATCTTCACAATTTTAGGTGTTTGAATAGTGATTGATGCTCCTCTTGCCTCTTAAGGAATTTCTGCGTTGTTTGGAGAAAAGTCAATTTTTGGCCATTTTTTGATAAAAAAGTAAGGCTAACCCCTTGCATTTTTTTTAGTTTCGGCCAAAAAATGAAATTGCTTGAAACTTGCAGGAAAGATGCCTAATGGATCCTACAAGACATTCCAATGCGATTTGTGGACAGACGTGCTTCTGAAAAGAAAATTTCGCCCAGAATTTGGGGCAAAATTGAACGTAAATGTGATTTTTTTTCTCAAAAATATCAATAAATTGTGCCTAAATCTTCACAATTTTAGGCGTTTGAATAGTGATTGATGCTCCTCTTGCCTCTAAAGGACTTTCTGCGTTGGTTTTTCATAAAAGTCAATTTTTGGCCATTTTTTGATTAAAAAAGTAAGGCTAACCCCTTGCATTTTTTTCAGTTTTGGCCAAAAAATGAAATTGCTTGAAACTTGCAGGAAAGATGCCTAATGGACCCTAGCAGACATTCCAATGCGATTTGTGGACAGACGTGCTTCTGAAAAGAAAATTTTGCCCAGAATTTGGAGCAAAATTGGTCGAAAATGTGATTATTTTTCCCCTAAGAAATATCAATAAAGTATGCCTTAATCTTCAAAATTTTAGGTGTTTCAATAGTGATTGATGCTCCTCTTGCCTCTAAAGGACTTTCTGCGTTGTTTGGAGAAAAGTCAATTTTTGGTCATTTTTTGATGAAAAAGTAAGGCTAACCCCTTGCATTTTTTTCAGTTTTGGCCAAAAAATGAAAATGCTTGAAACTTGCAGGAAAGATGCCTAATGGACCCTAGAAGACATTCCAATGCGATTTGTGGACAGACGTGCTTCTGAAAAGAAAATTCCGCCCAGAATTTGGGGCAAAATTGGACAAAATTTTGCCTCTAAAGGACTTTCTGCGTTGTTTGGAGAAAAGTCAATTTTTGGCCATTTTTTGATAAAAAAGTAAGGCTAACCCCTTGCATTAACCCCTTTTCTCCAAACAACGCAGAAAGTCCTTTAGAGGCAAGAGGAACATCAATCACTATTCAAACACCTAAAATTGTGAAGATTAAGGCACACTTTATTGATATTTCTTAGGGGAAAAATAATCAAATTTTCGACCAATTTTTTCTCTCAAAAATATCAATAAAGTGTGCCTTAATCTTCAAAATTTTAGATGTTTGTATAGTGATTGATGCTCCTCTTGCCTCTAAAGGACTTTCTGCGTTGTTTGGAGAAAAGTCAATTTTTGGCCATTTTTTGATAAAAAAGTAAGGCTAACCCCTTGCATTTTTTTCAGTTTTGGCCAAAAAATGAAATTGCTTGAAACTTGCAGGAAAGATGCCTAATGGACCCTAGCAGACATTCCAATGCGATTTGTGGACAGACGTGCTTCTGAAAAGAAAATTTCGCCCAGAATTTGGGGCAAAATTGGTCGAAAATGTGATTATTTTTCCCCTAAGAAATATCAATAAAGTGTGCCTTAATCTTCACAATTTTAGGTGTTTGAATAGTGATTGATGCTCCTCTTGCCTCTAAAGGACTTTCTGCGTTGTTTGGAGAAAAGTCAATTTTTGGTCATTTTTTGATAAAAAAGTAAGGCTATCCCCTTGCATTTTTTTCAGTTTTGGCCAAAAAATGAAATTGCTTGAAACTTGCAGGAAAGATGCCTAATGGACCCTAGCAGACATTCCAATGCGATTTGTGGACAGACGTGCTTCTGAAAAGAAAATTTCGCCCAGAATTTGGGGCAAAATTGGTCGAAAATGTGATTATTTTTCCCCTAAGAAATATCAATAAATTGTGCCTTAATCTTCACAATTTTAGGTGTTTGAATAGTGATTGATGCTCCTCTTGCCTCTAAAGGACTTTCTGCGTTGTAAGGAGAAAAGTCAATTTTTGGCCATTTTTGATAAAAAAGTAAGGCTAACCCCTTGCATTTTTTTCAGTTTTGGCCAAAAAATGAAATTGTTTGAAACTTGCAGGAAAGATGCCTAATGGACCCTAGAAGACATTCCAATGCGATTTGTGGACAGACGTGCTTCTGAAAAGAAAATTTTGCCCAGAATTTGGGGCAAAATTGGTCGAAAATGTGATTATTTTTCCCCTAAGAAATATCATTAAATTGTGCCTTAATCTTCTCAATTTGAGGTGTTTGAATAGTGATTGATGCTCCTCTTGCCTCTAAAGGACTTTCTGCGTTGTTTGGAGAAAAGTCAATTTTTGGCCATTTTTTGATAAAAAAGTAAGGCTAACCCCTTGCATTTTTTTCAGTTTTGGCCAAAAAATAAAAATTGTTTGAAACTTGCAGAAAAGATGCCTAATGGAACCTACTAGACATTCCAATGCGATTTGTGGACAGACGTGCTTCTGAAAAGAAAATTTCGCCCAGAATTTGGGGCAAAATTGGTCGAAAATTTGATTATTTTTCCCCTAAGAAATATCAATAAAGTGTGCCTTAATCTTCACAATTTTAGGTGTTTGAATAGTGATTGATGTTCCTCTTGCCTCTAAAGGACTTTCTGCGTTGTTTGGAGAAAAGTCAATTTTTGGCCATTTTTTGATAAAAAAGTAAGGCTAACCCCTTGCATTTTTTTCAGTTTTGGCCAAAAAATGAAATTGTTTGAAACTTGCAGGAAAGATGCCTAATGGACCCTTGAAGACATTCCAATGCGATTTGTGGACAGACGTGCTTCTGAAAAGGAAATTTCGCCCAGAATTTGGGGCAAAATTTGACGAAAATGTGATTTTTTTTTCTCTCAAAAATATCAATAAATTGTGCTTAAATCTTCAAAATTTGAGGTGTTTGAATAGTGATTGATGCTCCTCTTGTCTCTTAAGGACTTTCTGCGTTGTTTGGAGAAAAGTCAATTTTTGGTCATTTTTTGATAAAAAAGTAAGGCTAACCCCTTGCATTTTTTTCAGTTTTGGCCAAAAAATGAAATTGCTTGAAA